TTTTTTTTTTTTTTTTTTTTTTTTTTTTTTTTTTTTTTTTTTCTTTTTTCGGGTCTTCTTCGAAGGGTTGGGAAAGCGTGTGCTAGCTAACTATTTCATGAATCTGGTTATTTGATGATTTATTGATTAATCACTAGCATCTACATGGCGATGGATTTGTTGCTTGGGTAGTGGTGGTGGTGGTGATGATGATGATTGTGATCAGCGATGAATGGCTTTCATGGGTCTTTCTTCATTAAGAAATATAGTATTTGTAGAACTGTTCTTTCACTTTCTGAGGATCTTGATGCCCAGTTGTCAAAGGGTTCGAACCATGGTGGGTTCTTTGAATTGGCTATCTGTTGCAGGAAATTGGATCGCTGTCGCGTGGCCGACGATTGGCAGATGTGACGGATTAGTGCCGGGATGGAAGGACCCAATTAAAGTTGCATTCGCTAATTCTGAGCTTGTGTATCACATACTAAGCGGTAAATAAAAATTAAAACTAGATCGTAAATCGTGTGGTGGCCAACACTCTGCACGTCGTGTTTGGCCCGCCCTAAACAAAAGAAATTCACATGAATGAGCGAAAAAGCTGAGACGCAGGCCGAAACTCCTGGCTTATCCTGACGCGATCTTCACAAACACCGAGTAACACCGACAATCAAAACAAGAAAAGGGAAGATACGAAACATGGCCGTGCTCCATGGGCTCTAGGCTGATTGCCATGTTGCGATGTCAGCTGCAGTGATGTCAATGTTTTCCGGGATTAGATTCTGAAGCTTTGAGACCTGAGTGGGCGCTAGAACGGGGTTAGCTATGATTTATTCCCTACATACAGTAACGATGACACTTACTTGGACGTGGTGTGGCAGCGCCAGCCTGTACTTGAATGATACCCGATTCAACATACTCTTTCGTGGTGACGCCGTTGAAAGAGGCTGCTCCCAGCATAACCCGTATCCGATACCGACCAGGCTGTGTGAATTTGAGAGGCCCAAATCGAGCATATCCGCTGATGCCGTTGCCATTGCGACTGCGCACGCTAGACGTAAGCACTCCTGTGAGTCCTGAAGCAGGTGCAGTGCCTGCTTCATTCCTCAGCGAGGCATGCGCAACCAATTGTTGCACTCCTCGTGGGTTACCCACAGGTCGGACCCCCACAACCACTGGTAGCGTCACTGGTACGCCAAGGGGAACGGTTGTAGGAGGCGCAACCTCAAAGTTCATGCCAAATTCACGACTGGAGCTTCCGCCATCGGTCCTTCCGTTTCCTTGAACCATGTTGATTATGACGTGCGGGCGTATATCGATTCAATGGCAAGTTCGACAAGTAGTACTCAGCTAGGGCTCTGAAATGGTTCTCAGCAGCTCAAGAAGAAATTGATCGCAGGGAAAGAGACAGGACGCGATGCGACAAGGGCTTGTTTATAGCAGGAAACCTGAGGTTTTGAATTGGGATCGTAGGCTTGAGGAGCTTGTTGAGTGAGTGAAGACATCGAAGAGAGGCTTCTTCCAGGGCCTTCATATATGCGTCGTCTCGTATATAGCAACGGATCGCTAGGGTGCGATATAGGAGTCTCGAATCGAACCAGGAAAGTACACAAGACGGCAATGTTCTTTTGCCACCACGAAGGAACTAAGATCAATAGACACTGGGGGGTTCCAGTAACCGGGATCTGCAGAGGCCCCGTATGCCCCTAGGCTGCGGAATATTGGATGTTACCAGACGTTGGGTACTGCTAAACCTGCACGATCCTGCAACAGGGCGCTTGCATGGACGATATCCGCTTGAGACGATCTATTTGTCTGCGACTTGACGTTTTCTTTTTTTCTCCTCCCCTTCCTCACTACCCAGATCAGCTACAGTTCGTGGTTTTTTGGTACGCGTCAATTTGGGTCCCGTTAGCGCGGGTAGAAAGGAGAGAACCTGGACAGTCCCAGAGTTGAACTTCGGGCCCCAGAGATGGAAAAGCAGGAGCAGACTGCGATGTCACAGTGCGAATCCATGCCAGGGGATCTGGTTCTGAAGCTTAACATCACTCGACCCAGTTGGATCAACTAGTGACTATCGGATGTACGACGATCAAGAACTATGGTTCGTGGCAGGTTTGTTTTTCCATGTATTTCTTTACTTTTTCTGGCTGACATTGTGCTTCCATGGCTTGCTCCGCCCGCGAACCATTTTGCTCCATAGGACGACTGCATATGGTTTGGGGAGGCGGAAATGGTCCCGTGGAGCGAAAGCTAGAGCCTGGGTGAGGAAGGATCATTCCTCATTAGTCTCCTTGCATTGACCTCCCGGGGAAATTGCGAGATCGAGCTAGGGATCTTGAGATACGGGTGCTAGGATCCCTTTCCCAGTTACCCAAGCGCCGGATACCAAGCCCGGAAACTCAAATCTGTTGCGCAAAATCCGAGCTTTGGCGACTCCTGCTTACTACCTGGACCGTGCCGGAACCACGTTTTCGACAGCTCCCGGACGGGTGCTCACTCGTGCAATACCTATCCATCCTGCTCCCGTCTGTACTTTTGTCAGACCGTGACTTGGGAGACTTGTCTCAGATGGCGGATCTCCGGGACTTTCAGAGCTATATTGTCCCTGAGAATCTGAAGCGTCCCTTTCGCTCATCTACCCGGTCCAGCGGTCAGAACCCAGGCTCAGGACCCAGGAGAGCGGATCCGTCTAACTAGGGCCTGGACTGGTCATGGAGTATCCACTAATTTGACATTCCAGACTCCAAAGCCCGAGCAAGGTAAACAGAGGCGATCCGACAAGGACGGGAACGAACAAGGTCTTGTCGCACTGCAGAAAAGGAGGGGCGATTGGGCGTCAAGCCCCAGGGGCTACTTCGCCACACAACATACCCTTTTGGGTCTAGATCATCACACCAGCCACATATTCATCCAGCCTCAATTATGGCTGGTGTGTTCCCCAATGTAATCCCGAGATGCATGATAGGCTGTTCAGTAATAGAGGAGATAACCTTAGACTCCGTCCTAGTAAACTCTTTCTAAAATGTTGTTGCCTTGCATGAATCCCTAATGGCGCTCCTAACACCAGAGTGTGCTCGTCCAGCAAATGGCTCCCCAAGGTCTCCGTGAGATAGACCCGAATTATGCCGGCCGGGATGATACTGCAGATGCCTCTTGGTCCCACTGTCTCCGAGTCCACACAACATGCAGATCTTCTTTCTGTATTTGGGGTCTCCGGCCGGGTGAACGGTGGGTCCACTGCATGATACCCAGTATAACGGTGTGCGTGCAAGATCTAGACCCTGGGGTCTTCACAATCAGGACTTCGGCGTGTCTGAAGTGGTGACATGTAGTTTCTGCATTTCACTTGTCGCACTGAGCTCTTGGTTTGCGATTGATCCCACTTCACGAAATCGGGGTTTGTCATGCAGTGAGATAAGCGTGCAGTGTGCCGTGTTTACGTTCCTGAAACTTAGCTTTGAAAAGGCCGCGAACAATCAATACGCGGAATACCGATCACACGAGAGGCCGTGACTCCCGCTGGTCTTGAGATCATCGAATCTCATTTCATCATCAATAAGATCAAGCTGGTGGTCATCGGGAATGATTGCTTTTTCAGACACCAATCGTTGAATGTTTCTGCAATGCAATGCAAGATCGATCGGCGCTACTTCCTCCTGTAGGCTCCATGCTCGGGATGCATGGGACGAGGCATTCTGCATGATGATTGGGCGGCTGCGCTATGGTTCACTAGTAGCCACTTGTGGCTGATACGATGATCAACGGTCCATCTGTGGCGGTGTAGTAAAACCCCTGCCTTCCTTACGTTGCGGCGGGTGTGGCTAGTGGCCATCCGGAACTGTCATAGTCCAGCAAATAGTCCCGAATTGTGGCGTCGGGCACAACCTGGAACATCCTGCAAAGGGAGAGCTCTTTCACCGCATTTACTGCAGGTGATGTGTTTGTTTCTGATTCCGTGATCCGAATAACACTTGCAAAGTGATCGAATGCCAGGGTCACCCATGCTTGAAGGTGACTTAGTTGTCTTTCATCAATGCTGAAAGACATCGTTCCTCACCACTCCAACCCCCTAAATCCCCATCTGTTCCACTAGCGTCTACCGCTTACCCTTCGGCGTGGAGTGCCACACGGTACGTACTCTGCTTACTGACATGACTCGAGTTCGTGATTTTGCTCACCGTGTGACATCCATGATCAGTAATCTGAGGATAGGCAGGTCATGGATGCAGCGAGGCATCCCCAGCTCACCTGCCCCCTTTTGCCTCTGTTCAAGGGGAACAACCTTGCTTATCTTTAGGTGTGCGATACCGGTATAGTCTGAAGTTGTCGTAAGAGTATTATTTCAGATGCCGATGATATGGTACGCATGGCTTAGCGAATCATATTACTTCTCCTTTGCTTTTCTGTCCTTCCAGACATCAGCAAGAAGTTGAGGGGCCATCACCGTGCATGTAACCCTCCATGAACGTGGTATCCGGTCGATCATCGTTTGGTAGATCTTAATCTATACGAGGCTCGGGCTCCGCAACAAATCCCGCAACAAATAGAGCACAAGATGTCGGAATGAGGCAATTCAATGCCATGAATTGTATGTGATTGCAGCAGACTCAGCAATTAGAGGTGGCGATCCCTGCGGTAGTATATCCATCCCGCTCTGGCTGGAGCCTGAGTGCCGATTACAATGAGCCCAGTGGCTTTATGAATGCAGTGTCCCGGTAGAAAACATTGGTAAACACCCATCTTGCCAATTTTTTTTTTTTTTTAAACCATTTTTCGTTGCCATTCTTTTACCCTTGCTCCTGTTCAGCCGGGGATTGCTTCATGGAAGAATCACATGGATGTGGGCTGATGGTGTCACAGATACAGCGAATCCTATGTAGCATATGTATCAGATATCACACGTATCAGGGAACTAAATAGGGCAGAGGATGTTTTCCGTTGCTACCGCCACATGGGACATGCCCTGTGTATTCCTGTTCTGGATCGAAGAAGGGCTAGACGGCGATCCGAAGCAGTCAAAAGTACAGGGCTGTGATTCACAGGGACCCAATAGTGATTGAAAACCTTCCGGCAATCCGGGTCGACGCTGGCCTTCGCAGACGACCTCATAATTATTTTAATCAGCCACTGAGCGCCTTTGACCAATAGTGGTAGTGGATGTCAGCCCTAGAAGTGCTAACCCCACAAGCAGCCGGGGGTATGTTTGGCCGCGGGCGTCGTAGAAGTGTAGTAGCTATCCCGGTACTTGGTAACTGTGTCTTTGACCCAGAACCGGGGTTTAGGTATAGGATATGGGTCGTGTAACCTAAAGGAAAAACAAACTTCAGTAGAATTTCCCTGTTTTCGCCGAGCCTGGTAGCAGGCCAATGAATTGAGTAGAATCCAGGGGGCGATGCAGAAAAGGGGGAAAGCCTCGTTGCGTTCAATTATTGAAGCAGATGAGAGGTAGTCCCCTTATTCGATTGAAATTTGGGCTGGAGTGCTCGGTTGTGCTGGCGATGCGAGGGCCATCAGGGGATCTCGTCCATTGCAGCTTTCATTAATCCTTCCATCACTAAAGGAACGATCTGGGGCAATGATGGATCCCAGCATTAGAGGATACATTACTAGAAGGAAAAAAAAAAAATCCTAGAGCCTTTAGCCACGTGTGCCATTCAACTGAGTTGAGCGTGAAAAGCAATTGGGAACCGATTCCCAGGCTATGAGCCTTGGTGTTGATGAAACAAAAGGGAAGAATGAGGCGAGAGAGTGAGGCGGCAAACCGACCATCTACGGTCACCTGATCTGGACATCACTCACTTAACACGAGCAGAACAGAAACTCCCAAATGAAGAAAAGCAAAGTCATCGGATTCCTCTGTGGGATGTAAGTCTAAACTCCAGGAGATGTAGTTCTCAAAGCTGACGCATGCCCACTATATCCAGGTTATCTGGCTACTGTAACCTTGGACAAGCCTGCGACAAATATTGTCTAGATTAACACCACGCGTCGATCATCAATGTAGTGCAAAGAAAGCTGATCTGACGCCTATTTTTGAAATCAAGCTTGCTGAAAAGGACAGGAATATCGCGAGCGCTATAGAAAAACCCGACAGTTTGGTTCCAGAAATCAGACTATCATTCTTACAATCCCTCCGCCGAGAATAGCGAAGACGGCCACCAGGACAACACATATCCTTGTCTTTAAGTTTGGGGCAATGTTAACATGTCCCCGCCATGCTCTAAGAATACCAGTTTCAGTGGCTGCATACTTTCAATATGCAATAGCTACTTTTGTCATGTGTGAGATATGATTCGAATCTCTCTAAGATAACCTCTGTGATTTAGTTTGAGACCGCCAGCTTCTTTTAGCGCGATGAGCTAAGAAGAAAGATATACCTCCAGGCTTACCCTGGCAATTACATGAACCTAAGGAAAAAAGGAGCTTTTCTTTGGCATCGCTACAACTATGCTTGAACGGACCAATTCCCAGAAGGTTACTGCTCAGGATAGAATCAAACAAACGGAGTGGTTTTGTAGCTTGAAAAACAAGACAAGGCATTCACAAAAGCAGTTATAATGAGACGAATTGTGTTATGTACGCGGATAGTCAATAAGAGTAGAATCGACTGTACTTACCATAGAGAAAACACCCCGTGCATAGTGTCGTTACAATGCTGCAAAGGTTATCACACAACCATGTTGAGAGCAAGTCTTCATAAAGACATTTCGAGACAAAGTAGCCTTGAGCAGATTCTGATACTGACAGGGAGTTCATATAACGGTGTAATCAGCCGCATAATTACCAATATGATCCGACTCGGAAAACCGCCTCTGACGAAAGGTATATATGACTGGTGGTTGAGTAGCCGAAGGTATTTCTCACCTACCACGCAAAATGTCTCTGGATATGTACATTGTTAGCCATGAGCGGCCTTATTAGGTTGATTTGAATACTATGGCTCGAAAATGGCTTGGTGGTAGAACATCATGCAGTATTGCAGAGAAAAAGCGACCAGAGTCTTGCTATATATTTCGTCTTCAATATTCATATATATTTTGTCTTTATGATGACCTACCTCTTATCTGGGACACATTATAACAATGACAAGTTGGTTGCTCAAATCCAAGGTAAGGTCAGATTGTAAGCAAGGTGCACAAGTTTGTCAGAGTCCGGGGGCTGCAAGAGTTTCGGATCAGTGACTTTGTTGTGCGGCGCCAGCCATGCCTTCCTTCTTCTTGCGCTTCCCACACACCGCAAGACATTCTCCAACTAAAGCGAGTGTGGTCTCCCGGTATATGGCTTAAGACGGTGTATGCTTTATATTGTTACCAGGATGACTATCCCTTGTTTGTTATTCAATGAGGCTTCTAGTATCAGATGGCACCCGTCTTGATGCATCTATATCATTCCCAACCCATCCCTCGATCATCTGAAAACGCCCATGCATCTTCTATGCAAGCCTCACGATACATTGGTAGCAAGGCACTGCTTCAGCTTTTTGCAGGCACAGTGTTATTTTTTATTGTTTCGGTTCTCTTCTGGAAACTTGCGAAGTTCTCTCGTTTTCTCACCCAGGGAAAAGTGCTTAAGAAAGGAAACAAAACTACTACACGCTATAGCAGGACTTGGTATGGTTGGGTTTCAGCAAAAAGACACGAGGAGAACAAAGCGCTAGCACGGAAATGTCTGCAAAAGCTCTATAATTGCGCAGTCTGGAGATCGTCGAGTGTTGACTACCACTGGGTTTGGTGGGATCCTGGACAGAAAATGCAGAAGAGGTTTTGCGAAGAAAGGAGGCACCTGCGATGGTTACCGACCTGGTTCAAGAGCTATAGCTACATTGCTGCTGATACAATATGGAACCCAGGGCCCCCTTCCCGCCACAGCAACACTACTACGTCGGATTTTTGCAGTGGATATGCTTCTCTCAGAGCTATGACCGGGGCGCTTTCGAAAAGCCACACACCTGGATCTATTACAAGTCGAACAATCTACTATGCACTTGGAGCAAGCAATATAACGAGCTCGTCTAGCCAATCGCTTTTTCAGCGTGGCTGTCGGCGACCGTCAACGAGAGTAAAGGCAAACCAGAGCCGCCAGTATCGAAGCGAATGCATAAGAAAGTGCACGTTCGAACGGGGGCATCTCAAACACACGAGCAACATCGATACGCATCAACACCAGTCACACTTTTTCTCCAGCACCAGTGTCATGCGCTCGGATTTGGCAGGTCGTGGCACGGAAAATACACGCAGTCTGTCGCTTCCATGCCTCTTCAGCCAGAAGTATGAAAGTACGCTCGTCTCCAAGGCGTCACACAGCGCCAAGCCAAGTTTTACAAAAGGCAGACTAGAGGCAGCGAACAAGCCCCGAGATTTTCGCAAGCTTCAAGTCTGGTCTGCTCGGATGGCACTGCAACCGTCCCGATATACAGAGCTTCTAGGACCACCTGCAGGGACTCCGCGATCTGGGCTTTCTGCCACCAGTTCGTCCGATCAGACGCCTGTATCAATACCAACCCAAACAGGGTGCAAGGAGGCGATCTCAACGAAATGCAGCACATTAGTCCTTAACCATTCTAGCAAACATAATCATGTCAAGAATGTGGAAGTAGCGGGGAGTGTTAATCATGCTGCTGGTTCAGCTATGCGATACCCTGCAGCCCCTGCATGTAGTCGATCAAGCTTACCATGTCGTCTAGAGGCCTGCCACCGTACTGCATTGGGTTCGGAACAAGGAAGGGAACCAGATCGTTGCACGCGACAGAAGAAGTTACTGTGCATCCATCGCTCTAAAACAAAGGAGGCCCGGGAGAGAAAGAAGCGGGAATTGAAAGGACTTCTGGAAGGGATAGTTCCTATTAGCGAGCTAAGTCGTTGGGAGATACAGTTCATAGACGGACTGGACCGGAAACTGGAGTGGCTCTACAACCAGCTTTGTCCAGGCCGGAGACCCTACCATTTCGCTTTGCTTGCAAATCACTGGCTCAATATAGAAACCTGGCTTGTAATCGACCCACCTACGCGAATCTCTATCGACGCCAGAAGGCGACTGGGGGATCCAAGGTTCAACTCGCCATACCCCAACCCAGACTGGAGCGCGAAACCAAAGTACCCAAGAGTGTCACGCAAAGCAGTCTATACGCCTAAAATCAACTCATGGAGACTAGCTGTTAATCGACACAGAAAAGCGTCTGAATTACGTGACATGGTCAAGACAATCAGATTTTACCACGATTCGACAGATGATCTCCCGGACGGTAAAGTTGACCCATCCTGCTGGATGCTTCGCAGACCCCCGCAAGGACCGTCCATGACAGCTCGACAAAGGCAAATGTATTATGAAGGGGGGGCAGGATGGCAAGAGACATTCGATGATTGGCAAAAGATCCGCCATGGCTATCTGATTCGGAAAGCCATCCACGAAGGCAGGGCTAACAGAACAAGAGCAAGAGAAATTGCCAGAGCGATCAGTCGGTGTTCTCATATGGCAACGACAAAAGGCTCCTGATCTGCAAATGACTTTCATGTCTGGTCTGCTGACAGCACAGCACGGGTTTGGCAGGAGTTGTGTGGCTGCTCTGCAAGCAGTTCGGATGTGTCTAGAGCGGGTATATATCGGTATGAAAAGTGCGATGTACGGAACAGATAACATGATCCAGCCGCTTTATAGCCTATCTGTATTGTTAGGCTGCCTTCTGGCGCTGCCCTCGGTTCCCAACAACCGTCTATCCTTACAAATATGAAAGATGCCATCAAATGCCAAGTCTCTGAAATCGAATTGAATCTTGTGCCCTAGGCTTAAATAAAGAACATGGTAAATAGCGAGGCGAACAATGCAGTCATAGTGTCATTCCCCAGTTGCCGAAAACTCCGGTAATCCTTTCCGTGCCTTCCACGAGGCTTCTTATAGAGCATCGCGGCAGACACAGCGTGTGGTGTATAGTACAGTTGAATAATGCAGGTACAAATATGTAAAAGGCGATTGCCAGCTTCCCAACACAGTCTGCGTGTATAAGCTGTTTAGAAACCCGGAGGGTTCACTCTCTGGCTGACACGGGTCCACTTGGGTAGCTCTGGAAGAGACAGCATTAGCACACGAAATTTGAAAAGAATACCCTTTGTTTGAGACCCTCGATTGGGAAAGGCGGTCCATCGACGACGCAGAAAAGTCCAGGAGTATAACGTACTGTGAATGCCCTTGCGGTACTTCTTCTCCTTCTTGTCGAACAGTGTGTACTTGTCCTTGGGCAGCATCTCCTCTTCGCGAGGCATTTCCCTGTACCAGCGCTCGACGGCCTTGGTGGTGTATCCATTGCGCTCCAGCGCGGCGGAGACGGTGTCGACAACCCGGTCAACGCCACGGAGGCGCTTCCTCTGACGAGCCTTCTGAGGTTGGGAGAGACGCCACGGGATCTTCCTATTTGATTGACGAGTGATATTAGCTTCACGGTGCATGACGATGATGAGGGTGGAATAGCAATGCGGGATGTCCGGGCGGGTGACAGGGGGCAGTCAGATGGGGTTGCGACCTACCAAAGAAGACCCGAGAAGAGGGGCGACGAGGGTTTGAACATCATCTTGGCGATTGACACCGAATATAGACACGGAAAGAGGGACGACGAGAACGAAGGAGTGGGAGACAAGCTATCAATCACAACGAGCGGAAAGCCGAGTTGGCGGACGAAAATCCCGTCGAGGAGGTTTGGGGAGGTCCGTGCACGGCGAACCTCCGCGGGCCAACAATTGATTTCCTTCCTCCGAATTTCTGCGAGGCCAATGAAGATGCCACCTGCTTTCACGCCGTCGATCCGGGGTTGTTCCCCCCTCCTCTCCTCACTTTCTGCCTGTGCTGCGCTGCATTATATTGCTGCCTATCTTCCTGTTACTGCTTGGATGGACATCAGTTAGAGCGGCTTGAGTGAACAATGTCGCGCTCTACGGATTCTGGCGGCGCAACGGCCGATGCGCCCTCACTTCCCTGGAGGGCCTTGTCCTCCACCACCATTTTCGGGGTTGCCGCATTATGCCGCTCGTTTCTGTTCCTCTGCAGTCGGCCACAGGCAAATGGATTGGATCAGTTCCTCGAGCTCCTCGACTCGAGGAGTGATCCCTCGCAGAGAACCAGAGGCTTGCTCACAGGTATGCTGTCTAGACTTTTCGTTTAACGTCCCTGTGTTTAAAAGGTTATATGTCGGCTAACTGTTCTGACATATTAGTTTCGAATCATACCAGCGTGTACGTGCCTACATTGCGTCTCGAAAGCCGAGGCGACCCGATCAACTCCGACGTCAGAGAACGCTGACCATGGCCGCTTTAATTGAGCAGGATGGATGATCCGATCATGTGGGGATTTCTGCCAATGCGATATAACTTCGGGCTTGCGTCCTGGAATAAACGATGGGGGTTTGGAAGCCACGACATCTGCTATCAGACTAGGTATGGCAGGACTATTTGCCTGGTTCCAGCTCTCAGATTATCCGTTACTGACTGACCGGACTGATGTATAGGCCGTTAGCACTTTTCTTCACTATGGGCCAAGTCCTGCCCACACACCGATCGGCTCATTCGCAATACGGTGGCCTCGCCCAGCCTGTCGTCACTCAGGCGATCCGACTCCTGTCGAAGGGGCCATTCCCCGCTGACCCTCATCTCGCTATCCCCGAACGTCAATCGTGGAGTCTACAGAATGTCTGCGTCGATCCGTTTTCCGATCTCCCCACAGCGTACACCACCGACGGCCATGACTCCCATCTATCGCCGTCCTCTTACGCCTGCAACTCATATTCCTGGTTCCACATATTCCCAGAGGGGAAGATCCACCAAGCGCCGAACAAGACTATGCGCTATTTCAAATGGGGCGTGGCACGACTTATCCTCGAGGCTAGCGAATGCCCGGATGTGGTGCCGATATGGCTAGAGGGCTTTGACCAGGTCATGCACGAAAGCCGCGAATTCCCACGGTTCCTGCCTCGTGTCGGAAAGGAAGTCAGCATCACTTTCGGGGAGAAAGTAGATAGAGAGGCGGTTTTCGGGGAATACAGAAGGCGTTGGCAGATGATCAGGGCCAAAGCTGAACGCGTAGCCCCGGAGACTCGCGACTTGCCGTTTGGAGTGCTAAACGACCAGCTTTTATATGACCCCGAAGCAGTTGAGCTGCGAAAGGAGGTCACCAAGAAGGTCCGGGATCTCGTTCTCGATGTCCGGCGGACTAGGGGATTGTCGGACGAAGACCCGAAGGAAGGTCTAGTGGAGACATGGATGCAAGAGGGCCCTAAGCGCGAGGGTAAGATGGACGATGATTCATGGGTCCGCGATATTTGACGATGTGCATTATTGCGAAGCAACAAAATCCTGTACAATAGAACATTGCATACTAGAACAAAAATATGGGTACAAGCGACATTCAATACTATCCCTTGTCTTCTCCACCGTAGCCTATCAACTAATGAAGACTCAAGCTGGCTATACAGCAAGTGAGTAATTGACCAATGACTCATTGTTACTCATAGCAAGCTATCTAGTTAACTAACAAATTAGCTAGTCAAATGGGGGCCCAATCTTACTAAACCGAGGGGGCGAAACCAGCTGCGGCGAAACGATAAGATGAGAGGAGCTCCGCCGATCGGCCTCATCCCACATCTGCCACATCAAAACCTCCCCTTGAAATCGCTACTCTCTTCCATCCCTATGCCCAAAAAGCACAAGAAGACCGCCTTTGCGAAACCAGCCAGCACTGCCCACCATACCCTTGCTTCGTCCGGCCCTCGACACGACCACTATGACCGTCTTCGCTCATCCCACGCTTCATCCTCTTCCGCGGAACAACCCTCCGTCAATGACCTGATTCACCACCTTCGCCGCACGCAGGTCTCCAATGGACCTGAAAGCCCCTTCAGATTTGTCGCGCCCCGATCTGTACATCCCTCTCTACGGAATCTTCTTGAGCTACCGGAAACCCCGCCTCCTCGGCCCCGTCCGGGATCGCAACGCCTAGGGATTGTTGGCTCGCGACGCTTGCGACGGACGGCCGGGCCACCACCACCAGAGAGTTGGCTCCTTGGCAGCCGAGATGACGCGGAGGAAGATGATGTTGATATTGCTGCGGCGGAGAAAGAAAGAGTCATCTACCGATTAGATCGTCTACCAGGCACGTCCTACCCTCCCAAGGGCAGCCTTATCGATACGGTACTCAGATCGATGGCTACATATTGGGATTGGCATGTTGAATATGATGGTCCGTTCCTGGCAGCTCTTCCAAATCACCTCAAAGTGCGCCTCCTCAGCTACATTGCTATATATGCGAAGGACCGACCACTAGGCGGGCTCATGCGCGGTCTGCGACCTCTATTCGAGAAGGCCCACGCCAGCGATAGCCCCGAGATTCATCAAGAAAGCGAATCCGAAGTCAACCGTCTAGACCTAAGCAGCGCCATCGGTCGATGGCTAAGCTTGAAACAACTCTCCGCCGAGCTCCTCGTCACCGAAAAACCAAGTGCCATACAGCGCAAGCCCAAAGAATCCGTCCCCTCCTCCTGGGAAGAGGAATACGGCGACGAAGAACAAGAGGGCAACACCACCACCCCAACAGCAAGCAATCCCACCACTCTCCTCCATACCCCATCCCCAACCCTCCGCTTCTCCAACCTCCGCTACCTCTCCCTGGCACATCCCAAACCTGGCACCGTAAACTGGAACTCCCTCATAAGCCTCCTCTCCCGCCTCTCAACCATCACCCACCTATCTCTCGCCCACTGGCCCATCCCAACCGTCACCCCGAACGCCATCAATGCCCGAATCCGCCACCCCAATCACCGCTCCCTAATCTTCTCCTACGGCGGCACAGACACCTACTCCGCCAGCGAAAACAACTGGGCCGAGGCAGCAGGTATCCTCCGGCGCCTCTCCCGCGTAACCTACTGCCTGAAATGGCTCGACCTCGAAGGCTGTGGCGACTGGATTCCTGCCCTAAAATGGCAAGACAACGAATCAATCTCAACTGCGTACGCCTCCTCAGGCCCAGAATGGAACACCTCCTGGAGAGACATTGAATACATCCGTCTCGGACCAGGCTGGCTTCCCCATGTCGATGACGCCGAGTTACTCCCCGAGAACAGTATCAGCCAGAGCGGCTCCTCCTCCTCGTCTTTATCTTCGCCTACCCGCTCCTTGGCCTTTTCGGCGCATGCGCCGCTCTCACCGCCGCCACCGCATCCGGCTCTTGCGGGCCGTCTAGGCGATGCGGAGCCAGCGTCGGATCTACCTTGGGATGTAGAGGTCGAGCGGATTAAGTATCGGAGGGGGAAGGAGCTAGAGCGATTCCGGGAGACGGTGCAGGCTGCGAAGGCGGTGCAGCAGTGGGTTTTGAGATTGAGGAGGGAGGGGAAGGGAAAGTGGGTGCAATTTTCTTTTGGGTTGGAGGGGATTGAGGAGGATGGGTTGAAGAAGTTGTTTGGGAAGGAGTGGGTGGGAATCTTGCCTTGATGGATGTGGTGAGTCCTATTCATCTATGCATATATATATGGGCTATTGGAAGGTGGCAGGTATGCGTATGGGTCGTATAGTTAGATTATAGTACCTATAGCCCAGTAGGTCATGTTGATACTGTGGGAGATAGGTGTTATGGGACATGTTAGGTCCTGGTATATACGTTACTTTATGGAAAGTACTAATAGTTATTATGAGATGATGATGGAAGAATACTTACAACTTTGAAATGAAATACAAGTGGCAGATTTCATGATTTGACATACAATTATTGGATTTGGAGTTCTATATGCACGCACTATCCCAAACCGAATATGATGAACTTTTTCCCATGGAACCAAGAACAATATGTACATAATCCCTCATTCATCCACCACCAATCCCCTGCAGCTACAACACCTATTTCCGACCCCGATTGAACGTCTTCAACGGATCAACCTTTCTAACACCTGACGGCTTGCGGCCCTTGCCCTTGGCGCGGTTCTTATCTCTAGCCTTGCGGATACGGTTGTCATTGGATTTCCGGAACCCAACGAAGCCGACATCCTCACTGGAAATGCCCTTGCGACCCTTGGACGGCATCAGGTATTCGGGAATGTGTTTGAGGTGGGGTTGGATACGTGCGGAGCGCAACTCGCCATCGTGACGGAGCTGGCGCAGCTCATCGGGGTTGTCTTCGAAGTGGCGCTTCAGTTTCTCGCTCTTGACCAGCTCCTGACGGATCTCACGAGCACGGGCTTCCTGAACGGCAAGTCGGGTGATGGCGCGAAGACCGTCGGTCATACGGTAGCGGAAGGCGTCGACTTGGCTCATCTCAAAGTGGTAGGGCTTGACTTCGTGGCCATGTTTGGATTGACGTTTGACGATCTTGGCCAGGACGGCTTCATCGTGTTTGGCGGTGGGGAAGGAAGTGGGTTTGTGCTTTCCGTACTGGTCTGCCGGGACGACGAACGAGAGCGCCATGCCGGTCTTGCCGCCACGGCCGGTTCGTCCGATGCGGTGTGTGTAGGATTTGGCGGTTGTGGGGAGGTCAAAGTTCAAGACGCAGGCCACGTTCTGGAAGTCGATACCACGAGAGATACCATAGTCCTTTTCTTTCGCGGTAAGCTTGCGGCGCTTATCGGGACGATTCGACTTCTTGTCGTCTTCAGCCTCTTCGTCATCACTCGAGCCCATGACACCAGCAGCTTCCTCCTCCTCATCGGCACCGGCATTCTTGGCCTTCTTAGACTTGGATCCGAGGACTTCTTGGTCATCTGCAGCAATGATGATGTCGTAAACACCCTTGTTGAACTCCTGGACGACGTGGATTCGGGAGTTCACTGGCAACTCAGAGTTGAGCACACAGCTCTTGACGCCGAATTGTTCCAGGAAAAGCTTGAGGCGATAGCAACGGTCGATGTCTCCGACGAATATGATGACTTTGCCCTTGATGAGCTGAAGCTTGAAAATAACATATGTCAGGAGGAATTTCTCATCCTCTGCGCATCTGATGAGCGAAACAGTTAGTATGAGGCTCGAAAATCCTTCGCCGTGTACATGTGAGGCTTACTTGACGACAAACTGGCTAACACCGGCGCCTTTCTCCTCCTTATCCTCCAACTTCAGCACAACAGGGCTGCGACAGAACAATCCCTTCAAGGTATCCACTTCCGAGGTGAGCGTAGCACTCATGAGGAAGGTCTGTACGCCACGAGGGATCGCCTTGGAAAGCGCATTGATGTCTTCATCGTATCCGTATGAAAGGACCAAGTCGGCTTCGTCGATAACGAGGTGCGTCAGGTTATCCAGCGAAAGAGAGGAGTTTCCGAGGTTGGCAATCACACGAGCGGGGTTGGAGATGACGATATCAGGGTAATCAGAGAGCATAGTCCGCTGTACGGCCTCGGAAACCTTCTGAGTCAAGTTCACAGAGCGGACATCCTTTCCGCAGAAAGCAGCGAATGTGGTGACGACTTTTTGGACCTGTTCTGCAAGCTCTCGAGTGGGGACGAGGATGAGGCCAGTGGTGGCTTTCAATGAGGGGTCGGCCTAAAGCATGATACAATTTAGCTTGTCTCAATTTTTTATTTCATCTTCCCTGGAAAGTACTAACAGCTTTCTTCTGAAGAATGGTCTGAAGGATAGGGAGGACATATGCGGCGGTCTTTCCGGAGCCGGTCTTTGCACGACCTGGTATTGTTAGTATACTCATCATGCACCACAGGCACCAGGATGTACACACCAAGGATATCTTTGCCTGCGAGCGCCAGAGGAATAGCCTTGGCCTGGACGGGCGTAGGCTTGGTGAACTTCTCTTTGATCAAGGCTTGGCGCAGTCGCGGATCCAGGTTGAGGCTTTCAAAGTCGGCCTCGTCCGCATCGGAGGTCTCCTTAGTCTCCGCAACTTCGGGGGAGGGAACATCGTTAGCATCCAACTTGCGCTTCATTGTGGCGATATATATTCCCAGGTTTCACTGCAAGTTCAAGGGAAGAGAGTCTGGGGAAGCTGGTGAACGACTGGAAAGTTTTCCTCATTCAAGCGGGCTGGAAAATCCGTCGGGCGGTGAGATTTTCCGAGGTTCTGAATTTGGACGAGCTCCACTTGCGCTCCACCGATAAGCCCATCTGCTGCTATCGCATCTCCATTCTCTCCTGCGAAGTACATTCGAGTACTCTCGCTGTCTCAAGGGTGAGCCCGCTGAATACCTTCTAATTCTGAGCCATGTCACGACTCAAGTGCCAGGTAGCAGCCCATCAGGTTGACCCGTCGCTCTTTCCTTCTGCCTATGGCCTCACTCCTTTTGCGCAATGTCTCTTTCTGAGAAATATCTACGTCGTGGCTGCTACAACTTCCTCTGCAGCTCATCGACTAACCTAACCTACCACTTGCGTCAGATACTATCAATTCTATTTTACTCTCACTTCCATTATGCTTCCTAGAAATATCCGTACTGCTAGCTTCTCCGCTGGAGATGATCTGGATTGTCCCATTACAGGAGAACGCAGTTCACACAGCCATCCACAGGGCTTCCCACAGAATAAAACATCTGGGCACATCTCGAAAAATGTTTCAGGCCTACCTCTGAGTATTACAGAAAATTCCTTGATAGGTAATGCCAATCATTCTTTACGGAGAGTGGTCTCGAATTCAGAATCCACACCGCACAGGAAGGAAGACGGGATAAGGCAGAATACAGTTAAGGATGCAAAATTCCTTCCTAAGAAACGCCAATGGGGACCCCACATACCGCCAGTTGGTAATATTGATATGGCTGAGGCGTACATAGCGCAGAGAGAATGCTATGAGCAGCAGAAGTTGATCGCTGCAGACAGGCTCAAGGTGCAACGGTTGCGTGCAATGATGTGGGAGCAGAGAGAAGAGGAAACGGCTTTAAGGAATTCGATCAGAAGTCATCTCAGTGATATCACATGCTGCCATTGCCAATCTACTGCAGAGCTCATTGAAAAGGATTACGCTGCTCTCCGGTCAATCGCACACTATTATTTGGATTTGGAATACCAGTATAACCAGTCTGAGGATGACTTGGAGGAGCTTGAACACGAACTTACCCGCTCAGCCGCCCGACTTAGCCGCCTGTTCCACCCGGTCGATGATAGGAAACCCCAAGGCGTTAGGACTGATAGAAGGGTTGCGCGTCCTAGTTTCCATTCTCGAAGCTTTGATTCTCAATTGGTCCCACTGACCACATCTGAGAGGAAGGACTCGCAGCAGCAGCCTCAACCAGTCACATCGCAGGTGCAGGAATCCATCCTCTTGGATGATGCAGAGAAAGACTCGGATTCATTTTCTCAAAGAAGCACGCGTTCTGTAAGCCCAGATCATAGTTCACGACGAGATTGGGACAAGACAGAAGCACGGCCACGCTATGACATCGCCGACTTTGAGTCAGACCTTGACGAGATAGCTCAAAGTGCTCCAGGATCCCCAAGGGATGCAGCTCGCTTGTTGGGCGTGCGCAGTCATTCTGCACCTGACCTAGTCAAAGACCCGTTCAAGTTGGAGTCATATGAAAAGTCCTCCCCTTTTGAACAGAATGATTTCGAAAGCCCTGAGTCGCCGTTTCAGCGACGTAAGTTCATCGACAACTGGATTCTTCATCAGGTCCGCACCTCCTCGCTGGAAAGTGCACGCTTGAGATCCCAGCCCGAATGGGAGACCTTACGCTCCCAAGGCTTGACCGAGGAAGAAATCAGTCAATTGGCTCTTGAATGCTGGCACTCGCATGACCCAGGAGCAGTGGTATCTAGTGGTTCCACAATCAAACCGTCTAGAAGATCGGAACAAGCCAGCACTGTTATATGGCGCGGGACCTGCCGGTCTTTCAACCATCGAAAGAGAACTAATTCCATGGCTTTTGGTGCTCGGCCACAGCTCCGTCGCATGTCTCGCTATGATTCCGCCTGGCGTGAATTTGGGCCTGATGATGAGGGCAGTCAGCCAGGGGACGTAGCTAAGGAGAATGAGTGATTGGTATATTGCAATGTTCGTTCGTTCAGATGGTGTAGCATAGAATGAAGGTTATTGGCTAATCATAGCTCATCGTTAATGACAACATACCAAAATTGAATTATCTTACTAGCATCACATAGAGGTGGTCAGCAATCGGCACCTATATGAATACTATAACTAGCTCAAATTTGCTGACCTAGAATACAATAGTACTCCTTACTCCACCCGGAACAAGCAAAGGGAATAGCAGTTCTATAATAGCCCCTGATTTATGCCTTCTTTACAAGACACATTCTGAAGGTAAACCCAGTCCCAATTAAATATAGACTTGTGTTATATCATATTGTCAATTTCAGTGCAATTAACTGCCATGATCAAAGTTTCATCCCATAGTATCATCATGTATCGTTTCCATACCATATTCACCCATAGTAAGAAACAACAAGTAGAACAAGAAAAATAGTAGCAAAGCATAAGCATTATGTACATCCATTGCATGTCATATCATATCATACCATATCAAATCCATAACCATATCATATCGAATCATTTAGTGCTTTCCCAATCAATCAAGCAAATCAAGCAAGCAGTAATCAACCAACAAATCAATCACTCTCACTCAAACTATCCCTTCTCCTCCCTCGTCCTCCCTCCCTTCTATACCCCTTACTCAGCCCCGGGATCGGGTGATGATAACTCCTGGTCCCTGTATCCTCCGTATCCACATTCGAATACTGATACTCGGACCTCGATGGCGCCGACGACGAGAAATCCAACGGTTCCGTGTAATGGCCCCGCACGGACTGTCTCTCCCGCTTGCGGGGACTACTCGTCCGCGATCCGGAGGATTCACTAGGCGGGGGATTCCGGCGTCTCTCACGCCGACGGTTATGTCTTCTCGCCGAGGGTTCTCGGGTGTGGTGGCGGTCGCGGTCGTCGCGGGTGGGCGCCTGGCTAAGGACTTCCTCGCTGCCGGGTACGAAGGAGAAGTCGCGTCGTCTGCTCTGTTTCCGGGATGGCGATTTTGTAGCAGGGGCAGGATCATAAGCGTAATCGCGGACTTGACTACCGCTGATTTCGCTCTGGTTGTAATGACTCGCTGGGTTGGAGAGATCGTAGTCACTGCCATAATAGGTTCCCTCTCCTTCGCGGTTAATGCCCCCGACTCGGGCGGCCTTTTCCTTTCTGTACGCGGCAACGTCCTCGTCGACTTCGTTTTCCCAGTTCGCGGTCATTTCGTCGTCCTTGCGGCGGCGACGGAATTTCTCGCGGAGCTTGCGGCGGCGTTTGCGTTCTTTTTCGGCGGAGGTCGCGCCTGTTACGCCTGTCTTCTCGGTGAGGTTGGTGGCTGTTTCGTCGGTGTAGGTGTAGCCGTCGTCGCTGTAGCCTTTGTGGTAGACGCTGCCGCCGCCAAGTTTGGTGCTCTTCGTGGCGTTGGATAGCGTGCGGCCATCGGGTCCTTTGCGGCGGAGAACGGTCGATTTGTATTCTTCCCAGTCGCCTTTGCGCCAGATGAACCCGCCGTTTTTGGCCCAGAAGAAGAACCAGATTGCGGCGAGGACGAAGGCGGCGCCAAGGATGGCGAAGAGGGCCATTAGGCCTTTCATGTTGATGTGGCTTGGTTCGACAGTGCCGGAGCCGGGGGCCCAGGTTTGGCTGGAGCGGCCGAAGAGGTGATGGTGAGGGGCATTTTGTTCATGCTGCTCTGAGGTGGTGATGGTGTTTTGGGTGCTGGCGGGGAGGAGGGTGGCAGAGGGGTGGATGGGAGGCATGGTTGTTGGGTTGAAGAGCCGTCAAGAGCTTGGAGCTCTAGACGGGACTCTGGATGGGGGTGATGATGGTTAGTTGAGTTGTGGGATGGTAGATGTATGGGGTAAGATTGGAATGTGGATGCGTACCTTTATCGAGGTTGTCAGTGTGAGATCGAGTTTATGGTTCTTATCTGAATTCCGATCGGTCGGGATACTATGTAGATTGTAGATGGTTGGAATGTGGATCGCACGATGTGGTGTAATGCTAGACAAACTGGTTAGTCTATGCCACGGTGGTAGTGACCAGCTCCGTCAGGGACGGAGAAGGGCAGAATTGAAGACACTCAGCGAGCAGAATGGAGGAGCAGCCGCCGAAAATGAGGAGGTTGGAGTAAATGGCGAGGCTGGGGATGACGCCGGTTTGTTTGGGTGTCTGGCGTGGCCCCGGCAACTCGCTTACTCAGCAGCCCTATCTTATCAGGATCAACCATCTAAAACTAAGTCTACAGACAGAGAGTCCTTGAGCCTAGAGGGACCGGATCGACAGTGCGTACGAGTCCAATTACGATACTTGCGGTTATTCCCGATGACAGTCTTGATGTGGCCAATCTTCTTCACTGGAAGCTTACGGATGTTCAACAAGCAGGGGGCGGGAGGCGACAATGAATCTTGCGCGTTGACAGCGGGGGGACCCTTGAGATTAGCTGGAGTAAAGATAGTACAAACGGAGCCGGAACACTGGGATCGGCGGATGGTTGGCTGTGGATAACACTAGCAGCCCCTGGAAATGGATTTAGTCTCATCCAGGAAATGAGTCACGAGAATTGGGCATCAACGTCCGGAGGATGGATATGAAAGACGGGAAGATTGAGGGATATACCGAGGTGATCGTGGGCTGAGTCGACAGTAATAATCCGAGATGTTCTGACTGATTTACATTTCCGGTGCTCGGTGGTGAGGATGAGAGTATTATTTACCCGATAATTGACAAGAAGCGGTAGATTTGAGTCCGTAGCGCATCAATTTGAGCCAATGGCAATGAATGTAATTCTAGTAAGCTAGTATGACGCAGAAACCACGTTGAAGTTATGCCTCACTCAGCCTCAGCTGAGCCGGGACAGGAAGGTCGCCTGATTAGAAATTCCAGATGTCGCCTTTACTGTCTTGCCCCGTCCGAAGGCATGCCAACAGTATTCGTACAGATGCGTACTAATTGCGCTGTGGATAGGCAATCTCTCACTGGAGCCAGACGTGTGAAAACACGACAGTGTTCCATCAATATGACTCACGGGATCTTTGATTTCTAAAGCCCTTGTCATGAGGTTAATGTGATTTCAGTGCCCGAGGAAGCTTGTTGAGAAGCAGCAAGAACTAGGTTGATTGATCCATTGACCAACGTTGCCACAAACATGGTATCCAGCTCATCCGAGATCGGAGTACCTTGGAGGAATGGATGTATGATTGATTGTCACAGGTTCATCTATGCCTGTCATTCGCAATCAACAACCGTCAGGACTATAACAAGCCGGAGCAGAGAACTGCGATGCAATTTGTTTGCTAGCGGGCAGTGTTGTCGGGAACCCATTTTCTAGCGTGCTTCGACTCCATCTTCCATGCCGTTTGCTCACCGGAATCTCCACCTGGATAGAGGATCAAGATATCAGCCAGCTAGACGATGCCGGAAAGTGGGGTAGAAGAGCATTCTAGAGTAGAAGACCACTCCTTTATGTCATGGAGAGTTCTATCTGCAAGAAGTTGGAGGAAAGCTTTTCTAAATCTTTGTCTCGCGCAGGACAGCTTAGAATAATCGCATTTAATGGATTTACCTGAATAACACCTATCGAGTTTGCATTGACCCGTTTTCCAATTTAACATCGCAAAATCTGGATAGCGAAACTCTTTTTGTCGTTGCCCCTCCGGTTGAGAGATTTTCACCTGCAGAGGCGGACGGCAAGAAGCGCCGCAGTGGAGGCCGCAGTCGTTATTGGGCCGCAACGGGGTCCTGCCAGCGTCCAGGACTTTTGGGCAGCCAACAAGACGGGAAAGTCTCGGACAGAGCATGGATCATATCTTATTTGATTATTGCAGACCCATGACGATGTTCACTGCTCAGCGCTGATCACACGGAATGGGAAATGACGGATTTGGGTAATGGTTGAGGAAGCTCCCCGTCCATCATCCCCATCCCCATCCCCATTCACCATCATCATACATCGTCCTGTTAATCTTGTAGTGGCAGTCAAGGCTGGTCCTTGGTTCGGTTCCGCTCAGACCCAGGGTTCCTCCGATGGAGCCCGGGTTTATTTGGTGGGGGAGCCTAGCGGTTTTATTTCCACTCCCCTGGCGTTATGGCCGATACGCAGTTATGGCCAGTGCCTTTTGGCGTTTCCAATGACGCACTAGTGGTTAGGTTGGGACTTGAGAGAAAATGAGCTTCCGATGAAATTCCAAGAATAAGGTCCTAGAATCCATCGTGAATAAGGCTTCGTGCTACACTGTATAGTACCCTGTTGGGAGGCGCGGATCGTTGTCAATCACGAGGCAGGATGATTCCGGCCAGTTGCTAAGCAGTCCTGGTACGACGCGCCATGACAATGTTGACAGACTAACAACGGACGTTGCACCAGAATGCCAGCTAATCTAGCTCTCCAGCCGAGAAGTAGAGGACAATCTCTTTGACGATGTGCCTTGGCTCATTACTGTGTCACTGTGTCACTCTGTCATGGTTGAGTACCGACGGGGATACCTTGTACAATAAACCGCCATGCATACCCGCTTTTCATCTCTTCGGATACATTGCGCCTTACTATGCATGCACTTAGAGGCAGGGAACGAAGCATGTGACGTATCTGAGGGACTCAATATTTGAGGTTGGGTTTTTCGGGTTTGTTTTTCCTCATCTGACCTGGGACTTGGGACTCAACTGACGAACAGACTCAATGATAAGGAGCCTTGCGCGTACACCTTTGAAGAAGTCCGAGTTCTAGGACTGGCAGAAGCTCATATTGGTAGTTTTGCAGGCAATATCAAAATGTCGAAATGTGATGGCGATAAGCATTCGATGACTGTAATGGATCCGGGGAATAAATGCCACGCGCTCGGAATAAAAGCCTACAGCTTAGGTACCAGGGTTGGATACCCGTGGGAGTGAGTGGGCTCAAAGTATAATCCCGGACATCAATTCCTCGACATTTGGATAGATCAAATCAACTCTGTCATGGAGCGGTTGATGGACTGTGCCTATGGCGCTGATACGCCAATGGATAGAATTGATCCCGACCTTGCATCTGCAGGTGAGTTCCCTGTCGACAGGCCAAATATAAGATCCTGCTGAAGCAGACCCCAGCATGTGTGACGTATGTAAGGTTCGTGGGTGGTAGGAACTGTGTTTACTTCTCAAGTCATCTTCATTCTTGAACCCGGATTTCCTTGCTATACTACTCGCACTGGAGATAGTTATTCCGCAAGTGTGTTTATTCATTGTAGACGCGGGAGAAAAATCCTAATGGACGGTAACGAGCGGTAATACCGGGTGAGTTAGCGGCAGATCAGGCATCGACCGGCAGCCAGTCAGGGTGGCATCCCCACCTCCTTGCGACTCCGTTCCGACTCTCTTTCTTCTTCCATCCAGAAATGCCTCGGATAGAAATGAGGCGCGACTGGCTGACAGAGATCCGGAACGGAAGAAGGAAGACTAGCAGGGAAGTGTCCATGAAGGCAGAAAAAGGATCGGGAGAATGGAAGGGAAAAAAACAATGAAGGAGGGATGTCTGAATATGGAAGAAAGGGAAAGCATGTCAAATGTGCAGTTACGATGTCGATACTATATTGCTCAAAGCATAGTGGGAGGTGCTGTTCTCTTCAGCCATCCATCCTTAAGGGGACTTGAAAAAAGAAATCTTTCCAGTGGTACGTAGTAGATAAGTAAATACTTAGTAGGAAGTATTCGCGCTGAGTCACGGTGATAACTTTGATTGGCGTGTGGTGGTGGTATTGTTTTCCTTTGGTTTCGCACTTCAAGTTCGTTGAATCCGATCTGGAACTCTGTAATTCCGCCTTGCATCCGTCCTCGGGTCTGATTCGATCCGGGTCTGTTGGTTTTACACACAGTCAAGTATGAGGGTGGTTTATTATTATCCCCTTCACTTTTCTCAATTTTATCTTTCAAATTCTTTACGGAGTAGGGATATCGTGAGCATCGTTCCGATCCGGTCCAGGGATGATGGAATGAAAGCTGACCGAAGACGCTGACTGACTGACTGACTGACTGACGGATCTGCTCATTAAAAGGCCCTCCATCCAATCTACTCTGTGTATTCTTTCCATCCTCTCGGGCATTCCTCCCAGAACCATCCCCACCATTAGTGTTACGGACTAGAAAGTATCTACTCCATAGCACAAGTCAAAAAGCAGTCCGTTCATCCTCGAACCCCACTTTGTCTGGTCTCTTTCTTTCCCCTCCATCCACATCTTGGATTCCATCTGCCTCTCTCCATCCATTCGGTTATCCACTCTTATTCTCTTTCCCATTTACTTCCACTGTTTTTTGCCTTTTCCCCTCCCCCTCTTCGTCAGGCCTCGACGGGGAACAGAAACTCTACTTTTGAAACCAGACAACCAACCTTATCATATTACCACCGCCACAACCAAATACTACATTTCTACGACACACAATCCAGATAAATATAATCAACCCAGAAAAACCGAATAAAATTTCCCGCCAACCGTCATTCGGTTACACGCTGCCCGACTGCATTGAGACTTGCAGCCCGTGGACATTTTCTGCCGGTCATCCTCCACTCACCGTCTGCCAGACTACAACTGCAGGCGCGCGCGCTCCTCCTTCTGTCTCGTTTTCCTTTTCTTCTGCTTCGCTCCTCCGTTGGTTGATTTGCTTGACCCACGCCTACAACTTCCTCTCTCGCCGTCCACTCTTTCCGCCCGACTACTACTACTAGTAGATACCGTCTCGTTTCCACCGCTGACCCTCCACGCGCCAAACCAACCATAACCGACGCCTTCTCTTTTAATTGTTCTTTTTTTGTTTTTCATTATTCTTCGATGGAGCCTATGCAGACTGTGGACGACGACTATTTTCACCAGGAATCCACTCTTCGTCGCTGACCCCCGATCTAGACACACACACACACCGTCTCCTGACTATCGCCTGGCCCATCTGCTGCCGGTCTCGTTTGCTTTGTTGAGGCTACCGCAGAAGTGGATTCCCCCGACACTGGCACTGGGCTGAAAGGGGAGAGGGTGAAGCAGCCCAGCACCACCACTGAATTATCACTGGACGAGAAAAATTAACAGAAAGAAAAAAAAAAAAAAAAAGAAAGAAAGAAAGAAAGAAGAAAGACTAAAAAAAAATTTCTGTCTCGTTGAGTCATTCGCATGAGCAGCAGCTGGTGGCTGCTGTAGGCCACCCGGAGTCCTGAAAGCCTGTTGGATCACCACGTTTCACGTCATCCACACTGCACACTGTCGAGCCCTTTCCCAATCAATCAATCCAACCTCTTCCCCCCCCTCTCGTCTGTCTGTCTTGTCTGTCTCCCCTTTCCCTAAACCCACACCCACAATACCCCCCCCCTTCCCCTCTTAGGGTCGGGCCTTTCCTTGGCCGCCTTTCCAGAAGTCATGTCTGGAAAAGTCCCTCACGCCGCCTTCTGTGAGGAATATGATGAAGATGCCCATGTCATCCTTCCCGACACTCGTCAAGTCGCCAACCTCACTTCTAAGCGCTCCAAGCCTGCCTTGAGATCGCCTGCAGCCCCCCTGGTCGACGTTGCAAGTGACTCCGGCTATTCTAGTCGTACCGCCGCCACCGTCAACAGCACCCAATCTGGGCCGTCGGGCCGGAAGAGTCCTGTCCCTCTTAAATTAGACACTACCCTCGTCAAGCGCGCTGACTTGGTCCGCGTTCGATCCAAAAGCACCAGAGAACAGTCCAAACCACGGATCGTTCGTCCCCCTCGTGAGGACAAAATGCAGGTCGGCGCCTATCCCAACGGCGTGAGCCATGCTCCTGCCCACGCTCAGCGGTCTCCCTCCAGGCCTCGTCGCCGTGAGACTTCGCAGATGCGCCACTACCCAGGCACCTGCTGGGAGTGTGATCAGGGCTTGTACCATGCGTCTTCTTCGACTCCGGTTGACAGCCGACCATCCATGGACTATCCTTACTACATGTCGCAGCCTCCATCATCGGCTCACGACTATCCTCCTCCCCCTTCACCGCGCGGGGACCCCCGATACGCTCCCAACCCGGTCCAGGACATTCATGTGTCTCGTTCCAGTCGCCCCTCCGCCCGTGGCGGGGGTCCCATCTACCATCCCAACAACCGACCGATGAGCTTTCACGGCATGCTGCCTGGAATGGGACAGATGGTGTACCAACCATCCGGCATGAGTCGCTACGAACATGGGCCCCCGCCGTCCTCGTCGGCGTACGCCTACAACCCATCCTCGTATGCGCCTTCTCATTACTCGCAACAGTCGCCTTATTACAGCGGCATGTCCGACTACGGCGCCCCTTCCGAGCATCGACAGGAGCGATCGGTTTCCAGCACGCGGGATGGGCGGGGGCGCCGCCCGTCTGTATACGGTGCGCCTGTGGTTGATTACGACTCTCCCTCAGCTGCCTTTGATGATGACGAGCCCTTGGACGCTGCCCCTCCTGCGCCGCCACCACCACCTCGGGAGCCTCGCCCCCGCCTTCCCTCTCATTCTTCCCATGATCGCGACGAGGACTACTACCGTCGGCCACCACTGAAGCACAAGAACACCCCGCATATCATCCAGAAACGCCCAGAGCCGCGCAAGGGTGTATCTGCACCATCCGTCACGTCCGGGCACTCTGCTAGGTCCTTTGATATGGCTGACATGAAGGATGCTTTGCCTGACGGCTACGGCTACCGGCGGTCCTCTCGGGAGACGGTCGTGCCGGCGCGAAGCCGCAGCTACCGGCGCCCTACAGCGTATCACGACTCTGCTAGACCCTCGCGGATTGCCGTGGAGAACTCTCGTCGCCGTCAGCCAACTATCTACGACTTCCCAGACGACGATGATGATGATGATGATGACGACGATGACGAGGAAGAGGATGACGAGATGGATGAGAAGCATCGCGAGGCGGAGGAGTACCAAGCTACCCGCACAGTGAAAGCACCAGTGCCCCCGGCGCCACCCGTGCCCTTGACGGCAGATGCTCTCTTCAAGGCCAAGTCCTCCCAGCGCGCCGAGAGCGACAGTGGAAGCCAGAAGAGTCGCAGCAGCCGTGGGAGCGATGCCCGCACACAGAGCGGTAGCAACGCTGGATCCAAGCCAGAAGAGGACAACAACATCGTCATGACGCTAAACGGTGTCACGATGAGTTTCCCTCAGGATGGCGGAAAGAAGATCAGTGTCCGGACCGGCGAAACTGGGGCGGTCGAGCTGAACATCGAAGGCAAACAGCGGCCGAAAAAGTATTTGACCAATGGATCGGAGTACACTGGCAGCGTGGCTCATAGTCGAAGGGAAATCGAAGATGCCCGACGGGTAAGGGAAATTGAAGATTCCCGGCGGGTGAGGGAGATTGAAGATGCCCGGCGGGTACGGAGTGATCGCAAGTCAGATCGTGCCAGTCGACGCTCTAGCCGATCGACCTACGGTGGTCGATACTAGTGGTGCTTGACGACCATGATAACCTCTGGGGATATCGCTCCTACCTGTCCTAGTATTTCTTCTGATCCACGTTTTGTCTCTTGCAACCTCACGCACTTCATCGGTTAGACTTTCGGAGCAAGGAGCGCTGTTTGCTAAAAGTTCTTCTTCTGTCTTTATTGGGCGATCATTATGCGGCGGACCTCTGAACCGTCACAATAACCAAATGGACGTTTAGTCCCTTCTGCCCTAGTTCTTGAAGAAGTTGGAAGGTTCGTTTTGGGAAAAAAGAGCTCTGTTTTTGCCATGGGAGGCTATTTATTGCATTGGTATGGTTTACGACTTGGTTTTTTGTCTCGGGTGTTATAAAGAGAAGAGGCGGGTTTCACCGATCACGTCCATCATGGCGACATGATTGTATGATTCTGATGACCTGCATGACCTTTGTTTATGTCTGATGTTATGTCTTATGTTTGATGTCATGTTGATGCCCCATCATGTCCTGTGTCTGGTATTCATATTGCGATTTTCAGTGTCTGGGAGCGTTTGTATTATTTCTTTCAAATGGCCCGCCTTGTTCCTTCTGCCGTATGCTCGTCACGATATGAGTAACGGCAGAGGAAGCAGGTATACCCGGTTATGTGATTCGATGTATTTCCTTCACCCCAATTCCCCTTGAGTTATTTTCTCCTCCCCTTTGCGTAGTTGGGTCTTGCCCCTTTTCATCCAGCTTGTACCTGTGTTATCTTCATGGATACCTACCTCTGTTTGACCACCTTTGATGATTCCCCTTGCTGCTGCTGTTGGTATTCTTCAACCATCTGGTGGTGACGGAGCTATGGAATGATATTATTCCTTCCTAGCGACGATGTCTCCATACCTTGTTGTGTTTTCTGTGTTGTGTTTCTCCAGCTCTAGCGATTGTTTCAATACCCTTTGATGTTCACCTTACCCATCATCCAATACCCTAGCGAAAATACAATGAAAACAAGAAAACATACCATCCATAAAGTGTACCATTCCCATACGTACCGTCATCTGAAATTCTCAATAGCAGGTATATTATTCTTGCTTTTTAAACATAGTATACTATCTATTACCGCCATCCACATTCACAAAATCCTACTATAGACAAGACACCCGAGCCTTCCAACACAAAAGATCCCTACCCCAACCACAAAACTCATCGCAAATCGTTAATTAAAGCAAGCAAGTAGTACTAAAAGTAGTACTCAGTATACTAATCCCCCTAACCAACCTTATCGATACTACTATGCAATAAATACTAAGTCCTCCTCACCACCAACGCACAATACGCAAAAAGCCGATACACAGCAATAATACCAATAAGAATCCCCACCCACTTACCCGTCCTGCCCGTAGCATAGCCATATTCCTGCAGTACGCCCGTCCCGCGGATCTTACACTCGGAGGCCAAGTCCGTCTGGTACATGCATTGGCAGGATTCGCCGCAAGAGTAGATCCTATGCTGGAATTCGTTGACCATCATGCCTTGGAAGACGTATGCCTTTTCATCCTCCTATTAGTATTGGGTGTTGATGGAGGGGTATTTTGGGGGAAAGGGTGGAGGTACCTGATAATCTATATAATGAAAAACGTATTTCCAAAAGGGGTTGAGAATCTTGGGGGTCACGAGGAACCCGCCGACGCTCATCCAGAGACCGTTGGCGAAGGCGACGAGGGCGAGGGAGATGACGAAGTTGGGGAAGATGGAGGTCATGAAGACGACGAGGGATTCGGCGGCTACGAGGTCGAGGAAGAGCCACATTACCCAGGTGAAGAAGGAGGTGGCGGTGGGGTTGAAGTTGGAGAGCCAGTAGGAGATTATGGAGAAGAGGAGGGAGATTAGGACTGTGTCTTGTTAGTGGAGTGGAGTGGGATGGTGGGTGGGGGGATATACAGAGGAAGGGAAGGCCGATGATAAAGTTGGAGACGATGAAGGGCAGGGCGCCGTAGAGTCCGTTGGCGCGTTCTTTGATGAAGGTCATGCGGTCTTCGATAAAGGCGGGGACGTAGGCTACTGCCATGAAGCTCATGAAGGCGGAGCCGAAGAACTGGTGGTGGTGAAGATGTTAGCTGTGTTGTCTTGATTGGGGACTTACGAAGGGGCCTTACGATTGCGTTGATAAAGGGCTGGATGTAGCTCTGTTCGGTGTGCAGACGCAGCCAGACGGTTCCCATCATGATTGCCAGCCCTAATGGATAGGTCAGTTTCGTCTCCCCTGGAGGTGGCCGAAATACATACCCAGGTACATGACGATACGGATGCCGTATGCCACAACATCACGGTAACTCTTGATGAAGGAGCGGTGCAGGAGGGTAAGAGTGATGCTGAGAATACCCGGACGACTTAGCTCGTCCATTTCAGTTTTAGCTGCTTGTTTCTCGGATACCATGGTCCGCTGCGAGACCTGGTCTGTCAGCGCTGCGGCATTGGAGGATTCAGCCCAGCTTGTATGAATCCGCTGGACCTGATCCTTGGACATGGTTTGTGTGCTGCCTAAGAAATCGGAGCTGACAAGATCGAGGATGAACTCGGCTGGGTTGGTGTTCATTGGAAGCGAGTAGCCAATAGTGTCAAAATAGGTCGGCACTTCTGTCACAGGACCGAAGTAGCACGTTTTTCCGCTCGAGAGGAGGAGCAGCTTATCGAAAAGCTGGAATGTAGTCGTGGACGGCTGGTGAATACTAGCAATTATGATGAGCTGTGAGATGTTAGCCTGGTTGGACTTCTCCGAATGAATGTTAGCGTACGTTGTTCGCAATCGCCATCTCCTTGACGTAGGAGATGACCTCAAAGCTAGCAGACGAGTCCAGTCCGCTCGTCGGTTCATCCAAAAACAGGATCTTAGGGCACGTCATGAGTTGACTTGCCACGCTGACACGCCGTTTCTGACCACCACTGATTCCCTTGCGAATGGGCGTGCCAACCAAAGTAGATGCCTGGTTCTGGATTCCAAAAGCTTGTAAAAGAGACTGAATGCGCTCCTTCCGTTGAAGCTTCGTAACGGAGCTAATTCATTAGCACTACCGCCAGTCACCACAGCATAGGAAGAGACACACCTGGGCAACGAGAGATCTGCGGCGAATTTTAATGTCTCGCGCACCGTCAGCGACCCGATCAGCGCATCCTCCTGCTCCACGTAAGAAGTAAGTCGGCCAAACGTCGCATTATCAACAGTCTTCCCGTCTATATAGCAATCTCCAGTCGTCTTTGCTCCCGATGATGCTGCGCGACGAGCCAGAACGTTAAGTAGTGTAGTCTTGCCGCATCCCGAGGGACCCATCAGAGCGACTAGTTCGCCTATTCATTGGTAGAGTTAATCGGGTGTTCGTCCGGGATGGATACATAGAGTTCCGGGAAGTAGCCACCAACCTTGCTGAACTGACCCGCTGATACGATCGATCAGGTTCCGGGGCTGTTTAGTATGGCGGTCCTTGACGGTGACGGTGAGATTTCGCCAGGAAAAGTCGTTGACGGTATTATTCTTAAAGAAGCTGGAACTTTCGTTGCGCTCGAGGTCAGAGCCATCGAGCTTAGATGAGAGGTCATCCATTTCTTGTGGTCTCGAATCGATGGATGAGGTCCGGAGTATAGTAACTGGTGGTCGGCGACAGCTTGGAATATGGGAATAGCTGAAGATTTCACAGTGCTACACCTCCGAGCATGACTCGAAGTCTCTGTGGTAGTCAGAACAGCAGATAGTAGTAGTATAGCTGTCAAGCAGAATGAAAACAGAAAGGATCAGAAAGAGGAGGGAAAGCCGAAGTAAATAAACGACTCACAGACCACTGCAAGAGAACCCCGGTCCGGTCACAAGGGAGGGACAGCGAGACGCAGCTAAGCTCCAGCTCATTACATCCATACTGAAAAAAATAAATGCCATGTGGGAATTTGGGTGAACTTCTCCGTGATTCTCGTGTTGCTTCGCTGCCACACTTAGGGACCCAAGATGAGAGTCTTGTTGGTTCAGGTCCCCGAAGCCCGCGCGCAGGTCGCCACATTCACCTCCAAGCCCGAGGACGCCGTCTTCGCCCGTTCGCAACGATCATAAGCTGACTGAGCCACGATGAACTAACTATCTCGATAAGTAGACTAAGTTAAACCATTAGTTTGTTGAGCTGGTGGATCGCCGTGGGGTCCACCTGGAGAAGAAGGAATCTGAGAACGCCGTTCGTGCTGAACCGAACGCCTTGTGGGCGGGAAAAAAGCAAGCATGGGGGAACTATTAGCGATGGATTGGAACCAGTCAGTCTCCAGACACCGATAGTCATGGGTAGTGATTGGTGGCATCTCCTCCAGACCCTGGACAGGATTCTTATCAGCTCCTGCTATTAAATGACTAGTCTTGCCAGCTGAACAGCATCAAAAGGAAAATCGTCCATCAGGCTGAAAGAACCCCTCTCTCTATCTACGACTCGGCCAAAGTTTCCCTCCCTTCGAATTCCAGTCACTCATACTATACTAGACCAGGTTTATCTTTTCTACCAGCAGTAGTAAATACTTAATACATGGTGAGTTACAAGGCTTTCAGCCCCGCCATGTCATCGGGGACCTGCTTATTCCCCCTCCTTTCCTCTTCTGTGCATGTGATGAGAAAGAGATACTATTTCCCCAATAGATTTCTAAATGAGTACTAACCTGCCTACCAACCTCCTCCAGTCACATCTTCCATCCCTATCATCCAATATAAGCCCATAGATTGCATGATAACAAACAATGTGATATGTGCCTCCCTCTCTGTACCTGGCTGGCATCACATCTTGGTGTAACGGTCGCTTGCCGATCCCCTACCCACTCCGTCTTAGTCCAAGATGCACAATGCAATTAATTCATCCTGACTACATCACCGCTCCTTTCCCCCCCATCACGCAGACGCAGGTGGAGGCTTTGTTCTGGCTTTTGAGTTTGGCGGCGGAAGATTAGTGTGCGATCGGAGGCGGACGTGGCTTGAGATTGGAATGGGCTTGTCTGCTTATTGAATGGAAGAACATGTGCCTATCGATAAAGTAAAGATGTGCTAGATACGCGTCGGTAGAATAGTTTGTACTACAGCGGGTGTAAGACAGATGTGATCACAGTGAGCAGACCTGCTTGCGTGGCACTTGATGAGAGAGCCACGCCTAGTCAGTCCAGATGGAAACGCCCTCACTTTCAATGGCGGTATATCCAAACATTGATCGGTTGGTTGTCTTCTAGATTCGCTTTCAGATATTTGAAATTATTGATCACTGTACTTGGTTTGTTGATCAGTGTAGATTAGACTCGAGTCATGCATTTTTCCAATGATACACTAAAATTAAAAGCTAATACAAACACTCCCGGCGTGATGCCAGAGTCCTGAACGAAAAACCTCACGCAGCCTTGCTAGGAAGGCTCAACACAGCTGGCCAGAGACCCGTTTAGGCGCTGCAGGAAGCGCCCGAGGGGACGTTCTTGCACTTGCTGCTCTTCTTGCCGCCAGTCACATCAACACCGCTCCAGGTCCAGTTCGAGCAGCTGCCGGAACCGCACAGGATGTAGATGTCAGTACCAGAGCTCTTGACGCTGCCGGTGACCTTCTTGAAAGTGATGTCCTCAACCTTGACACCGTTGGTGGGCGTGCCGGTGGGGCTGCCGTTCTCGTAGTCCTGCTCAACGACAATACCGTACTTGCTGATGTCGGACAGGGTGATGTCCTCAAACTTGACGTTCTCAACAGTGCCAGTCTTGCCGTAGATGGTCTTGATGCGGACACCGTTCTGGGAGTTGAGCACCTTGGAGTTGGAGATGGTCACGTCGTTGACGGTGTTGTCGCTGCGGCCACCGATGGAACCGATGGAGAGACCGTGGCCACCATCACAGTAGCCGTTGGTGAAGGTGATGTGCTGTGTTCTAGTCAGTCTCTAATCACGTGTGGCTACGGGACAGTGGCAGCGCGATGGGGCAAGACATATACACACCTCACCCGAGTTGATGGCCAGGCAGTCATCCTGGTTGTAGACGGTGGCACCGTCAATGGTGATGTAGGTACTCTGGCCAATGTCAAAGGCATCGGTGTTGTGACCCTTGCTGGTACCGGCGGAGTTGTCGATGGTCACATCGGTGATGGTCAGGTGGTCGGCCAGAATGCTGAAACCCTGGACAGGGGTGTTGTAGACCTTCAGGCCGGTGATGCTGGACTGGTCGAGCTTGTGGGCCTGGAAGAACTTGGGCTTGGTCTTGCCACCGTTGCTACCCTTGCCGTCCCACCAGCGAGCACCGTCGCAGTTGATCTTGGCACCGGAGGCCTGCTTGACGGTGATGTCGGTACCGGACATGGAGATCAGGGGACCCTTCCATTCCTTGTAGCCGAAGGTGGTCTCACCCTCGAAGATGACCTGTGAGGGAAGAGAGTTAGTTGGTCCAATCGGAGTAGGAAGAGTACTATGGGAGCTAGAGAAGACGTACGGTGGTACCCTTCTTGAGGCCAGTCAAGTCAAGAGTCTCACCGGCGGGGACCGCGATGTTGTCGAGGGTGATGGTGGAGCAAGAGGACTTGCCGGACTTGGCAGCAGAGGCGGAGGTGAAAGTGCAGGAGCGCTTCTCGAGAGGAGCAGCGGCGGCCAGCGCAGCGCCCATAGTGGCGGCCACAACGGCGTTCTGGAGGAAATGCATGATGATAATGAAGGAATGGAACCTGGATCAACCGGGTACGATTAAGGAAGGACTAGAGAGAAGCTGGGAAAGGAAAGAGAAGAAAGAGAGACTGAGAGTGTGATGAGGGAATAGAAGATCAGCCATGGAGACGGATGCAAAGGTTCTATAAGTAGGTTTTTCGTTTGACTTGTTGGTGTCCTCCACTCTTCTCCTTTTCTTGGATATTACGGCGAGACATCGGAAGTATGAGAATGGGATCAGGACCCTGGAAGTCACATCGAACGATCGAAGGGACTCGATGGAGACGGCGGTTTGAGGATGAAATGAAGTGGGATCTAGACTTGCACGGAACAGGAAGGAAGGCCAGCCAAGCTCGCTAAGCTCGAAGAAAAGACAGGGTCCGATGGATTCCAAAAGGGCAGTAGCGCCCAGTAGGGCCAGCGCGCCTTCCCCACTCGGGAACCTTTAGGCATCCGGGTTTTTGCTACTTTCGGCGCCATCCCGAGACATTCCTTTATTATGCTTTCGCTTCTTTTCTTATCGATCGCGTTATTATCGCTGATGATAAAATCTCGGCAGTTGCGTTATTTGCCGGCTTCTTCTTCCTCGGCTGGTGAGAAAAAGAGAGCAATGAACACTTGACATATGGTTCTCGGGAACACCCTCATGATCGGCAGCATTGGCATCTCGACGATCCCTAGCCCTACTGCCCTAAAGACTCGGCCTCCCGAGGCATCCGAGGCGGATACATAGAATCTTCCAAGCCCACCAAAACGAGAGTTAACCGATCTCCGTAGTTCTCACCCTGAAACAAGCGGATCACGTTGCTAGTCCACATTAACCAGGGGTTCGTTAGCTGGCAGTTTCTGCACAGGATGCAATTGCCAAGCTTCCATATTATCCTCCTTCCACCACGCGCTAGGCAACCATTCGTGGCACTAAATCTCCTCCAATATCAACCACTGGATTAATTAATTAATAATATGTCATAGGCACTGGTTGGTCGGGTTTTTTCCGGAGAAAATATCCAAAGATACCCTCCTAACAATAGATTAAATTATCTGGGATACCAATATAGCGTGTCTAGGAAGTAGGAAGATTCAATCCAAGGCAGGGGAATACTAATATCTACTTCAAAGCACCAGCGGGACTCTGTTCGGTAACTAGTGTTGCCGATCCCCGACAACATATGGGCTATCATGCTTTGACGAGTGTTTGCTGGAAGAGCAGCAGCTTCTCAGTCGAGATTCCGGGGCCACTGTTTTCCTCTAGTGTTCAAATTGCGTTCCCTTGAATAGGAAGCCATCTTGCCTGATGCTGTCATTCTCAGCCACCGACTAATCAGTTTAAGACAACAAGATGATTTACATGACTAGTGTATCTGTTCAAACGTGTCGGGGCTCCAAGAACCTTCAAGTGTGGACCTCAAGACGAGCGATGGAACGCAAATTAGCTGGTCTGCAACGGTCAATTCATGTCCGGATGTACAGGGACCAAAAGGCAATCTCCTTCCAGCATTCTTATTCTTATTGCAGATACCCTAACTGGCTAGCGTTCCAAGTCTTCCGCTTACAAATGCAAGCCACAATGGATCCCTTGTCGCACCATAAACTAACCGGTCAGTCGTCCGAGCTTGAGTGCTTATACCTCGACTATCACACATCCCGTATAGTATACGAACAGACAAGACCATCGCAATTGACAAAGATGTGCCTAGGCAATAGCACAGGGACTACCAAACTAACTTCTGATTGCCCGGCAATCAGAAGCTGCAGCCCAGACACAAAGCATTGTCTCTTGGAAGCCCTTACAACAACCGACAACTGCTGAATTAGCTTCTAGAAGATACAGAACCCCTCCATTAGACAGATTCCTACAATAACTGAGGTGCAGCAAGGAAATCGCTCCACACTACTTTACGTATCCTTCATATGTACGTCTGGAACCCCACTCCCCACTATCTGACACTAGGTATCTGCCGGCAAAGTTAGCCCATTCCTTCAGCTAGTATAATCAAAAGTTTGCCCCTGAAGCACACCACCATATAACCGGATGCATATCGAAGCACGCTAGACGGTTACTCACAGTGGGTAGTCGGGACACTTCCTCTAATCAAGGTACTAAGCGCTAGGAAGCGGAAAGCCTATGAGATTTATGAAGGCTCCATTCACCCGAGAAGCCAAGCCAACCGATGACACTTGACGTGAGCAAAACCGTATTTGATAAGTCAGACTTGGAGAATTCAGGAAAATGCTGAGCTATTGGAAACCAGTTTCATTCTGATTAACTTGGTCTTCTAGCGGATTAACGGAAGTATATCACCAATTTCCGAGGAAAAACGAGCCTGTTCCGAACTGCGATTTGGAAATGTTCCGTGGGATTTCCGATGTTCAATTAAAAGGAAACATGCAGATTCGTATTTTCATGATGAAATTAGAGAAGGGCTACAGGTCCCATCAAGAGAAGAGCGGTAGGAAGCGTACTGTGACAGCCTTTCTATATTCCAAAGGGTATCTAATTGGTAGAAATGATGAATCAAGCCCTTGTGCTACGAGTCGTGCCACATCGCCTTACTTAACTACGACAGTCACTTTGGTCACATAAGACCATAACAGAATAAACACATGCATAAAATATTGACCACTTTAATTCACAGTCCGAGCATGATTCTAAGAATTCAATATAGCGAAGAGACGTAAACAATTCAAGTTCAGTGGTCAGATTTGCATTGTTCACCAAGGACATATACGTACCTGATGAGTAGTATCGTCTAGAATTGCTTTTCCTTCCTTTGACTACTAAATGGTGGTATCAACGGGCCAAAGGAAAGCTCACTGGGTTGTTCTTTACTTTCAAAGCCTGAATAGTATATAGTCAGTGAGCTAACTAAATCACCATTGAGTGAGAACTATGCATACTACCAAATATATTCTTACTACTAATGGATACTATGAATCCTTCTCGACTGCTAGCAGCTACCATAATATCTATTATCATTGTAAGAGCCCCAGTACTACAGTTAACCAACATTATTAAGATAATCTGTGGTTCATTCATCGCACTTCAACTTCAACCAAGATATATATACCAGTAGCCTTCAATAATGACTCGATATTACACCTGAACTAAATGACCCCTTCAAACAAATCAATCCACCCCCTCAACTCACCCATCTGGACAAAACGCAAATACTACTAGTAGTAAGTTAATCAAAGTTACATCTTTTTCAAAACCCAAGTCTACTCAACTGTCTCATAAAACCCTCCATTCATTCTCAACACAAATCATATACTATAACCAAAATCCCCCAATGCGTACTAACCACGTGACCCACATGTTCAGACAATGCAGGACAGATTCTGAATAAACAATTTATTACTAACCAGAACTCTACTAAAAAGAAACCAAAATAAACTTTTGCAGGATCCCGAGGATCTGGTACAACCTGCAATTGCAAAAAGCAAAGCCGATCACATTGGTAAGTCCCCGAGGCCGAGCGTCCCCACTGGCACTGGTGTTTCCCGAGGACGGCGTCTACAAGTTACATACCCGCTCGTTTGGCTGCCTGCCTTGCGGGGTTTATTTGAGTTTCGGTGATCGTTCATGGGATCTAGACTACGACCCGATGTGAGATTCGGACGAGAGTAATGTGTTGTGCCGATCATTTCGGGGTTCATGGGGCGGAGTATTATTGCGGCTTAAAGATATTACTTTCATTAATGATCCTACGGTGTGATTGATAGTCACTTGAACGTGATGTAAACGCTAAAAAACGATGCTTGGTATTTTGTCACACTAAATGTATATCTTTTATGGTCGCTTCCATTACATACTATAGAGGATTCATTAGTGTTGTGCATATTTGGTGGTGGGAAACGGGGCTAAACGTACCGGTTGACAGGGCTGAGACCCAGGATGCGCATACCGTTGTGCAGCACCTGGCGGGCGGACTCGTACAGAGCCATACGGGCCTTCTTGAGCTCAGGCTCGCTACCAACAACCTTGAGCACATCGTAGCTGGAGCTGAGCACGTGGGTCATGCGGAACAGGTAGGTGAGGATAGTAGTGGGCTCCAGGGTGCGGGTCGTGTTGAGCAGCACATCGGGCCACTGGGCGAGCAGACGAGCAAGGTCGGTAGCGTGGGTCTCGGTCAGGAGGCTCAGGTTGGCCGTGTCGAGCTCGTCGACGTTCAGGCCGGACTTGCGCACAATGGAGCAGAGACGGGCGTGGGCGTATTGCAGGTAAGGACCGGTGTCACCCTCGAAAGAGGTCATGGCATCCAGGTTGAAGTCGTAGCCGTTGATACTGTGTTTCGTTAGCAATTTGAGAGGCTATCATGGGGCAAAAGGGATGTACGTACCGCTTTCCGGTCATGTCCTGAACCATGACGGAGGACATACCCAGGATGTCAGCAGTGCCCTCAGGGTCGGCGACCTGCTCGTACTTCTCGGTGTTCTTCTTCATGACTTCGTGCATCTTGTCACGGACATCCTGGAGGATGTCGTCCAAGAACTTGACGGTACCCTTACGGGTGCTCATACCGCGCACCATACCGAAGTTGATGTGCTGGCAGCGGCTGGCCAGATCCTTGTAGCCCATGAGTTCAGTGATCTTGAACAGCTGAGCCAAGTGGAGGTCCTGCTGAGCGGCAACGACGTAGATCATCTTGTCGAACTTGTAGGCCTCCTCACGCTCGAGGATGGCACCGATATCACGGGTCAGGTAGAGAGGAGTGCCGTCCTTGCGGACAATGATGGCCTTTCCAAGCTTCTTGGCGCCGTGCTTGGTGAAGTCGACGATGACAGCACCCTCGGACTTCTCGGACACGCCGGCCTTCTCCATGGTCTCGTAAGCGGAGGTCATGCTCTCCTGCTTGATCTGAGACTCTCCAGAGTAGACGTCAAAGTCAATGTTCAAACGAGCATAGGTCTGTCTGTACTTCTCGATACTGAGCTCACGGAACCGGCGCCAGAGAGCAAGAGCCTCCTGGTTACCATCCTCCATGCTCTTGAAGTAACGGCGGGCGTTCTCGTCCTCACTGGCATCAACAAGCTTGGCAAGCTCCTTCTCTTGCTCGGCGGCGTCCTCGCCCTTCTCCTTCTTGGCCTTGATCTGCTCCTTGAGCTCCTTAATGGGGCCCTCCTGCTCGGAGACAATACCGTTGATCTTGACGTAGACGTTGAACAGGTGGTTGATGGGGTCCTTGGTCAGCTCCTCCTCGCTACCGAACATCTTGAAACCATTGGCAAGCAGACCGTACTGCTTACCCCAATCACCAAGGTAGTTCATCTTGATGACGTCCCATCCCATGACCGTGTAGAGGTTGGCAAGGAAACCACCGATGATGGTACTGCGCAGGTGACCAGCATGGAAGGGCTTGGCGATGTTGGGAGACGAGAACTCGACGATGATCCGCTTGCGACCCTTGGAGGGGTCAGCGGGGTCGCGCAGACCAACGTTGCCATTGGTACCAAAGGCAGACTTCTCCTTCAAGATACGGCTAACGACGTTGGTGGTGAGACGTTCCGGCCGGAAGAAAAACTGCATGTGAGGACCGAAGGCAACGGGGGGGAGGATGAGGTCGGACTCGGGGAACTTCTCGACGAGTTCCTTGCACAGCTCCTGGGGGTTCTTCTTGATCTGAAGAGAGGGGACCTAGAGATAACATGCTCCATTAGTCGGTGTCATGTGGCCCAACAAAATCCAATCCAATTGTGTTTTTATGATGGTCGCGTACCGGCAACACCAGGTCACCCTTGTCCAACGAGTTCGTCCATGCGATACGGGAGAAGATCTTCTCCGCGTCCAGACCGGTGATCTTGGCAAGCTCCTCCGCAATGTGCTCTCTGTAAACGTCGACGGGGTTCAGGGAGGGGAAGCAGTTGGGGAACTTGGAGGTCTCGGAGGTCGACTGGATGGAGAGTCCCTCGACGGAGACAGCGAGGTCGGAAGCGGACGTCATGGCGGCAGCTTTGTTCTTCAAAAGCGACGCGGAGGAAAAAGACGAGCGCCAGGGATTTAAATGAGCAGAAGAAAAAGCACCGCGGGCGCAGGAGCAGCGACTATTTTGTGTGTAGTATGAGCGGACAGACTGGAAAATGCCGCTGGAAAATCGGCGTGCCCCGCTTACCAGATGGCGACCCATAAATGGAGGGGAATCGAGAGCCTCGCTTTGGAGGGGGGGACTTTTTTCTTTGCTCTGAGCCTCCATTCGGCAATCGCCCATACTGCCCGGGCGGTGAGCTCTGCCCTCATGACTCATCGGAGAGAGTCACGTGAAATATAGTCATCTGACTGCTGAAACCCTCATGTCATGTGAGCGGATATGAGACCACCCCCTTCTCTGACGTCACGGTTCTCTGCAGCGCCAGCAACGCAACCTCGTGTCCCAAACCTGGCAATTACTTCTCTCAACTTCATATTAACCCCCCAAACAGCCATGCACTATCATCACCGATATATTCTGCCCTCATTCATTCATATCCACCGCGATCATGGGTAGTAGTCGTCGTCAGGCAGCCCTATCCAAGTCTATCCAACTCGCTCTATTCCGCGACCCAGCAACCTTCCGCAAGACCCTCATCGGGCGCATCCTAGCCTTCTTCCGTATCTTCTACATTAAGCTTTTCCGATATGGAAGTCATCTTTTCCGGAAGCTGCGCAGCGAAACATGGGAGATTGACGAAAATGAGTACAAGGCGAGCTTCCGGGATGAGAAGAAAACTGTCCCGTTGAAACCAATGGGCGATCTTGGATTGTCGGGATCGGTATGAACACCATGAAAGGCCATTGGAATGTTTGTGTACTGATTGACTGCTTTGATATAGACCTTTTTCCAGACCTCCAATGGCAAATTTCTTGTCAAGAGTCTCCCCCGACACTTTGAACATTCCTTTTTCCGCGAGGATCTGCTCGAGCCATACTACGAATATATGAGCGCTCATCGCGATTCCTTATTGGTATGGATTACCGACTATGTGTATGCGCCGTATCCGACCCTCGGGAGCCTTATAGGGTCCACCCCAGCCCATCACATCATCATGGACAATATCTTGTACGGGAAAACCGAGGATCCGAACGCAGATCAATGGGAGAAATACGACCTCAAGCCGATAGATTATTTCTATCCAGAGCGGGACCTGGTACCTGATCCGCTGGTCAGCGAAGATACGCTGCGAAAGATTGCCGATCAATTTGACGACAAGATCCGGCTTTCGCAAGAACAATACGAGTCCCTGAAGCGAGTCCTGGAAGCTGACACGGACTTTCTCCGGTCGTCCAATGCAGTTGATTACTCTCTTTTCCTCGTACGGTTTCCGGCCTCCTCGCAGCCCGAGGTTGTTGGCAGGCACACTCCATGGCGCATCGGCTTAGAGTCTGCAGATGGGAAGTGGAAGTACCGTGCAGTGTTGTTGGATTTCTTCTGGGCAAGACACAAATTGCATGCCCAGGCCATGACGGGGGTGATTCAGACATTCAATGTCATTGGTCGCCAGGGGCCCATGACAATTACAACGACGGCCGACGAATACCAACAGAAGTTCCTGGCTATGGTGGATTCGATGGTGGAAGTACAGCAGTCTTAATAGACGTAATCATACAATACCTAAAGATGTTGTCTGACGCACGGCGCTCTGCGATTAATATCAAGTGACATGTATGTTGTATCCGAAATGGTAATTATTGGTCTTCTCGCATTGACTCATGACACCGTTTATCAAGCACCCAGATGACCAACGGTCGGCCCGTAACGGGCTTTTCTATCGACAATCTATCAATTACCGGAATCTGTCCTGCAGAGACAGTCTATGTCGTCCGCACATTTCGCTCAAAGAAGTCATCTCTCATTGCTGCTTTAAAAGCAGAAGACCTGGTCCTCGAGCTTGCTGACGGGACGAGCCTTGGTGTATCCGAGAGACTCGGTAGCCTTCTTCATGGCGCTAACCATGGGAGGAGGACCGCAGAGCAGAACCTTGATGTCGCTAGCGGGAGCAGGGAGGCGCTCCTAGAGAAATCGGTCAGTGGGCAATGCAGGAAGACAGACGCTGAAGGTTTGACATACCTTGATCATGTCAGGGGTGACGAAACCGACACCACCGGTCCAGCCCTCAGGAGGGTTGTTGAGGACGTAGTAGATGCGGAAGCCGTCGTCCTCCTTGGCCAGCTGCTCAAGCTCATCCTTCATGAGGATATCGTCGGGGTTCACGTTGGCGAAGATCAGGTCGACCTGGGTGGTGTCGTTTCCACCGTTACGGGGACGGTTGCGACTGATAGCCTTGATGATCTGGTACATGGGGGTGATACCAGTACCACCGGCAATCATACCAATGTGACGGCACATGTTGGGAGTGTACACCATGGCGCCCTTGGGGCCACGGACCTTCATGGTCTGACCAACCTCCAGGGTAGTCAAGTACTTGGAGATGTTACCCTGGGGGTAGGCCTTGACAAGGAGATCGAAGTAGCCAGCCTCATTGTCCGAGGAGATGGGGGTGTAGGAGCGGACAACCTCCTTACCGCCAATGGTGGCGGCAAGCGAGATGTGCTGACCGATGGGGAGACCCAGGATATCGGTGGGACGGGGCAAGGCGAAACGGTAGACAGTGACATTGTGAGAGATGTCGTTCTTCTCCTTCAAGGTGAAGTGCTGGAAATCACCGGGGTTGAGGACCTTTCTGGGCTCTAGAGAGAATTGTTGAGACTTGTCAGAAGACCGCAAACAAAGTCATACGATCAGCGTTCCTGTACGTACTGTTGCTGAAAACCTTCCAGCCCACAAGCACCGCAGCCAGAGCAACGGCAAAGGGGGTCAATTCCTGCTTGAAGAAGAAAGTTCCGGCGACAAACAGGGCCGAGGGGATGAAGGCCCCGGTGATGTTCTCGGGGGAGAAAGCACTGTTTTGCGACAACGTTTTTGTTAGCCGCCCATCAGTCACGGAGCGAGTAGCACGCGCACATACCTCATATTGGCAATTCCTCCGGTAACCCCTAGGATATTATAAAAGAATAGGAAACAAATAATTAAAAAGGGGGAGGAGGGTAAAGGGGGGAAAGAAAAAGAGGAGGGAGAGTTGAGTATTGAAAGAGAGAATGTGAGGAGATGAGGAGAGTGTCGGGGTTTTGTGACGGTAATTTTCGGTGTCGGTCACGGGAAGACAGTCCCGATCGGGCCACTGGATCGGCTTATCGATAAGTTTGTTGAGGCAAATCAATTGATTATCGGTGAAGATAATAAATTAAGAGTATGAAATGCTGCCATGGATGAATGAGTTGATCAGAATATGACCAGAGAATAATCAACCAACAACATGACAAGATTAATAGCACCTCCGATGTGCGGAGAAACCGCCCCAGTCAGCATGTGAACAGCCAACTCATTCAGTGCGCGGAATCAGTCCCGTTGGGGATTTGCTTTCCTGGGGTAAGCATTCCCGTCTTCGTTCACGGTTCCCTCGCTGCTTCTTTTTTTCCTATCTCGACAAATAATTCCGTCCTACTTGCTAGCTTTCGACTGATCCTTCCTAGCGGACCCCATCGACTGTCCGCTAGTCTAGTCATTCCCCTTCCACAGTCTCATTGACCCTTCTAAAACGGCCGACAAAAAGCCATGACTCCCGAGGAACCTCCGGCCTTCAATTTGACCGAGGTCGATCGTCAAGTCCTCGCGCAGACCGACGAGGAGTTCGTGCTTCATGACTGGGAGGATCTCAAGTCCATCATCGGTAGGTGATTTACGCATGACAGAAGTCCCCTTGGATGATTATACATACAGTAAAGTGAGCTAAAGGGAGAGGAAGAGAGAAAAAGAGAACTACTACTACCACTACTCTCTCTCTACCCCTCACATGCTCGCCTTCCCCCCGCGTCCCTACCCTCCATCCATCCATCCATCCATTCATTCCTCGAATCCATCTCGATCATTCCATCCATCTACCCACCCATCAACCAATATCTGATGGTTCCGCATTCCAGTCCCTGACTTTAAACTCTCTTACCCCCATAACTCACTATACCCCCTTTTACCCCGCAACCCTTCCTCACTACTCCCAACCTAACTTCCTCCGTACTAACCCGATCACCCAAACCTTCCAGCACGCAACGATCTCGGCATCCTAAAACGGAAACCCTCCGATCTAACCCGCTACCTGGCCTGGTCCCATCAAACCAAGCAACAGTACGGCACTATCACAAACTACATCTGCCAGAAGCGTCTAGGCTGGACTATTCCCTCTTCTTCCCCTTCCTCATCATCCACCACAACCCCATCCACATCCACCCCAACTTCCTCCATCACCACTTCCACAGAAACCACCATCTTCTCCTACAAGAACCCCATCCCCTTCGCAGACCCATCCGATTACAAGATCCTGCGCAACGATTGGCCCTACGGTCTCGCGCCCGGAATCTCGCACATTGTAGTGTGGTTGCGGACTCCCGTGGCAGTCAAGGAAGAAAACGGGGACGTGACGGATGAGTCGCGGGCGTTGATAGAGGCGTTTGTTAAGCGTACGTTTGTGGATGCGGTAATGCGGGAAGAAGGGGTGAGTGAGGCGGAGGCGAGGGATCGGGTGCTGTGGTTTAAGAATTGGGCGGCTTTGCAGAGTGTGAGGAGTTTGGAACATGTTCATGTTCTGGTTAGGGATGTGTCAGAGAGATTGTTGACTGAGTGGACCGGGGAGGAGGGGGTGAAGCGTTAACTATACAGTTGGTGTGAGATATGATGTGAAGGACGGGGACTGTTGAGATACAGTTAGATGAGTGGAGGAAGACGTCATTTATGGTATAGATCAAAGACAGACGCCATTGGATAAAACGCCAATAGAACTTGAAAAGAAAAAGAACATAAGATTGGGAATCTCGAATCAATCGAAAAAAAGTATCTCGACCGGACCTGAAAGATCTGTAGCGTACAGAATAAACTAAGAAAGCTACACAATCACCATCCACCGTGCGCTTGTCTCATACAACATCAGAAGAAAAGTAGATAAAAACAGATAAGAAGCCCATCCATCATATACGCCTGCAATCCAACATCCCAGGTCATCATTAAAGCAGCACATCAGCTCGTCTACGACTTCTGCTCCTCCACGAACTTCAGTGCTTCTTCTCTCGACACAACGTCGATCGTACTGGCCTTCTGCCGGAAGCTGACGCCGTAGCATTTTTCGGCCACGTGCAACATTTCGGGTCGGAAAGTAGTGCAGATGAATTGGCCGTTGGTCGAGTCGGAGATGGATTTCAGCATTTGCGCAACGGCGGTTCGGTACTGGGCGTCGAGGTTGGCGTCGATCTCGTCGAACAGGTAGAAGGGGGCGGGATCGCAGGCTTGGATGGCGAAGACCAAGGCCAGGGCGCAAAGACCTAGGGGTGGGTTAGTATGGAGATTGAGGAAAGTGTTACTAAGACAAGGGGTTACACTCACTCTTTTGTCCACCACTGAGCTGCTGGATACGCTGTTGTTCATCATGCTTGCTGTTAAAGCTGACGCTGATACCAACTCCAACGTAGTTCTCGACGCTCTCGCGGGCCTCCTCGTCCTCGGAGTCGACTTCGTCGGGTTGCCGAAGGGCGCGGTCGGTCTTACGCTGGATGATCAGACGTCCACGGCCAGCGGGGACGAGCTTCTCGAAGACATTGGCAAACTCGCGGGAGACCTGCTTGAAGGTTCGTTCGATGGCCTCGTCCTTCCGTTGGTCAAGCACGTTGATGAGGTCGTCGATAGATTTCTCGGAAGCTTCGAGTTCTTCTCTCCGGCTTGTCAGCGCCTCTCGCTGCTTGGTGAAGTTGTTGTACTGCTCGAACGCCTTCTTGTTGACATGAGAGTACTTCTTGAGACTCTCGTTGACCTTGTGGAGCTTCTTGACTACGGCGTTGGAATCTGTGTTCTTATACTTGGTGAAAGCCTCGTCTGGGAGAACTCCCAGGTCACGGATATTAGAAGCGCACTCAGCCGCTTGCTTCGTCAAGGCAGCCTTCTTCTGCATACTCTTTTCCATGCGCCGCTGGTGCTTCTCGATAGATTTGGCCAGTTCTTCCAGCTCTCGCCGTGTCTCCGCATTCCTCTGTTGCAGGTCGCCCACGCGAGCGTTGGCCTGATCGATGGACTCGTCAACCTGCTGGAGACGCTGACCAAGTTTCTCCAGGGCCTTGTGAAGGCGCTTCATTTCTCTCTGTGTCTCCTTCAGGTTTCCTTGGCTATCGTCCGCCAAGTCCATGTCCTGGCCGACAAGCTGGTCCAGCCGCGGGTTGAGGTTCTCCCGCAACTCAACCTCGAGGACGGATTTCCTTCCTTCCAGCTCACTGCGCTGGCTGGAAAGCTCCTGGTACTGCCGCCGGAGCTCCTGAGCTGTGTTGTTGAGCTCCTCTAGGCGCGCTTCTTCTTCATTGCTGAGCGCTTTCTGGAAGGGCGAGGACAATTCCGCCTCAAATGCGCCAACTTGGTCAGTGACCGCTGCCAGGTTGCCTTCGATGTTGCGAAGCGCCCGTCGTTTCGCATCAAGGTTGTCATTCTTCTTCTGCAGAAGGTCGCGCTTGGCCCGTAGTTCTTGCCGCATAGGTCCACTGCTGTTTTGCACCTGGTGCCTCTGTTGTTCCAACTTCTGCAGCTCACCAACCGATCTTGTGATGAGTTGGTCCAGCTGCTCGAGCTCCTTTCTAATTTCTGATCCACGGTTCTTCTTCGTCTCATACTCGTCCCTCCACTTGGCCAGGTTCTTCACGGCATCAAGGCGTGACTGCCGCGAATCGTGGAAACCACCAGTAAGAGCACCTCTCTTATCCGAACGATCTCCCTCCGGTGTGATCGCATTGACACCGTGACTGCGGGCATATTGAGAAGCGACTTGAAGGTTCGGGCAGATAATGGTTTTTCCAAACACGTGAACAAATGCCTTCTCATACTTTGAGTCGTACTGAAGCTTCTCGATCATGGGAATAGTGTCACTTGCCCTGGGCATGTTGATAGGTCTAGATCGTAGTCTGTTCAATGGCATAAACGTAACTCTACCAGCCTTCTCTTGCTGGAGGATCTCGAGCACCTTTGTAGCGGTTTCATCGGTGTCGACGACATAGTGGAACAGACTCTGGCCCGCTGTGACTTCGACAGAGGTCCGGTACCTATCACTGACCTCGAACAGCTCCGCCAAAGTGCCATACACTCCTTCGAGGTTGTACTGGCGCTTAATTCTCCGGACAGCAGCAATGCCACGGCTCGTATTGTGGTCCATCATCTGGGACAAATTTCGCTCGGCACGCTCCACTTCGTGGGAGGCATTCGACAAGATCGAATCCAGTTTCGCTTCTTCTCTCCACAACTCCCTAGTGCATCGTCAGCTCATCACACTCATCCAAAAACAAACGGTTACAAAACCATGGAATACATACTTTCTCTGATCCATCAGCCGGTCTCTCTCATCCTTCGCAGATTGAACTTGTTGTTCGACGGAGTGGATCGTGTCGCCTCTGCCATCAATCTGCTTGCGCAAGAGCTCGCTCTCCGGCTCCAGGAGTGCTATGTCATTTTCGAGTTCCTTGATATCCTCTTGGGTCTGTGCCAATACACCCTGGACAGAAGTGATAGAAGCGTAGTTATCCTTGATCGCCGCTTGCAGCCACTTGTCGCGCTCACTCTTGTTGCGGAAGCGAGAGTTACGACCTTGCTTGGCGTATAGTCGCTGACGGGCAGTCTCTGCCTCGGTAAGCTGCGTCTTTACAGTATCCTCCTGATCCTTGGCGGCGTTGAACTGAGGCATCAGTTGCTGCAGCTCTTGCTCACGTTCCTGGATAGCACTCTGAACAGCCTTCAGGTCTTCGTCGCGGCGTAGTTTCGAGGCTTGAGCGGCAACTTGGTTGTCCGATAGTGATTTTGCTTGCAATTCCACCTGCGCAAGGGCCTTGGAGGCCTCACGACGCTCATCCTCCAGCTGTGCCTTGTCTACCTTCAGGAACTCAATCTGCTGCTTGCATTCGGCAATCTCAGCATCGATCTGGGCCATTTCCTTCTCCCCTTGGATGAAACGGTCACGGTTAAGATCGGTATCCTCGACGCCGGTTTGACGCTGTTCTTCAAGACTGTCCAAGAAACTGGAGATTTCTTGCTGTTCGCGAGAGTAGATCGTATATTCCAAGCATCTGCGCTCCTTGTCCTTATCTTGGTAGTTTCGTAACTCGTCCTTTTCTTCTTCCAGCTCCGCAAGACGCTCGTTGATGAAGTCCAGTAGCTCGTCAATCTTGGATCGCTTGTTGTTCGTCTCGTGCATGATCTTCAACGATTCTGCACGGCGCGCTTCATATACCTGCGTTCCCGCAACTTCCTTCAACAAATTGAGACGTTCGGAATCCTTCATGTTAGTCAAAGCGGTGACACGACCCTGAGGCACGATGTAGTAGGGGTTTGAACGGGAAAACCCGGCGGATTCGAGCAAGTTCATCACATCGGACTTCGTCGCATTCTTGCGGTCAAGCGTGTATTCATCCTTCTTCAGTCCGATGGTGCGGCGAAGGACCACTTCCGGTTTGCCAGTGGGAAACCGATCGTCAGAGTTGTCAAAGATGATCTCGACGTAAGCCGACATCACAGCGGATCCCGAACCTTCCTATTCTTTTGTAAGCCTCTCAGAGTGCTGATTCTTGCGACGAGATACGCACGTGAAGAAGGGCCTGGCGTTCCTCTCGGCCCAGGTGGGTGTAAGCATCGCTGAGGACGAAACGAATGGCCGCAAAGAAGTTACTCTTTCCGGAGCCATTACGACCAACGATGACATTGTGCTTCGGGGAGAATGGCTCGATGACCGTCTGGTCCTTGTAGCTGTAAGGCGATTGCAGTTAGCCTAAAGGTGCACTGGATTGCCATTGGTACACTGCTGCAACATACCTTTTGAAGCCTTGGATGATAATCTGTTTAACGTACATCTTGACGAAGCACGCGCGACACGAGGGATCAGGGCAATTACAACAACCCAGTCATCACGCGCCCGAGGCGAAAGAGATCAGGAGCCTAGGCCCTGACTGGACGAAGCAGGGCGGCGATGTGAAGGGACGACGCACGGAGGTTGCTGGGGTCGATGCTTGACATGCGACGAAGCTGACTTTGGGGGGAGCCACGCGTTATCGAGGCGATCAGCTCCGGATCTTTTGCACGCGTTTACTTCCATTTGGGAAGCCCGCGGGGTTCTGCCGGGCGGTGAGCCCACTGCCTGTCCCACACCCAAAAGGTACCCGTTTTTTTCAGATCAATTGCAAGACCTCGCTTCTACACACATCTGGTTTTCAACCCTTTACATTCAGTCATGGCTGCTTCGAATGCTGACGCGCAAGCGTCCGGCTTGGCTGATGGCCTGAACCCGGCGCATACCTACATTCCCAACCAGGGCTATGTCAACCCAGACGGCTCCCTCCCCGCTATGGCGGGGCAAGACTCTGCGGCGCAACAAAATGAAGACGAAGAGGATGACTACTATGATGATATCTTCGAAGAAGAACTCGATGAAGAAGACTTCACCTCGTCGAATCCCGCCGACCTAACGAAATCCTACAATCGCCAGCGCAAAACGAACGAGCTCTCTGCGGACCCGAATACTCCCAAGTGGACTTTACCGAAGACGAACACCCAGAAACCGTCCGTCAACACTCGCGCCTCTGTGGACGATCAAGTGAAGTCCTTGACGAAGCATGCCGGCAAGATCAAGTTGGACGATATGCAATCAGGCATGGCGACCCGCGGTGATCGGGGTGGTGACAGGGCGGACCGCGCTACCTCCGAACAGGTGCTGGATCCCCGCACCCGTATGATTCTGCTACAGATGATCAACCGGGAGATTGTCTCCGAGATTCACGGATGTCTGTCGACCGGTAAAGAAGCCAACGTTTACTACTCTATCTCATACCCCGATAACGAGGAGACGCCCCTCCACCGCGCCATCAAGGTCTACAAGACAAGCATTCTCGTCTTCAAGGACAGAGACAAGTATGTCACTGGTGAATTCCGTTTCAGACAAGGATACAGCAAGAGCAACAACCGGGCAATGGTCAAGCTGTGGGCGGAGAAGGAAATGCGTAACCTGCGCCGTATCTACGCCGCCGGCATCCCCTGCCCCGAACCCATCCACCTGCGCCTCCACGTCCTGGTCATGGGCTTCGTCGGAAACTCCAAGGGTATCGCCGCTCCCAGACTCAAGGACGTTGAGTTCAACATCCCCGACCCCGATGCCAAATGGCGCGAGATCTACATGGAGTTGCTTGGCTACATGCGCGTGATGTACCAGACCTGCCACCTGGTCCACGCCGATCTGAGTGAATACAACATGCTCTACCACAAGAACAAGCTCCACATCATCGATGTCAGTCAGAGTGTTGAGCACGACCACCCCCGCAGTTTGGAATTCCTGCGTATGGATATCAAGAACATTAGCGACTTCTTCCGCCGCAAGAACGTTGACGTCCTCACCGAACGGGCCGTCTTCGGATTCGTTATCTCAAGCGATGGCCCTACCACTGCCACGCCCGCAGAGCCAATGCTTGAGGCCATCGAGCACCTGTTCGCCACCCGCAACAACAACACCGAAGGCGAGACAGAAGTCGACACTGCTGTCTTCCGCCAACAATACATCCCTCAAACCCTGGAACAGGTGTATGACTTCGAGCGCGACGCCGAGCAAGTCCGCGCCGGTAAGGGTGACGACCTCGTTTACCGGGACCTTCTCGCAGGCGAGAAGAAGAAGAAGGCAGAAGACCGCGACGAGGAGGGCGATGAGGAAGAAGGATCCGAAGCCGGCTCTGACGGCGGCGTATCCGTTGAGGGATCCGACTCGGAAGATGGAGAAAAAGACCCGTTCGCGAAGAAAGCGCCCCGCGGTAAGCGGTTCGAAGATAAGGACGAGAAGCGCGACCACAAGCAAAAGGTCAAGGAGGAGAAGCGCGAGAAGCGCGCAAATAAGATGCCGAAGCATATGAAGAAACGCCTTGTTTCTTCGTCCTCGAGAAAGAAGAAATGAGGGAGTGAAGTTGAGTTAAACACTTGTTTCTCTTTTTTGATATGCATGCAGGCATTTTTGGTGATAATTGGGCTACTATGGGAAAAACACAAAAGTCGTTCTTTGGATTATTTTGTTTGGAATGCACATGATCTCATGATGTTTTATGACCTTTCATTGGGTGGGTTATGGTTCGTTGGATGCATATATATATTAAGTTCCAGTTTATACTATGAGCATATAGATCTGCATATGGAGGTGTGGGAAATGCGAATTCGATACGTCGGGTTGATTGCAACATGCGTAGTAGCTAGGAACTTCTGCTTGTAGTAATCGCATGTCAGTAGTTAAGAAGTAGTGCTACTAGTGATATCATGCCAGTTCCATCAACGGCTGAAAAAGGTCTACTATTAGTAGTGCCGTTCAGTAAGAAAGTTTTCACATAACGGACGTCTGAAAGTTGCCGGTTGGATGCTACTGCTAACACTAGTAGTATTGACCATCTCCGGAAATATATAAGCGGACTTCGATAATCGTTCTATAACAATCATGAGTTGCCTACAAATATTACATTACTATATAGCCTTGACATACACTATTTAGTAGTTATGATAAGTCAGTGATTGCATATAGTTGGCTACAATTATTTATTATCGTACTGCAACTGTATCGCAACGGATGATACCGACCCCCTGGGGACACTATGGTCAGTAGGGGACTGATGTTCGGCGGCAGCATAAGTTCATACTAAGTAGAATGCCCATTCTTAAAACTACTTGTTTGCTATATCCTGAAACAGAAGCATGATCGATGTACGACTAGATATTTGATCATTTATATGAAAGATTGGACGACCTATCAGAGCTCTCTTTGATCCTCATTCCAGTCCATTACCAACTGCCACGATGGACAACTCTATAAGCACTTACATCCTTAGCGAGTCAGGAAGATACGCTGGAGTATGTGTCTCACGGATAGTTAATCCACCTGATATGGCAGAAGAGGCATAGCCGGTATCGGATAGGACAAATCCTGAATGTGTTTCATCATCTAGGTCGTCTACGATATTTCATGACTGCCTAGAAAAGCCCCTTTGATAATGTCAACCGGCGATCACGAGGTTGACGAGCTCTCTGAAATACCAGAGCACTACATGGCTTGTCTATTCCTCGCCTTGAGGCGATGGAGAGCCTCTTCAACCAGCGATTTGGGTAAATGTGGGATAACTTCCCCTTCCTCCGTCGTTTCAGAGGGCCCTGGCTGGGGCTCATTGGGTTCAGTGGCCGGGTGGTCTTGTGCATCCGGCTGCTCGGGAGGCGCTCCCTTGAGGATACCGCCAGATATGCGTCGAAATTCTATTCGCATCGGCTCGCGACCGATACCAGGCCAAATGTCGGATGGCAAATAGTCCCCTTGCTCGACTCGGAACGTTTCGCGAGCATTGACATCCTCTTCATACAGCTGATCCAATTTGTGTTTCGTTTCACGAAGGACCTTTTCCACACGCTGTCGTACGTGCCGTCGGCGTGCCACTTCCAGGATTAAGCCATCATAGGCTTCTAAAAACCCGTCGTAAAGGGTATTAAGATCCGACAAGTCCGCTAGCCCACCGTTAATACGATCGTGCTCTTCGCCCCAAACACGAGTGAAGCTGTGTGCCTGAGCAATATAACCCGGTAGACGCGCAGTTGCAAGAGATGAAAGGTGTCGGAAGACGCCAATAGTGGCATTGTAGATGGAGAGAAGAACATCACGTTGAGACAAAATGTTCTCAAGAATCGATTCCATATCGCCGATACGATCTTGGATTTCCATGACCACGTCCTCGGCCTCTGCTGCATCCTTGATCAAGACATTCACCATCTCTTGGTAGTCAGACTCACTCAAGGGATCAAGTGGGGCGTTTAGGTTGTCATGAATGCCTTGCTCGATATTCGGTACTCCACGGCCACTGACAGTGACGGCAGCGGGCATATCCCCGGTAATGGATCGCGCGGCAGCTCCACCGCCTTCCGTATGCTTGACAGCAGTTACACAAAGATCAAAGTGCTGGACCAAGGACTCTAGCAGATTGGCCATTTCCTGCGCATGCATCTCCAATGACTGTAACATGGGTGGCATTGATGACAATGACGGCAGGCTTGAATTAGACGCGGATGAAGAAGAGGAGGATGAGGAAGCTAACTTGGTAGCTTCTCGGTAATTACCCAGAGCTTGCTTGATGGACTGGAGCTCATCATCGAACGCGGAGTTGGATGTATCCAGTTCCGCCTGCGCCTCATTGGTACGATCAATTGAGCTCTTCAAAGCTGCACGAAGCTCCTCAACTCCACGTTCATCCACAAAGTCATGTAAGCTTCTGGGTTCTTCGCCCTCGGGACGAAATGAAGCGTGAACAATTGTATCCCGTAAGGAGTCGAGGGTCTTTCTCAGTCGGGCATCGGCAGTGTCTAGACTTTTCAAAACACTGGCGAACTCCGACCGGCCCCTGAGTGAAACTTCCTCGACCTCAGAGCGTACACTGTAAAGTAGCCGTAGTTGATTGTTAAGCCCGCGTCGGAGAAAGCCAGTCCGTGCGGAAATCACGACACTTTCTTCCAATGCAGAGCGAGCGGAAGTCACAATTTCATTCGCACGCCACACGTGATTGATGGATGACAGAGACCGCTTTGCTGCCACCAGGTGAGAAATGAGAGAATCTAATTGAGGCAGGGCGTTGCCCTGGTCTCCTGCTGGCGAACCGGGGCCAGACGCATCACTGCCGGCCGATAATGACGCCGATGCTGACATTCTGAAAAAGGGGTCGGCGTAATTGGCGCTGATTGGAAATTATAACGAAAGGAGGAATGCTGGCGTGATAGCCTGACAGAATGGCCCAATAATGCCCGATAAAACAGAAGAGTGTAGTGGTTCAGGGCAGTGCCGTTCAACGGCCGGAAGGAGTAAGTTTCGGGGCAACGTTACAGTAGCTATGTCGTAAGAAGTCATAAATCTAGTGCACAATCACCTCATGGGCTTGTAACAATTATGGAATCAGAAAATTATCAGGTCCTTGATTTCGTCAGTTCTGAGTTTCATGTGCGATCGACGAGGGCCTGCTGGAAAAAGAAGGATCTGGCGGTGAGTTTGCAGATGACTGGTCAACAAGACCTAGTAAGGTAACACCTGTGTAAGTCTCCGTCGACCGTGCTTCCTGTCGTACCGCCTGCAGTAGCAAACAAGGAAGCCTGCAGAAGAAGCAGGATGGAAGGCAAGAGGGGGGGTATCGTGCCCCAGGACTGGTCTGAGGAGCTGGTGGTTGATACCCAACGCTTCGTCAGTGAGAAGTGTGAGATTGGATGAGCTATGGGAGTAATGCTATTCCAGGAATTCGACGCTATGATAGGACCCAAAATACCTGAGCGGAGCAATTGCGCCTCGCAGCAGGGGTCAGAAAGACCAAAGGCCTGAAAATGCGGGATTGGAAAGGGAGGTGACGATAGAGGACGGGATGGACGGAGTTCAGGCAGGCGACCTTAGCGTCTCGGAGAGCCCATGGGAGTTCGGCTCGAGAGCCAGCTCGACTCCAGCTCCCTCACTAACTAGATAGCCGATCGTCTGGAGGATCTGAGTCAAAGTCGGGGATCCGCAATTGACCCCGGCGATGGCGACAGCGGCCAAATAGCAATAGTTCGGGGGGGATGATCGCTGGAGAGAACCACCAGCAGCGGTAACTCCTCAGTGAAAGTCGAGATGTTGCGACGGGAGGCGGCGATGGCGCCATCGCTCGCACGTGATTGGACCCAATCGAGCCTGGCAGCACGAGTCCATCATCGGCCTTTGCGTGATCACGTCTTTTTCCTTTCGTTATTCTTCTGGAAGTCTTCTGTTCGGCATTTATATTTATACTCCTTCCCCAGGATTGTTTGGTCGCATTTCTTGAGATTGGCTGGTCCAGATCAAGCTCCTATCGTTTCTTCTTATCGGTCCATCTACACTACTCTGTACTAACAGCCTTAATCGCCCTGCACCACTTGCGACCGTCTCCCGCCTCCCGTCCACCCTTCTCCGTCCTCAGCCCCGGTCATTGGCAACTTACTCAACCTTACTCAAACAACCCTCTCTCCTCAGGGTCCTCACCTTTCCAACTACCTCGCCACCACCTTCCTTCTCTTTATATCTGCGCCAGAAATCTGTCGCAGAAATAGTATCCTTTGAAGACATACAGCCTGGTGCTATCCACAACTGCGCTTCTAGTTCGCTGGTTACAGTAGCCGAGGCCACGCTAGCGAGCGAGTAGCGGCGCTGCGGTTCCAGTGGCACGACTTCGGACTGCCGTCGCGTGAGAGCATCTACCAGAATTCTTCATTCAGCAAGATGGAAAGCACACGGCCTCAGGAGGACAAAACCATATCCTCCCCTCCGCCCTTCACATCGATCTTCGGTGGCCCCGCCGAGTCCGCGGAGGAGATCGATGCTGATGCCGACAATAGCCAGCTGAAGCCCCACAATCGCAGCAACGTAACAGCAACTTCGGCCAAGCTCGTGGGCAAAAGTGTCGCCCCTTTCCTCGCAAAGCACGTTCCCGACCAATACGCCCCCCTCGGATCGCAAAATAGAGAACCTGCCGCCTTGAGCAGCGCAAACTCCCGCTATTGCTATCGTCATCGCCCAGACCGTAAGTGCCGCCGGCAGGCCGACGAACCGACAATGGACAAATTGCAACGGGTATGTCTTCTACCAATCTCGTCCGAAGGAGAAAGCAGAAACTGTCTGCCAATCATGATCGTGGACTAACGGGTACCCAGGAGTTGGAGTCGCTCCCTCAGAGTGATCAGCAGGGCATTGCGCATGTCTGGTCGCTCTTCTCAGCCGCCCCAGCCAAGCACCGAAAACTCATACTCCAGGGAATTATGGCTCAATGCTGCTTCCCGCAACTCTCGTTCATTTCCACCACCGTCCGTGACCTCATCCGAATCGATTTCATTGCCGCTCTTCCTCCGGAGATCTCTTTCAAAATCCTGTGTTACCTGGACACCACTTCTCTTTGTAAAGCTGCACAAGTCTCGCGACGTTGGAGGGCACTGGCCGACGACGACGTGGTCTGGCATCGCATGTGCGAGCAACATATTCATCGCAAGTGCAAGAAATGTGGCTGGGGACTCCCCCTTTTGGATCGGAAGAGGCTCCGTGAATCGAAGCGCGAGATTGAGATTCGCGCTACGACCTGGGACGTCAACAGCACGTCTCCGAAAGCGACTCCTGCGCTCCCTGAAGATGCTTCGCCTGTCGCCGACAGCTCTGGTACCGGTAAACGAAAGCCTGAGCCAAGCGAGGAAGAGACTGCAGTCGTCAAACGCCACTGTCAGTCACTAGCGATGCGCCCAGAAGGAAGCGAAGATTATTTCAAAACCCGATACAGGCCTTGGAAGGAGGTGTACAAGGATCGTTTCAAAGTGGGCACGAACTGGAAGTACGGACGCTGTTCGATCAGAATCTTCAAAGGCCATACGAATGGCGTGATGTGCTTGCAATTCGAGGACAACATCCTGGCAACCGGATCCTACGACGCGACGATTAAGATTTGGGATACCGACACTGGCCAGGAAATTCGTACTCTTCGGGGACACGAGTCGGGTATCCGCTGCCTGCAGTTTGATGACACGAAGTTGATCAGTGGTAGTATGGATGGCAGCGTGAAAGTCTGGAACTGGCGCACTGGCGATTGCATTTCCACGTATACTGGTCATCGTGGCGGAGTAATCGGGCTGCACTTCGATGCTACTATTCTCGCGTCCGCATCTGTTGATAAGACCGTAAAGATCTGGAATTTCGAGGACAAATCAACTTGCCTCTTACGAGGACACACGGACTGGGTCAACGCGGTCCGGGTCGATACGGCTTCTCGCACGGTGTTCTCGGCGTCCGACGACTGCACCGTTCGGCTTTGGGATTTGGATACCAAGTCTTGCATTCGGACATTCCATGGCCATGTGGGACAGGTTCAACAAGTGGTTCCTCTTCCCCGGGAATTTGAATTCGAAGAGCATGATGTTGAGTGTGAGAACGACAACCTCAGCACTGTCTCCGGCGACACCGAGCCGGCATCTCTTCAGGCCACGCTTGGCCTCGAGTCGAATGCGGTTATTTCTCAGAGTTCACCGTTTGGTCCTTCTTTTGAGTCAGGCCGGACAGCACCACCGCGCTACATTGTTACTAGCGCCTTGGACTCGACCATCCGTTTATGGGAGACTAGCACTGGCCGGTGCCTGCGTACGTTCTTTGGCCATCTGGAGGGTGTCTGGGCCCTGGCAGCGGATACACTGCGTATTGTTTCTGGGGCCGAGGACCGGATGATCAAGATCTGGGATCCGCGAACCGGCAAGTGTGAGCGCACGTTCACCGGCCACTCCGGCCCTGTCACCTGCATCGGACTTGGCGACAGTCGGTTTGCTACTGGTAGTGAGGACTGCGAAGTGCGCATGTACAGCTTTCAGAGCTGATCTGGACATGGTTTATATTGGTGTTGTTTCTTCTGGCCTTTGATGCTGGCTTAATGTTCTTTCTGATGATGAATACCCTTGACTAGCGCAGTTACTTTTTTTGATTGGATGGGTCTGGCTGGCAGAGGGATGGAGCATTTTTTTAAACACTTATGATGGGGTTTCGGGCGTTGTGATTTCAAATGTGTACTTTAGCTACAGAACGATTAATCTACCGCATCAGTCTGCATATTGCCTGTTTCGAGCAAGTTTATTTCGTCAGGTCTCATAATGAAGCGGCAACTCCAGACGCCGCCACGTAACTACAGGATAGCATGGGTATCAAATATGCTCTTGATCTTAATTCCCTTATCATTCAGGTGGAGTCATGAAGTCATGAACATTTAAGCAGCCAAATCGCCAGCACTTATTACATAGATTGTTACCATCCATCATAATCATCGTCATAACTTTCCTGTCTTGGAGTCCTAGGCAAGCCCCTCTTGGGCGTGAGCGGTGACGGTGACGGGGATCTGGAAAGTTGACGTTCAATTGCTCTGTTAGATATTCCCATGGGCACCAGATTCCTCGAGGAAAGAGTAACAAGTCTAGCCGGGTTCTCTTTGAACACCGGCAGCTCCTTCATTCTCCTGGTGCTTTTCATCGGGTTTGTCAGCAGTATCTTGAACATAGGAATCAGTGACCGGTCCTCAACAATGTATTGCAGCCATTCCATTACGGCGGCGAGATCCGTGAAAGTCTTGTCTTTGTCGAACCAAGAAATGGAGTCGATGATGCAGTACACTGTTGTGTCGGCCGGGAACTGAGACACGAGCGAGTAAAGTGACTCGCAAAGTGCATTTAAGTCGTGCTCCTCGAGGTCTCTCAGGTAGTCCCGATTGTTGATGAAGTTCAGGTCTAGAATTTTCATCTTGACTAGTTTCAACAAGAGCTGCATGGCGATAGAACGGACCAGACCGTTCGGCCCGTGCCAGGGATCCAGGCGAGCGGTATGTAATCCGCAGAAAAATTGGACAACCACCTCGTTAGGATGGACTTCGATCATGCTAGAGACCAAGGTGGCGCAAAAGACTGATATGGCAGACACCTTTTCCCGGCCGGACGAACTGATGTTGGCGTCGACGAGCATCAGATCGGGGTGATGGTGGGTCATCCATCGGCGTAACCGTTCATGTCGCAGCAATGACTGGACTTGGCCCTGAGCGGCTGCAGTGAACCTACTCTTGTGCACGAGTGCTCGTCTGAAATCCTCGTTTGGGTGCTGGAACATGCGCTCTATATCGACTGGGTTGTCCTCAGTAGAACTAGGTTGGGCTAAAAATGATTACTCGGGATGGAGCACACATGAGACTGATACTGCCCCTACGCCAGAGGATAATTTTTTCAGAAGATATTGACGATGGGTATCCTGAGTATATGGCTGCTCACGATCAAGATTATGATGATGGTTATGAGGAGGAATACTATTAAGCTCGAGGGGGTTCAACATGGCTTGTCTTACCACTACGATGAAGCAACTCCGACGTGTGACTATATGGGGAGCTTACATAGACCAATCCGATGAGATATATAACGATTCAGTGCATATTAATAGTCTATTTCACTATCAGAAACCTATGCCACCAGCGAAGCTAAGTCTGCAAACACACTTATGCTCTACAGATCTAGGCTTATCTATAAATAGGCTAGATTCTATTCAAGTCTTATAGATAACCCTGCAATATTACGCTGCAATCCCCAAGCTTCTGTCGCAAGATACCTCACACCGCATAGCTACTACAAGCCACTACATATTAAGATATCATGCTCGTATCTAGACCTCTCCTTCCATTTGTTCCATCGAGCTGGATCCTGCCGACTCGGACAAAGCCCGGTTTTCTAAAAAATGTATATAGTGGTCTCGTCGATCTCGACCAACTCAGTATGTCTGTTGAATCACTCAGCTATGTCCTGAATGCGCTAGTATAGGATCTCTTCTATTTCTTCATAGCCTACACGCTGATCTACTTTACTGACCCATACGTGGGCTGTTCCCGTATTTTAATACAATGTATGCCAGTCACCGTGAAATCATGTATAGCATCATCAAGCCGTGGTCTCCCCGCGAATCCGCAGAAGACGTCAAAACACGACTATCATGACTTTATATTTCCAATAATAGTTAAGTGAGTCACAATGAGCTCTACAGTGAATTTTGTCGACTATAAAACCCGTCCAGATTCCAGTGGGTTTGCTTCCAAACTTCTCCTTCGACAACCACCTCGTTTACTACTATCCCACGCTCAACTCGACTTTTCTACAACAACAAGCTCACCAAAGCATCTTTAACAATATCTATTCTTGGTCAAATTTCAACTCCGACTTTATTTTATACATCTCAGCCAGCCATCTCAACCAGGCAACTACTCATCCTTACTCCTACTAACAAACTCCTATCGCCATGCCTTCCTTCTCATCTACCTTCTCCTCTATTTTCAAATCCTCCAAGAAGAAGAAGACTACCAAGAAGACCTCCTCCGCCACTATAGAGATGTCATCTATCCCTACGTCTTCTAAGAAGACTACCACTACAACTGCCCATCATGGCAAGAATATCAACCACGTCAATAATAATATCAACAAGAGCGACAATAAGATCGCCAAGGACAACTATAATAATAGGAACAACAAGACTGCCGACAAAGATATCAAGAGCCCCGATAATAACTACTACAATAACAACATCACCGCCACCGCTACTGCCACCGCCACAAACAACAGAAATAATATGAGCGAAAACGACTACAATATAAATTATAACAACATCATCGCCACCAATGACAGCGAGCCAGTTAATCTTGGTATACCTCGCAGAGGGCAGTACGTCACCCGAGATGGCATCGACGTCGTAGCAGTCCTCGAGACTTGGTAAATTCGTCTGAGACCTCTTGTAAAACAGCTGGCTAATGTGAAACAGGCATCAAATCTATACCGGATGGCAGATAGTCTCCGCTGAATTGGACAGAATGGAAAAGATGCGCGAACGTCGTCGTATATGTGAGTATATAGATCTCTCACATAGTAGCAAGGTAGTAAGCTAATTGGGGTGCAGAAGTGGCTCACCCCGACAACGAAAACAGCATAGTTGAACAGTTGGCTATTGCGTGGAGATGCATGGAACTTATTGAGGGTTCAAGTGGATTTTATTTTGTATGGAGATGCTCTATAGCGAGTGTAGGAAGGATCTCTGTAGGTTTTCTTCCCCAAGAGGGTTTTCCTACAGACTTTTATACCTATCCATGGAGTCCATCCGGATGTGGTATAAAAGATAGAATTATGATCCTATTGAAACCTACATGAAGACATACCGCCTATATAGTATAATTTGACCGGTATACGTCTTTATCTACCAGTATTTCGAGTATAAGTTTGTACTAGTTGAGTTGAGTTTGTATGTCCTCGATAGCAGCGTCGTCAATTGAGTTGCTTCAAACCAAGTGATTTACTGCTTATAGGTCATGAGTAGGAGAAAAGATCTGCCAATGATATGTCACACAATCTACTACATCTCTGTTTCAAGTACATGGATCAGATTATTTAGGCTCATATTTTAATTGTGAAATCGCTCAATTATAGAAGACTTACATACCATCATACAGCCTTGCCATCACGTGTTCCGTAACTTATAGACAAATATATATACTAGAATGGCGATTGATGCAAACCTCTTCAGTATCACAATCTAGGTCTTAGGGAGTCAAGATAATGCGTCTATTCTCTATCAATAGTGACAATTCCGCAGCGTAAAATGTCAAAGTCATCTACATCACAATCGCGACACAATCTGACTCACCAGGAACGGCTTCACCACGACATGACATACTATGGCATCATCACAGAGGGAACTTCTGTTTCCCATCAGAAATCTTCTTTCTTTTCCTGTCTTTCCCTTTACCATACTACTCTCTGTCCCATCAAACCCACCACTTCATCCGCATCAACCACGAACACGTCTAAACCTCAATATACTAAACAACCACCTCGAACTCATCTTATACATCCACCAAAATGAAGTACACAGACGGCCAAGTCACCTATTCCTCCTCGCAGATCATCGACCTAGAGGCCAACAACCATAAACCCTCAATGGAAAACATCCCCTTGTCGACTTATGCCACTGCACAGGCTCAGCCATGTGACACCGCCTGGCCAGGCAGTCCTGAGGAACAGACAAGTGATCAGGAGCAAACAAAGGCGCTGGAACCGAGACCTACCCTAGCCCCTAGTGAGTACTACACCTGCTTTAGTGCTTGTTCTTCTCTAAATGTCTCTAGGACGCCGCTCGTGCTGTGGAGCTTTGTTTAGGTTTCTCCTGTACTTCATCGGTTTTGGGACCTTGTTCCTTTTGGGTTTAGCGGGGGTTTATTTTTCTATGTAGGTATTTACCTACGTTTGGCTGACTGGTGAGATAGGTTCCATGGCTAATGGTGTTATAGTTGGTATATCGTTGATAAGGCTAGTGCTATGAGATAGGGAGGCGGTGCTTAGGGTATGTCTTGTTGAAAGAAGGAGATTGTGATCATTTGTTGAGGGGAGATGGATAACTTGCTAACTTGTGTGTATGTCTTGGTTTTGGTTCAGCGAAATTGTCAGATTGGAATTAGCGTTGGATTTGAGCGATTGGTCCTTGGGAGAGTCTTTGCTATATGTTGGTCAGATGTCACTGTGATGTTTATTGTGAGCTGTTAGGAGTATCTGCGAGGAGGATATGACTTGAATTATACCCCGGTTACATGTCAAGAACCCCTTAAGACTGAAGATGTAGATCACGTCTGTCATACTGCAACTTTATAGCTGTGTGAAGTGACACCCAATCAGTGAGGTATAACCACCACAGTAAGCAGCATGCTTCCAATAGTAGGGTTCAGTACAGCCTCACTTGATATTCGCATCTCAGAATCCACACCCACAACCTGTGCTACTCACCTCCAAGCCCAGTCTGTTCACCTCACTCCATCTCAGCACTACCACCATACCCAACTGCTCTTCCTCCTCTCCCTCTACTAACTCCTTCTGCACCACCAATAATTAACCTAACTCTTCCTCCTCCTCCTACTACTACCACGCAACAAAATGTCCACCCAACCACCTCCCCCAACCCTCCACCACCTCCTCTCCCGCCTCGCCCAAGCGAAGCGCCTCTTCCTCAAACCCAAACCCAAACGCCGACGCACACAACAAAGAGTTACCAAAGAGAAACCCACTACCACCACCCGCGAATACTCCCTCCGCAAGCGCCCTCCACCCACCTCAACGCCCAACACAATCCTCACCTCCTGGCGCGACGAAGACGACAGCACCGACGACGACGACTACGATCCTCGAATCGAGCGAGCATATCTAAAACGCAAGAAGCCGTTGAAGCGAGCCAAAAACGAAAACTTGAGTCTCATCGTGAAGATCAAGTTAAACATGGATAGCGAATCCGGAAAGACCTTTCTGGCAAGTTTGGGGATGTATCAGGATGATGATATCCCAATGATTAGGGATGAGGGACTTGAAATGATGGAGGATATGAATACGGTTGGGGAGATGGATGATGCTGAACAACGGATGTCAATATCGTCGTCGTGCAAGGCGTGCGTTGAGGGAGGGAGGGTATGTTCCATAGGAGGTACTTCTATGGAGGGTCAAGAGCAGAACGGAGAACAGGAAACAGACACAGGGATGAAATACCCATGTGAACAATGCATCAGGGATACTATTGTCTGCGAACCTATGTCTATACCTGTCACATCCTTAACCCCAGCCTCTAACCCATGCATCACACCCCCCATCCCCATCCCCATGCCCTCCACAACAGAAGACAATTACCCAATAATCCAACCAACCACAATCACCACCTCCCTCACCCACCCCATAACCCTCACTCCAGCCCCCCAAACCTGCTCCTTCTGCCCATCCCTCCCCTACAGCCTGTTCGGGCACTACCAACCCCCGCGGACAATCTCCGTGCTACCATTCCTGCCCCCGGGAAATAAAGCAGGAGATTACCTGGAACTCCACCCCCAAATACCCAATTCTACCAATCATCATCATAATCATCATCATCATCCGCAAACACGCATATGCGTGACATGTGCGTTGGAGAGGCTACGAATAATGCTTTGCGGACAGCAGTTACCATCAACACCGTCTACATCAGGATCTGAATCAGCAAATCATAAGATCCTTCCGTTGAAGGGCTACGATCCTGATACTTTTGATTTTGAGATGGCGTATACTAATCTTGCTGCTACGTCGATATCCACTTCTTCTAGTCCATGGTGTTCTCTCTGCCCGCACCCTGCGTTCTACGGATGTGGGAGACTTCAGAGTAGGGATGTGTTTCTCGAGGAAGTGACGGAGCCTCAGGCGATGGGTGTCGGATGCGGGTTACTGCTCTGTGAGCGGTGTGAGGTGTTGCTGCGAATATACAAGGGGAAGGTAGAGGATGTGGTGAGGAGGAATGAGGAGGATGCGATTAAGAATAATGGTGGAGGGGATGGGATTGGTGGGAGTAGAGCGGATGTGGGGTTTCTGTTAAAGGGGGGGTGGCTTTGGAGGGTGTTCATGGGAGAAGGGGATTCCCTTCCTTCTAATAATCTTCTAAAGTGACTTGAGGGCTGCATTACATCGAGAATGAGGTTTGAATTAATCTTGATTAAGCCAATATCCGTAGATTAAGAGTCTCAGTTCGCCACGCCTCGCTAATACATAGAAAATCCCAACGCCATCAGCTGCAGATACAGTCTTACTGCAGTCCCATCATTGAACTTCAGATAGCTTCACCGAGTCAAGATACTTGCATCGACTCCCGTCCCTCCAGCTGCTTACGTCGGGGGATTTGCACCCCGTTTCGCAGCTGCTCCAATTTGATCACCCCCGGTCCTGTGCAGATCCTTCCTGTCTGCATCAGATTGCGCAGACGTTTGCGCCGCGCCTCGCCACTGCGCTCCTCACCACGCCCGACCCCTTCATCTACCCACTCGACTCGCTGCACCTTGAAGCTCATGCCGTCATGTGAGCCCTCCCAGGCTCTCGACTTCAATCCAAACAACACGCTGGAGTCGTACCGCTCCAGCCGGGGTAGAATCAGCAGCGTAATATGCAGGTCCTTGTCGTTTGGTGGCACGGGCGGCACCCGGGGTCGCTCGCCATCTTCCGCTCCAACATCTTGCGCCGTCTTAGGTGCGTGCTGATACGAATCCCTAATTTCCAGGTCCAGTAGGTCCACATCCACGTCCTCACCCCAAGCACCGCGGATGAAGCCAGAGTGGATTGCCGCGGCAACAGGGTCGGAGTCGTCCGTATACACACCCGTGCCCCAGAGGGCGCGACGCGCGCAGATTTCCTCGCGATGGCTGGTGTCGATGCGGAAACGCGGCACACGAATCGTAAATGTGCAGTTCTCCTTGCCTTCAAAGCGAGGCAATGGAAGCGGTGTAGTCGTGTAACCGAACTTGGCACTTTCCAAGGTTGCCTTCTCGGTAGGTGCGCCGATCCGGGGCGCATACAGAGTCGAGCCCAGGTGGTGTCGAGGGAGATGAGCAACGCTCGACAGGAGTGGCTCGATGGTAACGACCGTGCGCGGCTCGCGCATGGGTGTGACAGCCGTATTTCCGGCCGGTCGGGGAGCATGGTGGTGATGATGATGGTGATGGTGGTGGTGATGTCCAAGAGCCTGGGCCGCGGCGGATGCGCTGCCTTCCCCGGGGGTAGCCGTTCGGTGGAAGAAATTTACCGAGGACAGGGGACGGCTAGAGCCAAGAGCGGCAGCAGCAGCAGCAGCGGCAGCTTCTTCTTCTGGCTTATGGCGATGATGATGATGGCTGTGCACGTTAGCATGGGGTACTACAATACCTAGAAGAATAAGGAATAACGTACTGATGATGGTGGTGATGGAGATGCCGGCTCCGTCGACCGCGGGCACCCAAGGCGGCCGCCTCGCTCTCGGCGCGACCGTCCTCGTCGCGCGACTTTCTCGATCGCTTCCCGTTCGCTGAGCTAGGCCGAGCAATCTTGGGATCGTCTGTCTCTCCATTGCTGGACCGACCAGCCGCACTGTCGCGCTTGAACGGGCTCGGGGCCATGGGAGTCGAAGGGCCACTGCCGCCAGTGGTAGCAGTAACCCCTCCAACACCACTTCCAATCCCGGAGAACACTCGGCCAAGTTCATTCTTGATCCCCGCCTCGCCCGCAGGACCGAGGATCTGGGCCTGGGCACCCTGCACCGCTTGGGGAAGCGGCGATGCGCGTCCCCCTCGCTTCGCATCTAATCCCACCCCAAGAAGGTTACGATGCGCCATGAGTTCATCACTTCCTTTGCGTCGCTGGTCATCCGACGACGCGGAGTGAACGACCGAGGGTGGGCCGGCGGACGAGGTGGGCGGAAAGGCGCGGGTCTCGGTCTGCAGCTTGCTGAGGTACGGCGGCTGATCGTGTGACGGAGGGGGCGGCTGATTGGGAGGGGGGTGGACGGAAAGCGAGGGCTGTCGCGACCCTCCGAGCTGAGAGCCCAAAGACTTGGTGTAGCTCTGGATAGCGCCAAAGCCAAACCCGGAGCCCGCCTCCGGGACGGAAAACCGTTTCGTCTCGGGCGACGGGGGCTGGGAGCGGCCAAGATCCCAGGCAGACGCGCCTTGTTGGCGATGGGCTGCAGCCTCCCGGTCCCCGTAAGGCGGGCCGTACCGCGATGGAGGGTGAGACGCGGCCTTTGTTTCAGCCTCGTGCGCCATCGCACGTTCTCGTTCACGATGGGCCTGTTCCTCCGCGTGTCGATCCGCATACAGGCCTCCGTACCGGTGGTGCTGGGCCTCATGGCCCATATATGATGCTGCTCGCTGATGCGCACCGGCAAACGGTCCTTCTCCGGGACCGGCCACGGCAGCAGGCCGTGACAACGGACTATAGCCAGTGGTGCGGGATGGTGGTTCAAGGTGCTGCGGCTGGCTGCTGGGACGAGGTGCGGGTCCGCTGAAACTTAAGCGGCGTGGTTCGTTATACGGGGCTTCGGCGGACGAGATTTGCGGAGAGGGATGAGTGGAGCTGGGCTTGTCGGGATACTGCGACGATGACGGGCCACGAGACAAGCCACCGAATTTGGCCTGCTCTGTTATCGGTTGGGGAACACCGCCGGAGCCGGATCGATACGGACGTGAAGGCTGGTTCTTCGCAAAGGTCTTCTCGGGGGTCTGGGAGCGTCGGAAACCGGGGTATTCGAGCGGAGACGGACGCGCTGGCGCGGTCGGCGGGGACATGGCACCGGGAGCCGACGGTGGGTGGGCGTTCCCATACGGGGCGGACGAGACTGGAAGACGCGAAAAGATGGACGAAGAGCCTACATCCCGGCCTGGTCGGTCAGCGTCCGAGCCTAGCATGGACGATATCGACATGCTGCTCCCTGGACGGTGATGAGCCGGGTTGCTGGGAGGCTCACGCGACAAGAAGGGAGTGGACAGGGACGGAGCATTTCCCGTTTGGCCTCTGGAGGGATAGTGTTGGGGTGGTGAAGGAGGAGGCATACGTCGCGGCCCTAATGGCGGCGCAGCGGACTGCTCTTGGACACCTATGATAAGGGAGAAGTCGGAGTTAGCCAATATGTCCGATCCGCATAAACAACAGGAAACACTGCAAGAAAGAGCAAGCGTGGTGGCAGCAAGAAGGGTAACAAGGACACTGGTGGAGATCGTTGCGCGAGTCCAACGGCCTGCGACTCACCAGGGAACGCGGGACTGCCACTGCTGCCCAAGGACCTCCGGCGACCCTGGTCATGCGACGGGGGAGGATTCATGTCGCATGCAAAGGGGGACGAGGGAGCTATAAGGGAACGCGACAATCAGGAAAGGGGCAGATAAGAGTTGAATCGGGAGGATAGTAGGAACAGTAAAGGTAAGCAAGCGGCAGGGAAAAGAAAGGACCTGAGGGGGCGAAAAAAGAGGGAAGGGGATGGGAGTGAAGGAGGGAGGAAGATGACGATGGCAGCAGCTGATGGGCGGCGAAGGAAGAAAGAATGGCGCGCGACAAGCAAAGCGAGTTCCGAACTGGGGCAGAACCCGTGACTCTGGGCCTGGACGAGCTCATGTCCGACGCTAGTCCCACTTAGGAAGCGATGCCCTGGCATCCCAGACTAGCCCGAATCAGGCATAGCGTTCCCGAGGCTTCCTGGGCTGGAAGTCGATCAGGCGCCACAGACGCGCCGCCTGCACCGCCCCTGATTGGCTCGCACTGCCGGGCACAAAGTTTGGGTTCCTTGTCGGAATCTGGCAGTGACGCTGGGATTGTAGTACGGATAAACAAATGCTGCAGCCGCGCCACACTGCACCATCGCAGATGGCTAGACTCCGACCAGAGGAAAATTTTTTTTCTTCTTCTTTGCATCTTCCCAGCCCGGACAGCCCCTTCTCCTTCTCGCATCTTACTTGCTTCTAGTCATGCTCCCACAAGACCGGTCATCGCGACGCGACTATGGCCTGAAACTCCCGCATACCGGGTTCGTAGTCACATCGCAGCATGAAGTAAAAGAAATTAAGAAAACAACAGACAAAGAGAAATGAGAGAACTCGCGCAGAGAAACAAGGTTATTTGGTGGTCATCGGGCAATTTAATATAAATTGAAGCGATATCATATCCAAAGAAAATGCAAGTTGCCTACCTTCACGATATACCATCCGACGTTCGGGCTTGTTGATGTGACTGACCGAGTAATGAGGGTCTGGACGATGTTCAGACTCTCGATTGCCCCCGGGAAGATTCTGCTCCTTTAGCGAGACGTGGCTCGCTGATGATGTGTGATACCCATTGCTTTCTGTCCGATATGCCGCATAGGCGTTCTCATGGGCGTATGAGACGGGGGCCACGGAGGTAGGGACCGAGGAGGGCGGGTAACTGTAGGTTGGGGTGATACCAGATCGAGGCATCTCGGGTTCGCGGCGATGAAAAGGGTCATAAAACATGCGTGGGGAGGAAGGTTGTGATGGTGGTGGAGGCCCGTAGGCGCGAACTGGCGGCGCGGGGGGCGCAGCACGAGGGTCGTGGGCGACGACGCCCAACATCGATGGGTGCGTATGGTATGGATGATGAGGATGGTGTTTCTGAAAATCCATCATCATCTTCAGGGGAGGGGTGGGTTGGGACGAATGGGGGTTGCTGGCAGCATGAACGTTTGATTGATTGACTGACTTGGGGGAGGGAGAGAGAATTGGGTTGGGTTCGGGCGCGGATAGTTGTCAGTCAGTAAGGTAAGGTCGCGAAATGGCGGTAAAAGTTGAGTTTAATCGACCCCGAACGGGAGGGTGGGGAAGGAAGAAGAAAAACAGAACACGGAGATCTTCAGCCGGATCTGGTAGCCGTTTCAATTCAGCAGGTGATAAGGGGAGAGAGGATATGGAGAGCAAGGGGAAGAGGGGGATGAATATGGAATGGAACTAGAACCAGCTCCGAAAGCTCTGTGGACGGAGAGAGGGGAGAGATGGAAGCACGCAGCGAAAAGCAGGAGAAGGGGAAAAGCGAGAGAGGAAGAGAAAGAGGAAAAGACGAGTGGAGAGAGAGAGAGAGAGAGAAAGCGAGAGAGCGAGCGAGGGAACGGGAAAGGAAGAGAATTAGGGAAAAACGGTGAGCGACGGAGCCAGGGAAACGGCGCAAGAGTTCCCTGGAGGACACATCGGAAGGCTTTCAGGCCAATCAAGCGCATGCAAAAGAGCTGCTAGTCGGATCGATTTCAGACGAAGCAGAAAAGGACGAGCTCGACTGAGTGTCGGAGAGGCTGCAAATCCAAGTTGGCCCGATGGGGCCGTCGTGGGAAAGCGGGGAAACCTGAGTGGATCCCTCCTTAGACAATTAATTCCTTTGGACTTCACATAGTTTTAATTGCATACTACTTACTAGTTATCTAACAATTCCCTCCATTTTAGTGTTCGATACATCACGGTTACCACTCTTACTAACGATGCCCAATCCTTCAAACCTGGCCGCTCTTCCAAATTCCCCCCCTCTCCACCCGATCGCTGCCCGTTGGCATCCATGCCATGCAGCCGGCGACGTGTCATGCGTCCTTCCAGTGGATAATCTACTTAGGTGGGTGGGTAAAATCTAACATCTCAGGACTATTTATTTTTCTTCTTCCAGATGTGCGGAATTCCTTCCTGACACAGAATTATGAAGGCAGCATCCAACATAACACCGAGGAATTGAAAACAATTTGAGATAAGGGGAACTAAAAGTCATACTATCTACGCAGTACCCCTACAACAATGACTGGCTGGTTTCAGTTACTCCGCCTCAACCCGGCTAGCGACACACCAGATACCAAGTATAGTAGCACTATACTTGTACTCCCGTGCAGCCCGAAAGGCATGCTGCTGCTGCTGCGACCTGCAGGATGGATTGGCACCCTGAAAGTATCAAGCATGGAGTACAGGCGCAGCAAGCAGCAGCCATGACTAATGACAGCCAGAAATGCCTCTTTTTCCCCACCCTGCAATGCCTGAACCTGCCGATCCCTGACTGATGTGACCCTCCTTTCTTCTTCCTCAGTCAGCACTACTTAGTAACTCATCTATGTACAGTAGTTAATTTTTTTTTTTCATCGCACTTCGTTACAAATTTCTAACTTTTGAATGGTCTTGCGCCGCAGAAAAGGGCGTAGTACTGGCCACAATTAAGGGGGCCGGGGATATCAACCCATCATACATGCCACTCCTAGTGATTAATGGAGTACTACGGAGTACTCAAAACAAGGAATTCAAAGGAGATAGACTGGTCCGAATAGTAGATATATGGTAACTGCTTCTAGTTTACACCCCTCTAACATGTCAGCGTACATTCCTCGGTTCATTCAATCATCCATTTTAATCTTAGCTCTGGATCATTGTAATGCTTAGATACCTGCCAAGGCATGTACTATGAGATCGATGGCATTCCCCACATTGTTGATGATTTAAAGTCAACCTCCCCTTGCATGCCCCTTCCTTCAGTTAGTTCATGTGGTCGGTGTCATCGCCACTCACTACGTAGCTGTGCTGGCACACTACTTGGTCTTGAGAGCATTCACTGGCAGGACAAATTTAACCTACAGTGTCGGGTATCACTTGCATTCAAAGCACTAATCATTATCATATAGAAGGATTTCCACCTCACGGGACACAATTACTCGCCCCATGTCCAGCGAGGATGCAGCGGGTGGCTGGCGGCCGGGACGGTCCCCCGCGACCCGATGCTGAAGAATCGCCGCCAGCCTCGGCTAGCACACCCAGTCCAGTCCACTTCAATGAGGTCCGCCCCCTCGTGAACCAAGATACGCCAAATAGTGCGGCGCATCCCTTCTGAGTAGCAGGGTATGCCTTCGTACCGAGCCAACAGCCCCTTTTGATGGGCAGTTCGCACTTGATCCTGGATCCTCTCGATCTGCTGCCGAGAAAATCGCCCGCGATGGGGCGATCCAATGGTCACGCTGAAGTTGATGGAGGCACTGTACATTTGGAGGGCATTGGCCAGGACTGTCTGTCCGTCGACGCCTGAAAAGGTTTCTCGTGGGTCCTGCTCAGAAGCCTCCCTTTCTTCTTCCGTCGAGGTCTGTACAACAGCAGACGCTTCAGACCCCATTACGTATGATTCATCCAAGAAGACACTATTGCCGACGCTCTCAGGGCTGATGGTGAGTCCATCAAAGTTTACTTGCTCCCGACCTGTCAGAACAACAGTGATAGGCCCTGGGAGGACCTGCGTCCCATTTCGATGGGTAAGGTACCCACGTTCGCTGAGAAGCGCCAATTCAGACAAGAGACGAGGCCACACCTTCTCTGCAGATGACCGGATTTCCAAGTACAATTTGAATTGCAGTGCATCTTGTCCAAACAGTCCTGTTGTGGCCGGCATGAAGTCCTGGTCAGGATGCGCTTCGGCTAAACTCATAGCATCAAGGTGGTCCAGTAGTGGCTCCAGATACACCTTGCGCAGCGTGGACTCGTTCCTAAGGCTTGACACTGAAGAGCCTACAAGGATGTCATCGTCCTGTACCCAGATATCGGCCTTGACTCCAGTACAGCCCGCCGCAAGGGAGTACTGGATGGCATCTGCATGAGCTCGTGGGTTGTAGGATATACAAGCAGCCGGCTGGCCTTCAAACTCCGCAGGCCAATGAATAAACCCCGACTGCGCTTTGTATTGCTCGTGTAAGAAGAGATAGGAGACGCCATATGGCAAGAGCGAGAGAAACTGAATCGCCACTCTAAAAATGAGTTAGTACACCCTGATCATATGCTCATTATACTGCTGTTGAATGATATAGTAAAGACGTACAAGAACATCAAGAACAAACAAATCAGGGTAAGTGCGCGATCACTCCATCTCTTGGTCACTGCGGCACAGCATTTCCGAAGCATCCAAAGTACACCGGGACAGCAATCCGTAGGATGGGAGCGCAACGGATGGTCCTCAAGCAACACCCACGAATAGGCATCGTACTCGTCAGCACTGAGCAGGGGCTGAGTGCTACCCGCATCGCGGACGTTGACGTGGGTTGTGGCGGCCATTTGGCGGTCCCAAATCGCCGACCCGACGTGCTGCATCTAGAAGGGGGGTGGTGGGAGGCGATCGACGGGTAGATACCAGAAAACCCCGGACGGGGAGGTCGATGCGGTGAGTGAGGAGGGACGAGGATGGGCGGATTTAAAAGGGGGCAGAGCGTGACACGAAGGCAGGCCCAGATAGCAAGAGATCCATGGTCCTGTGAGACGTTGGGATGGCAGAGTTAAGTAACATGCCGACGAGCACAAGAGATGGAGGGAGTGGATGGGGATGGGGATGATGATGATGTATAGCTCCAGAGCACGCCATTGCCGGCGGCGATGGTTCGGATGTTAGGGAGAAGCACCTCATGGAGATCCCGTCTGCGGTGAAGGGGAACACGTCGGTCATGCTCATCATCTTAACTTTTTAACCATTGCTCCGACTGCAGCTGATTTGCAACCTCACTGGTTAAAAAAACAGTCCTTGCGTTCAATGCATCGATTGCCATTGTTTTCCAGGCTTGCTCCAGGGGGGTGCTCACGTGTTTGCGATGAAGAAAGTAGAGATCAGAAAGAAAGGATTCATCAAGTCTGGGCAGCTCCCGGAGCCCCGTTCCGAATATTCGCACCTCTCGTCTTGCGTGAGTTTAACTCAGAAGTCCCCATTTATCTTGCGACTAGTGGCACTCCTACGGTAGCACCAGCTCCAATGGACGGACGGACCATCCAATCATGATGATCCTATCCCCTCTCCATCATGACGATTATCATCACCCATTGGTGCATCGGTGTGATGCAATCGGATGACTTATTGGGTGCTGCATGCCAATCCCGGCAGTTGCAGTTTGGTATCACTCTGTTCATCAGTATCTTTATCAACGCCCTTCTTCTTCAAATCCTTGGACTGTCAATGGAGAGCCGATGACGAGGCTCACAGCCGGTTCCGCTTTTGAAGCCGAACCCCGATCACGTCCAGCAGCACCGGAAACGGGCCAAGCACAATAACATGCACACCTTCCCATCAGATCATTAAACTAAAGCCGCCGTCGCGTGTTAGCGTCGGATCAATCACCCTACTACATTGTTCAGTGGCCATGATGCCACTAGCTGCTAAAAAGAGGGACCGCGTCCAATGCTCCCGACCGCAAAGGGGCGTGTGCCACAACGGCCGGGCCATGGTTGACAACTTGACAAGGATGGAGCGATGACCACTTGAGAAAAACCGGTCGCAAATCATAAAGTAGAGATACATTTTCTCGCAGGGACCTCGCAATTCTGGTCAACGGAGAAAGGAAATTGTCGGCAATCGAGTCTGGTGCCAACGGAATCCATCTATGGCTTGCTCGCGCCTGCCCAAACAGAACCGAGAAGCTTGAATGTTGTAGCGGTCCTTAATAGTTCAAACTGATGTCTTGATATGGGTAGACTAGCCCCCAGTCACTTTCCTTGGCCGATATGCCCTTTGAGCCAGACTTTGGGGGTCTAAGCTTAGCGACCAGCAGCAGCGCAACGACTTCCTCCACTGCCACGGGAAAATGTGAAGCCACATCCAGCCCAGGGACAACTTGATGACTATGAGGCGCTTCACAAGGTGCCACTGAGGTCGCATGAGCGCAACCAGATAGGGGATTATGACAGGGATGTATTTCCCACCCCAACAGACATGTCGCGCCCTGGACTTAAGATATCAGTCATATTCGGTTATGCGGCGATACGGCGTGCACGTATTGCCTCATTTGGTCCGTTGAAATCGTCATGCTTCTTGTCAGTAACAGATATAGTACACAAATTTGAATTGGAACTTCATTTTCAGCAGTGAGCTCAAGCGTCACGTTCCCGCACAACTAAATAAGTCCATAGTACTTTCCTTCAATGAACAGGCAACGATGCATACTGCTTCATCGCGTGTCCGGTTCTATAACTCAGCGTATAATTGCCGGCCGGAGGGACCCTCAGACCGCATCTGATCGGGAAAGGTATGGTTTGGGCCTTACCCTGCAGCTTAATTTTATCCAGAAGGACCGTTTTTGAGTCGAAGCTGCGATTCAGGTAACTTCTGTCCAAGGACCGTCCTGGTCTCAGGTTCATCGGCTGTAAGCACCAAGACAGTTCGTAATGTACCTAGTCCAGGTCAACCATGCGGTATGCTACCGGTTGGGCACTTCACAAATCGGCAAATTGCCGATCAACGGCTTCAAGTCCCTGCATGATAGAAGATCGAATCCGAACAGCTGTGGGCCACTCAATGTCTGCGATTGCTTTTTCCAATACGCGGGACCGTACAGAAACGTGCTTGCTTTTTCATGAGAGACGTCAAAATAAATTAAGGGCCCATCTTCTGCGAACCCTTCAACTGCTTGCTTCCTACCAACGCTTTGTTTTGGGTAGAGTGAGTGGCAGCACAGCACCGTTTGCTTTTCTAGTGTCGTAATGCTTTGAAGTAGATCTTGCAAACGCGCTGACTCACTAAAGCAATCACTAGTACCATTGTTAGCATGGAAACCAGAGTAATATGATACTCGAGACAAGGATTCCTTTTCCTAACCCAAGCAGGACAAGAGATGTCAGTAGACGATGGACAAATGAGAATACTAAACCTTGCAAGTGCCCGTTCCATACAAAAAGAACAATTGAAACCATCAGAGCACCATACATGATAATAAGAAACGAGATCCTGGTCAGCTCGAGATTGTCGAATCCATGTATTCGGGTGTCTTAGAGAAAATAATGAGTCAAAAGTGAAAAGGCCGTGGTTTGTTCCATTTGCAGCATCATGTGAGCGAATCAGTCTTGGGTTATCCATCGCTTCCCACCCCAACTTCTTGGGATCCTCGATACTCTCTAGATTTCTGATGTCTTTCCCCTCTGTCTTTCACGGTTTTTATGCGGTACCTTACAGCTTGGGTGCAATAATTACTGGAGACAGGTAAACCCAGATAAGTATTGTGTTGGACAGTTATTCTGATGGCTTGCAGGTCGGAAGAACAGCCGTCAGGGCAGACATCAATTTCACAAGCATTACGAACATCCCCTGGAAATATCAAATGTCTCTCGGTTAATTGCTGCATGCAGGCCTCTCTATCACATCTCTAGAGGAATGGTTCTGCGTCACAGTGCTAGTGACTGCCCGGGATCAGTACAAGTCCTGCCTCCCAAGATGCTTCAGCCAGCTACAATCTACAGCGACATCAAAGAATACAGCCGGTGGTTACCAACTTCTACAGAATCTGCATAGGAGTATTTTTGCCTTACTAGCTAAGCTTATGGGTGTGCTCTTACAGTATGCGCTCGAAGTTGCCTGGATCCAACCCGTCCTAACTATTTGTCGGAGTATTGTTCATATAGTGCGTTGGAGACCATTGTTATTCCCCATTCTTCGACTGCCTAGTTCGTGTGCTATGGAGTGCTGAAGCTTATAGTTGAGACAAGGTTCCACATACGTTAGGTTCTCGGCCGGTGATTGGTACGCTCATGGGCCACGGGTTGTCTCGGTGGTCCGCGGATGCAGCCCAACCCTAAGGGACCGACAACGAAGAAGGGACGGGATGATCTTGAACTTTGCAGTATCGGCAGGATGCCATTGCAAAGCCGACGCGAAGCGTGGTTGTGGCGTCATGACAATATGGAAGTGGAGGGAGCCTGCGTCGGTTACATGGTATCCCTGCATGTTCCCCTGAGTGGCTTCAGCACATCATCATTTGCCATGATAATGGCCAGTCAATTCGACGTCGTCCTGAGCAAGCAGCTACCGGTAATCTGAGACCTAATCCTGGTAAGTCGATCGAGTTCATTTACCTCATCATCTAACCTCGCTTCATGATTCGCAGGCGCTTTCCGCGACTAGTCGATGCCAGTATCCATTTGCCTGCAGATCCGATGCTTCCACCGACCACCGTTACCTCTCTCCAGACCCCCATCCGGCTTTCCGACGGCCTCCTCTGCATCCCCTCACAAAGCAAGCGGAGACCTGCCTGAATAGGGAGAGTTTTTCAAATGAGCCCACACGCAGTTACCTCGCTTCCGCATGAGATGGGTCCATTCTTGACAATGCTGCCTAATGCGCAGAAGGGCCGTCATGCGCCTGGAGAACTACATAAATAGGGACCACGCATGCCCCGACGATGTATGAATTGTTCAAACTTCTCCGCTCAAGTGAGTTCTCTTTTCATTCCATTCCGAAGGGAGAATCACCAGTATGCGGGTTACCACGGCAATTGCTTCATTACTACTGGTCGGCTCGGCCACCAGTCTCCAAAATCCTCATCGTCGGGCTGTTCCGCCCCCTCTCTCGCATCGCAGCGTAGCGTCTCGCTCCGTGCCCGTTGAGCGCCGAACCACCGACTTTGAGTATTTGACTAACAAGACTGCAAGTGTGTGATTCCGTCTCTAAATTACCGCATTTATCGTTCTGACTAATATCAATTGCAGGATTCCTGGTCAATGGCACAAGCATCCCCGAAGTCGATTTCGACGTCGGCGAGTCCTACGCCGGCCTTCTCCCCAATACGCCCACTGGCAATTCTAGCCTATTCTTCTGGTTCTTCCCCTCGCAAAATCCAGAGGCCAGCGATGAGGTTAGTGGTCGCTCTGTTTTTTCCGGTCATGCGTCACCCAGCTAACAATTAACAAAGATCACCATCTGGCTCAACGGCGGCCCCGGATGTAGCTCCCTAGACGGCCTGCTTCAAGAGAACGGCCCATTCCTCTGGCAGCCTGGCACTTACAAGCCCGTTCCTAATCCATACTCATGGACCAACCTCACCAATGTGGTTTACATCGACCAACCCGCCGGCACAGGCTTCTCCCCGGGCCCCTCGACCGTAAATAACGAGGAAGACGTGGCTGCCCAGTTCAACAGCTGGTTCAAGCACTTCGTCGACACCTTCGACCTGCACGGCCGCAAGGTCTACATCACCGGTGAAAGCTACGCGGGCATGTACGTCCCCTACATTGCCGATGCCATGCTGAACGAGGAGGATACAACCTACTTCAACCTGAAGGGTATCCAGATCAACGACCCGTCCATCAACAGCGACTCGGTCATGATGTACTGTATGTTTCCCTTCATATACCTCCACCTCCACCACCACCACCACTAACAACATCACCCACCAGCCCCCGCCGTCCGCCATCTGAACCACTACAACAACATCTTCCAGCTAAACTCCACTTTCCTCTCCTACATCAACGCCAAAGCCGACAAGTGCGGCTACAACGCCTTCCTCGACAAAGCCATCACCTACCCACCCCCCAGTCCCTTCCCCACCGCCCCTGAAATCACCGAAGACTGCCAAGTCTGGGACGAAGTCGTCATGGCCGCCTACGACATCAACCCCTGCTTCAACTACTACCACCTGATCGACTTCTGCCCCTACCTCTGGGACGTGCTCGGCTTCCCCTCCCTCGCCTCCGGCCCAAACAACTACTTCAACCGCTCCGACGTCCAGAAGATCCTGCACGTCCCTCCAACGGACTACTCCGTGTGCTCGGAGACCGTCATCTTCGCGAACGGCGACGGCAGCGACCCCAGCTCCTGGGGTCCCCTACCCAGCGTCATCGAACGCACTAACAACACTATCATCGGCCACGGCTGGCTCGATTACCTCCTCTTCTTGAACGGCTCGCTCGCCACAATCCAGAACATGACCTGGAACGGTAAGCAAGGGTTCCAGCGTCCTCCCGTGGAACCGCTCTTCGTCCCTTACCATTATGGTCTGGCTGAGCTGTACTGGGGCGATGAGCCTGACCCGTATAACCTTGATGCTGGCGCTGGATACCTGGGTACAGCGCATACCGAGCGCGGGCTGACTTTCAGCTCGGTGTATTTGTCTGGTCATGGTAAGTTTATTATATCCCTTTGGAAAAGGTATGATGAATGTTAGAGAGTGCTGACTGTTGCTTCCTCCTTGTGATAGAAATCCCGCAGTATGTTCCTGGTGCGGCTTACCGCCAGTTGGAGTTCCTGCTCGGTAGAATTAGTAGTCTTTCGGCGAAGGGGAACTATACCTCTTGATTTCAGCGGATGACGACAAAAAGGTGATGAGGAAGATGATTGGATGCTTTCAGATGGGAATGCGTGCATATGAGATGAGATGAGATGAGATGATGTATCATTGAGGTGTGATGACTTGTACATATGTAGATCGGTAGTAAAAGGGATACTATAGGATATGGTATATGATGTATCATTTATGTACACCACGTGGATTCAATTGAGGGGAGCTTCAATTCCTGGTCATTACTTATCATATTTCCAACATGTCCGCGTATAACCGGTAACAACTAACTGCTTCATGTTTGTCAAGTGACTGTCTTGGTACAATACTACTGTTTCTATATTCTACTGTTGGTAACTTAATCTGGACATATTCTATATCCACGTACAGATTCTCGCTAGATTGCTCAAGTGTAGTAAGGTATCTATATAAGTTCATGAATCGCGTATCCAATGCATAACAAATCCTCCAATAATGGCAGCTAAGGCGTCCTAGCACCTTCGCCAATGCCCATCAACCCTCCAGCCAAGCCATTCATACGCCGGTCAAGCAGGTCCTCCTCGCTGGCAAGACTGTTAATACTCCGGTTTCTTTCCCGCAAAGGAATAGGACTCGGTGATCCAGAGATATACCCGTCTCGAGGAGGGATCGTTAACCTCATGGGTATGGGACGCTGTTTTCTGGTGATCCCTGGCCGCAGAGTTCGGCCTCGGGAGACGCTACGGATGCGTTCCTTTTTAGCATCCTCGCTGTCGCCATCCTTGGCAGCGACATCTTGGCTATCAATCTCGGTGCTGTCGATGGGTGCGCTGGAGCTGCGATGCAATGGTGTCAGTGGTGTTAGTTTCTTGATGCCTATCTCGAGAGGCCTATCCTCGTCGCCGGATGACTCTCCCGTGAGACGACGTCTATGATTGCGGGAGCTATTGCCGCGGTGAACGGATTTGGGCCCCTTTGGCATTTGTGCGCCGTTGGTGAGGGTCCTCAGGTGGCCAGAAGATGATTTCTTAGTCTGGGCGAGGTCGAATAGATCTTGAATCCAAGTTGCGCAGCGGTAGATGTGTTTCCAGCTATCGGGGAAGAAGCCGGCCATTTGCATGAATCCGTGAGAGATCCCGGGTAATAGGGAAACCTCGACATGGTCCTTTGCGTTGAACCTGCGATAAGACTTTTCGAGGCCCAGTTCTTGTCGTTCCTGGAATTGGCGGAGCTTAGCTTGTCTTAGTCGCCCGGCGAAGATGACCGTGTCGTCGACTAGAGGGTCACGTTCTCCTGTGATGATGTACGTCTTGGGGAAGCGTGCTAAGAGCTCTTCCGGAGCCAGGGCTGGGGAGAGTAGGTAGTCCGTATTGAAGTCGGGGCGGTTGTGCGGTCCGATGTAAAGGATGATCATTGCCCTCATCATCTCGGGGGTTAATATACGATCATTAACATACGATATCATCGATGAAACAGCCAGTCGTGTCCGGATCTGCTTAGGCTGGTGCTCAGTGATGGCAGCCACCTCCTCTTCAGTGACGTCCATCTTCTGTTGCTGTGCCAACTTCTCCGAGGTAGCGTCAACCAAATTTCCGACTTCCAGATCCGCGTCAGAGAACGAGTCACGCTGGAAATCTCCGAACGACGTTCCCGGAGAGGTAAAAGGCGTCAACCGGTGATAGTCCATATCTTTTCTTCGAAGCACGCTCTCATTGGTTCGACGTGTGCTCTTCTCTTGTATTAAAGCCATTTGCTCTTCCGTCATCCAGCTTTCTATCTTCATGTTCAGCGCGGGATATGGTAGAACTAGTCCATCCGGAGGCGGAAGCATGTTTTGTCCTTGCCATCTAGAGGCATGTGTACTGCCGGATTGAAGGATCATAAGAGTGACGCCAGTAGCGAGGTTACCACCAGCACTATCACCAGTGATGACGACACGAGGACGAGTCCGTCCGTTGAGGCCCAAGCACCGCCCACGGGTGGAGACAATGGAGTGATATACATCATAACATTCATTCAAAGCATACGGATACGGATACTCCGGTGCTTTTTTGTAGTCGAGACTCAGTACGGGAACTTTGGTTCTCGCTGCCCAAGCCAGAAGTCGGTCTTCGGAATGCCGCGGGCTCATCGAGACAAATCCACCTCCAGGAATATCCAGGACAATGCATGTTTGATCACGTAGCGCGGCCAATGACCCATCAAAGTAAAGCCACGCATTTGTCGGCTCCTTGTATATTGAGGACGCTGGCCGGGGGATGCGAATGGCACGCGGAGGGTACTTCGTGAGCCGCGGGCGGCCCAATTTAGCGAGTGCCCAGAGATACGGTGTGGTGCTCTTATTCCACGACACACGCATATGCTCTACGGTGAGCGTAGCACGGACCCGGCGAACCTTCTCGTCTGCCTGTTCGGCTGCGATAAGATAATACCCGGAGAAAACCAGAGACGCAATATCTCGTAGCCACTTTGGCTTTATCCCCATTGCCGTCCAGAAGCCAGCATCTAACCCTGTCGTAATCCATGTTGCCCGAAAAAAGGAGCGCGAGTATAGATTGGCTAAAGGCTCGGGACACTCGAGGCCAACAATCTTTGCAAAATTGCGGCAGATATAGAGCCAGAGGAAGACTATGACAGTGGTTTGCCAGACGCTCAGCTTTTTCGAGAGTCGCGATGAGATCTTGCGGATGAAAGGAGGGCCATTTTTATTTCCTCTACAAGTGGTCTGTCAGCAAAACAGCGGTAGCAGACGACACCAATCGAAACGCACCTTAATAGATAGGTAGACCAGAATACAAGTACAGCAAGAACCTGGATTTTCCGGAATTTTGTAGATGGCCGCCCAAGGACGTGGTCTGGATGTATATATTAGCAGCAGCCTCATCACATCCATGAGGTTCGCTGGGCCGTCGGTTACCTATCATCTTTCCAAAACAACCCCGGGTATCAATCAGGCAGCAGCAGTCTATAGAGGCTTTGAAAGAAGTCTATGGAATATACACGAAGCTTTAAATATATTGGAGGTAAAAAAAATTGGAGATAATCAAATGGAAAAAGTCATATTTCAGCTGCGCACTGGAACGATGGGAGGGGCAGTATGGAAGGACAAAGAATGGACAAAAGCGGCGAACCACTGTAAAAGAGGAACAGGTGAGCAACCGACAAGCAGACCACTAGCCTGTTTATTATCAAAGTATGTCAATAATGGCACAGTTCAGTGACCCAAGTACGGGGTATGTGGGGATGGGGGGAGGGGAGAAAGAGGGTAGTTGGCGTAGAGCGAGGGTATCCATGGTTCAGCTGAAGAAACGTAGTGATGCATGTGAAATCCCCACCAGGAGATGCATGGTGATCCAGTCATCTGGGAAGGGTCAGTAAGCAGTCCTTGAATAACCGGGGTTAGTCTGGCAGAGGCCCAAAAGCCGGGTTTTGGCGTCGATCACTGATGGCCCTCCGCGGTGGCTAGCTGGATGATGATAGCAAGACTAATGACAAGGTGGTATTTAGTGGGCGAAGGGAAGCGCGGAGAGTTGCCCCGTGCCGAGTCACGGGAGGGCCCGGTCACATGCAAATCCGCCACGAGACAACTCATGTGCTATTCCTCTTCTGGTATTTCCGGTTGGCGCTCTACTGAAGCTAACAATGACAATGCATGAGAAATTATTATCATCTATTATATATAGATTGCATCGTAGTATATCATTTCATTTCCCTATCATTCTAAAGTTCTCTCTACTGCTCATAGTTTTCGGCAATAGTCCCGACCGTGGGCGACCTGCCAATCACACAACCAGACCTCAAACGCCATTCCCAGAAATCCCGCTATACAAATTCCGGCGGAATCGCTGACAGTCGTCGCTCCGAGCGAGAATTCTCGGTCTTCCTTCGGCACCCGGTCCCCGATTTCGGCGAATGTATTGACATAAACCAGCCCCCCTAATAGCCCCTCCCAGAAGATGACTATAAATATTATGTACACACTCGGGATGAAGTCAAACAAGGCGTGCAATGTCAATACGACCAAATTGATGATTTGCAGCAGTGACGGAAGGTAAAGATCGTGAATCCGAAAGAAAGGCGTGGATGATCGCGAGATGAAAACACCAACCTGATAGATCGCATTGTACGCGGGATAAAATGCACGGTAATGTTCGAACGGCGAATCTTTAAGTGGAAACAGCAGGGTCGGAGAAACCCCTTGGTTGATTGTGTATTCGGCCACATAGACTAGCAGAAGGGGGAGCATACTGCGCGGAAATGTAAGCATGCCAATTATTGCTTGATGATACTAGCGTGCACTTACAAGGGAAAGAAAAGTCCCCTAGCTCGCTGCAGGTTAGCTTTGAACACCTGCAAGCCAAGCTCATGACTCGCGTCGCTCCTCTTGTTTCGGCTCGGGGGAGCTGAGGAGCCGAGTAGACCGTGCCGCTCATCCAGAAGGTCATCCCGATCTTCCTGGTCAATTGCACGATACTCAACAGGTGCAGCGGCCAATGTCCGTATGGGAGCTCTTGGCAGGATGGCGAAGAAGCTCACAACCATAATTGCTGGCAGGCAGGCAGCTGCTAGGAGTGTCGACTTGACACTGAGCCCCATAGAGGTAGTTGCGACGGCGTACGCACCAGCACCGACCAGCCCGGCGGCTCCGGTACCACTACCCCAGGCTGCCAGACTGAACGGGCCGTAGAAGTGCGTCAGTGCCAGGAAGCTCAGTTCGCCTCCTCCGCTCGACAAGCTCGCCAGAATAATGCCCGCGATTTTGGTGGAAATTGAACCGCCATCTGTATACGCTGGGCTCAGGGCCACCAGAAGCATACCCACGGCTGAACATAGCACACAGAACAATACTCGAGCGGGATATGGAACCAAATGAATAAAGTAGGGTGCTATCAGCTTGGTTCCGAATGAGGGAATGACGTCTGCGAGAAGAACAACGCCCTTGGGGACACTAGGACCAACTAAATCGAGGGCTGCGGACAAAATGATAACATAGAGGACATTGTTGATCAATCCTGTTGCGAGTCACGCATGCCGGTCAGTGAGCCACGAATAGTTCTTATCAGTTCGCGGTGTCTACAAGACGGCCAACGGCTTACCAAGTAGCCAGAATGCAACACAGACTCTGGGGTCAGCGCCATGAAAAAGTGCACCGAATCTCTCACGAAATCGGGACCATGAAGAAGACGGGGCTCCAGGAAGAGGCAGCATTGGTTGCCCGTCAGGAGCAGAAGACATAACCTGATAGAGGAAGGGATCCAGGTGATTCTAGTATGCTACAAATAACGTTCCAGGGCGAATACAACAGGACTGATCACAATAGCCAATACGATCAGGGAGTAGGCAGGCTGCAATGGGGCATTCTCATGGCGAAGCGGATTGACGGTGAGAGAGGTAGTTACTTGGTACCTGAAGGATGATAAGCGTGTCACGGCTCATCCGCCCAGAAAGGGCGGTCCCACGTGACGCCTTACTCAATGCAGTAGTATTCGTTGGGGACTTGATCCAAGGGAGAGTTTCCAACTCTTATTATGTTATACGGTTTGCTATTTGTCCTCCATGAGAAACCTCCAATTCCAATTTATCCAATAAGCAGAGCATCTATACATTAGGATTGTATCACCTCAAGGGATCTATAAATCATGGCTTACGCCGTCCAGCTCACCGCCGGGGGTGCAAACAGCCGGCAGAAAGTCCGACTGCTATCGGGACGATCAGGGCTTATCGGGTAATGCTTTCTGCCATCGCGATTCTTCCTTCTTCCGTCCCGACCTCCGCCACTCCGCATCTTCTTTCTCCAACTCGCAATCAGCTTCAAGCAGGACCAGTCTCTACCGGACGCCTCAAATTCTTCCATTTAATCCTCAATAATACGAAAGAAATAAGCAACAATCAAAATGTTCCTCCGCACCGCCATCCGCTTCCCCGCCAAATCCTCTCTCCCTCTTCGCGCTTTCTCAACTCGCGCAGCCCTCCTCTCCGACAAGCCTCCCTTCGCATTTGCCAGCGGTCCGGCCCCTCCGCGTTTGCCTAAAGAGGAGCAAGAAATTTTCGAAGAGCTCCAGCGCAAGTCCACCGGCGCTTTCAGTACCCCGCAGATCAACCAATCGCCCGACTCGGAGCCCGCAGTGGCAGCTGAGATCAACGCCACCGGCAAAGGCGAGGAACTGCATCCCGATGTGAAGTACGGAGTAAAGCCTGAGTTTGAAGGAGAGAAGAACCCCAAGACTGGAGAGATCGGTGGACCGAAGAACGAGCCTCTGAGGTGGGGTGCTGAGGGTGACTGGAGCTATGGTGGACGGGTTACGGATTTCTAAGAGGATAACCTTGCTCTGCTTGATGTCCGTTGATGTTGGTATATATAAAAGGTGCATGTGGAGGTTGACTTAGGTGTCTGTTTGCATGAGTGGCGTTGGTTATTGATTGTATCATGGTTATAGAGCTTTCTACTTCCCGCTCTCCTCTCTCATCTTGTGCTATATGTGTATATTATGCCACCATCGAACTTCGTTTCGAAAACCCTGATCTTGTCTGGTCAGTCGTGAACATACTGCGGATTTTACCTCGATAAAGTCTTCAAATTTTGTACATTTACCTGCTGGTCTATACTCGGGATGAATGCTTTGGAGTGAATCGGGCCAGCTCATTATTGGCCCGAAGTAGCAAATCACAAATCAGTAGCTATTTCAGCTACCAGAACGTACATAGTGTACTTTCCGATACACAGGTCGCCTACAAAAGGCATGCGATTGTGGTCAATGGGCGCTAAATCATCCCTTCTGATTGGTGCATGGGAAACTGACAAAACATTACGGGCAACTGATTAGGGGCTGTACACAGTCAACTACTAGGCCACCTAGTTGGATGTAGCAGTCCAACAGCAACTATGCTTCGGTCCTTGCAGCGATTGAGGCCTTCTCCACGAAATATACAGTCTTTGCGATACTCGCACTCGCCGCAACAGCGGCAATCATTCCAACGTGGAAGTAAACATAGCACTCCGTCGTCACGCCCCTTCCTTGATCTCCGATTTTCAAAATCCAATCCTCGTTCGTATTTACTCACTAAAGAGCAAGACAGTTCCGTCACTAACCATCATTACTAGAAGATGACCCATACACATACACAGGAGGAAGGTGGTTGAATCGCGACAAACTCCAACGAGATTGTCGCCGCATACAATTCAACTTTTCTGCACTCTGCGAAAGAGTCATTCATCTAAGTCCAGGTGCAACTAAGGTCACCAAGTATGAGAAAAGAGAAGGCGGATTCAATAGAGTCTTTATCTTCACCATGGATACAAGCTTTCGTGTCGTGGCGAGGCTACCGACCAGTATTGCCGGCCCTCCAAGGTTGACAACCAACTCTGAAGTCGCGACAATGGCATATTGTAGGACTGAACCTGACCTCCTTCTACATGATGCAGCTTTGATAGGACACTAATAATGTCACTGGTGTAGTACGATCCAAGTTTTCGCTTCCAGTACCCAAAGTCCTGGATTGGAGTGACGACCCAGCCAATGCGATCGGCACTGAATTTATAATTCAGGAACATGCTGAAGGAGTAAAACTACATCAAACTTGGCCGAATATGAACTCTGCGCAACATATGTTATGTACCAAGGCCCTGTCAATGGTAATCAAACAGATGGCATCCTTGGACTTTCCCGCATATGGAAGTCTATACTTTTCTAATGTGCCCCTCGAAGCGCACTTGCAGATCCCCTTCGAACAGGGATTCTGTATTGGGCCGCACTGCAGTCCAATCTTCTGGAACAGGAACCCAGGAGAGGTGGAGCTTTACGGCAGTCCAAGCCCTAATTGCGGTCCTTGTCAGTCTCACACCTCCATACACACTGTGCCCAATGTTTAATACAGTGTGCCAATTCTAGGGCGCGACCTCCAAAGCTACTGCAAAGGCTTGAGTGAGACAGGCTTCTCACGACTGCCCAAAGAAAAAACCATCAAGCATGGCCTCCCTCACCAAGGGACCATTCAAGACCACATCCAACTAATAAAAACAAGCCAAGCAGTTATGCAGAGATTGATCCAAGATAAGCGCATTCAGGATGCTGCGACGCCAGCTCTTTCGCACCCTGACTATCACAAACGGAACATCTACGTCTCCCCAGAAGATCCAACTATCATCACTGGCTTGATAGACTGGCAATCAACAAGCATCGAACCAGCCTTCGTCTACGCCAACGAAACCCCCGATTTCGCCACTCCTCCACACCTCGACGACGAACAACCAACAACACCTATCACCATCACGACAGCACGCGAACGCAAAGACGCCTCAATCTGCCATCAAACCTACAACGTCGCCCTAGTAGGCCTAGTCCCCAAGCTCCGACCCGCAAGACTCCTTGATCCGACCTTATTCCGACTCTTCCATTACACCCATTTGACATGGACAGGTAGTGCGGCTGCTATCCGTCAGGATCTTATTGAGCTATCGGATCGGTGGACGGAGCTGGGATTGCAGGGAACGTGTCCGTATTCTTTAACGGACGAAGAACGGGAAAGACATGCTAGGGAGTATGAGGACTTTGAAGCGGTCCAAGGCCTTAAGCTATGGCTTAAGGACGTTTTGAATACGGACTCTGATGGCTGGATTCCGAATGATGTTTGGGATGCGGCGAGGGATGCGCATCGCGCTGCTTATGAGGAGTGGATACAGACGGCGAGGGAGTTTGAAAATAGGGGGGAGGAGGGGATGACGGTGGAGAAGGCGGAGAGGTTGTGGCCGTTTGATGCGAGATAACCTACTTGTATTTTTTGAAATCGTGTAGTATACTGCTGGTTTACTGTGAAATTTTCCTCAAATGACTAGGGCGTGTGTCGTAAAAGAAGGTACTTGTATGGCATCAGCAAATAGATATGAATGATGGCTAAGGTAGCTATTTAACAAGACTGTTAAGTTATCTGCAAGTACTGATTTCACTCTTCCATCCGCGCCAGTATGGCCTTGCCCGCACGACTCTCATTGAACCGGCCCAGCTCCCCACTAATCCAGGAGCCGATCTTGGCCATTTCCTCCAGGTTGATACCAGTGTGCATGCCCAGACCATGGATGGTATGTACAAGGTCCTCTGTCGAGACATTCCCCGTTGCACCCTTCGAGTAAGGGCAACCACCAAGACCACCAACACTGCTATCGAAGATGCGGATACCATGCTCCAGCCCTACGATAGTATTGACAAGAGCCTGTCCATAAGTATCATGGAAGTGCAGCGCCAGATCATTATTCGCGATCCCGGCCGCCTTCAGAGCCTGCAGTAGCTTCATCGTGCGGGGTGCCGTGCCCATGCCCGTGGTATCAGCCACCGACACCTCATCGGCTCCCATTTCAAGTAGCGTTGCAGTGATGTCGGCCACCTTGTATGGGGATACATCCGGACCCTCGTACGGACAACCCAGAGCAACCGAAACATAGCCCCTCACTCGGATGTTCTTCGTCTTTGCTAGCGAGACGATTGGACGGATGCGATCTAGTGACTCCTCGATTGTGCAGTTTGTGTTGGCTTTGGAGAATGCCTCCGTTGCTGATGCGAACAGAGAAATCTCGGTTGTTGTTGGGGTTTTCGTGGCAGATCCTGTCGTGTCTGCCGGGACACCTGTGGCATCCATGATTTTGATCAGGTTCTCCAGACCCCTCACATTAGGGACGAGGTAGTTGTAGGCAATGGCGGTCTGTGACTGTGGGGGAGTCTGGAGGAGGTGCTCGCAGATCTCTGCCGTGCTAGCCATCTATCATACATAGATCTGTTAGTTTTGTAGTCCAAGGAGAGGTGGCGTCGTCGTTACTCCTCCTTTCGGATGCAAGCAGACGTCCGTACCTGGGGCACCCATTTCGCTGGCACAAAGGATCCCGCCTCAATTGTGGTTACACCTGTCTTAGCTAGCTTCTCAATAAGCTGAAGCTTGGTCTCGAGTGGAATCGACTTTTTCTCGTTCTGCAGACCATCTCGTGGCCCTACTTCGACGATGCGGACATGGTCCGTGGTTAACCGCGCCTCAGTCGCAAAGCGGCGTCGAGCTGGGGCCGTGCGAAGGGCAGAGAAGAGGCTCATTCGAGGTCGGAAGGTCATCATTTTGGCAATTGCTATCAGCTGTGACTCATGTAGAAGAAGCTCCTAGATATAAAAAATTGAGAATTCGAACCACGCGACAGCTCCCTGGGAATGAGGAGAGAAGTGGTGATGGCAGGATGAACTGATCAGCTCGTCCTGCGGAATGCGGAGAACCGACCGAGGCCGACGGGCGTGACCCCACCTGACCCGCCCTGCTGACTCAGCCTAAAATATCCATCATCCCACTTTGGAGTCACTTTATCGTTGCTCCATATCGCTCTCGATCAACCCACATTACATCATGAACGGCATACCTGAAGATTCGGTGCCATCGAGTGCCCCCTTGCGACAGCCCAAGAAGAGGTTCGTCGGTCGTCGGACAGCAGATGCGCAAGCTCAGAAGGATTCATCATCCACCGCACAAAATGTCGAGACCACCAGTATACAAAAGGGTCAGTACCCCTCTAACAGCCAATACTACGAACACCCATAACTTTTATTTATAATTCTCAACTAACATTTCATTCAAAATACAGCCACCCCCCGCCGCACCCCCCGCACCCTAAACCAAGTCCCTCCCGAGATCCTCGAAGACCCTGAAATCCTCGCCGCCATCGAACTCCTCCCACGCAACTACTCCTTCGAGATCCCCAAGACCATCCACCGCATCCGCACCTCGGGCGCCAAACGCGTGGCACTCCAATTCCCCGAAGGCCTCCTCATCTTCGCCACAACCATCTCCGACATCCTGACTCAATTCTGCCCGGGCATCGAAACCCTGATCATGGGCGACGTGACCTACGGCGCCTGCTGCATCGACGACTACACAGCGCGCGCACTTGGCTGCGACCTCCTTGTCCACTACGCACACAGCTGCCTTATCCCCGTAGACGTGACCAAGATCAAGACCCTCTACATCTTCGTCGATATCAGCATCGACACCACACACCTAATCGCCACGCTAGAACGCAACTTCCAACCCGGAAAAACGATCGCCACAGTCGGCACGATCCAATTCAACGCTACCCTCCACGGACTGAAACCCGTTCTCGAGCGCGCCGGCTTCAAGGTCCTCATCCCGCAGATCATGCCTCTCTCCAAGGGAGAAATCCTGGGATGTACCTCCCCGACCCTCTCCGCCGACGAAGTTGATATCCTCCTGTACCTCGGCGACGGCCGCTTCCACCTCGAGTCCGCGATGATTCATAATCCGGCTATCCCGGCGTACCGGTATGATCCGTACTCGAGGACGTTGTCCCGGGAGACGTATGTTCACGATGAAATGCACACGCTGCGCCGGGATGCGATTAACACGGCGAAGTCGGCGAAGAAGTGGGGGATTATTCTGGGTTCGTTGGGACGACAGGGAAACCCTAATACGATGGCGATGATTGAGAGGCATTTGAATGAGAGGGGCATCCCGTTTGTTAATCTCCTCCTGAGTGAGATTTTCCCGGGTAAGTTGGCGTCCATGGCGGATGTGGAATGCTGGGTGCAGATTGCTTGTCCGCGGTTGAGTATTGATTGGGGGTATGCGTTTGCGAGGCCGCTGTTGACGCCGTATGAGGCGTTGATTGCGTTGGGGGTGAGAGATGGGTGGGAGACGGAGAATAATGGGGTTTATCCTATGGACTTTTATGCGAAGGAGGGGCTGGGGAGGACAAAGCCGGGCCAAGCGATTGCGGCGTGAGGTTTGTGATGATGTCAAGTGATGTTTTTGCATGATGCATATGAATGACTACTATAGATGTCTTTTTGTTATGTGGTCTCAGTCTGTCTGGGATACAAAAGCTCATGATTATGAAATAGAATTACCATGTTCTCTTTGCGGAACATGTGGGAAGCATTCGTCTATTTTCCGAACATGTGGGTAATAATAATAGTAATAATACATCAATCAAGTACGCTACAGTGCGGCATACATCGTTCATGATCCTTTGACCTCATCCGCACTATCCGTGTTGAGATCACTGGCACTCCCTCGCCGGAGCGAAAGGATGCTTTTGCTAGCAAATTCGTCCGCTGTCCGCTCTGCTGCGCGCCATCGCGTAACGGCTTGCTCGACATCCTCGAACATCTCCAGCGTGTCCTTGATGATACCGCCCTCCTCGTGTTCGGGAACCTGCGTGCTCTCTCTTGATCCGCTATCGCTGATCATAGGGAAAGCAGGCCCAAAGCCACGTTGAGGGATAGGGTTGAACATCACGGCGTTGGCGAACATGCGGATCAACTCCTTCTCTAGCTGCGCCGAATTGACAATACCCTTTGGGGGAATGATGTCCTCTGTCTTTTGCAACATAAGGACAGCATTCTTAGAAGGGGTCCCTGTACCCGGCGCCGGTGACTCCCCGTCGCCTGCCGGTGTGCTTGCAGCCTCCGTAGCTGCCGCCAGTGCCCTGCTGCCCTGGTGGATCAGCGACTTGATAGTCTTGATATCTTGCGGCCGATAGATAAGATCGCGGTATCCCGGTGCGTCACGTTCCGTCAGCGGCTTGGAAAAGGTTCCCGCAACCTTGTGCATGCTCAGTTCACTCATGATAGGAGCTCCGGTCCGAGGGAAATTGCGAGCGCAGACTACATACGTCGTCGACTGATTAGGGTCAACGCGAGTAAGCTGGCTAAGCTCCGACTGAGTAGGTTCGGCCTCTAGGCTCTCACTCGGAGCACGCTTGCGCTTCGGTCGCCCCCTGCTCGGCCGACTGACCGAGGGACGTTCGGGTTCAGCCGTCTCTGGGATGCCAGCTGGGGTACTGGGTACTTCATGCTTGATTTTTGCCTGGGATCCAGTGCCTGTATCTGCTGTGGACTCTTCATCCCGTGACAACACAGACCTTCCCCGGCTTCGTGACGACGCTGTGCTTCGGTCACGGTCCTTACCGCTAGACAGCGTTCCCCTCTCACTCTTCCTTTTAGTCCCTCCCTTGCTTTCTGCATCAATCGACAGGGTCTGATCGGCGCCAGTCCCATTACTTTTTGTCTCCGTCCTCCGCTTTCGACGGCGAGGCTCAGGCTCTTCTGGCGTCGGCTCACGAGATCCCGGCAAAGACGGCGCCTTCTCACTGATAGGACTGATCTCCTCTGGCCGTGGTCGCTCGGGCGAACGAGGAGAGTGGGGGATGCTCAACCGTGGAGTCCGCTTCCAAGGCGTTAGAGAGCCAGGTGTAAGAACGCCCGTGTCAATCGAAGGCCTAAGAGGCCGTGTGCTCGGTGGCCGCGAAAGGATAGAACCCTGCGCAGGCCCAACCGGAGTCTGGAACGCGGGCGGTGGAATATTCTGGGCAGGTGTGTGGGCAGCCGCGGGCACAGGACCTGGAGTCGACGGGCCAGGGGTTGGTCGTGGTCCTTGCGCTGCCTTCTTGCTTTCGAGGGCTGGGGTGGGTGGAGGGAATGGAGACTGAACCGCACGCCCAGCAACAGCGGCGTTCGTCGGTTCTGGTTTCGGCTTTGCGAATGCTGGGGGAGGTTGCGGCGTTTGCGGAGGTTTGTTTAGAGACCACTGCTGGAAACTGGCCTGCGGTGGAGGTCGCTGAGGCGCCGGGCTAGCAGCTGGAACAGACTGACCTTCCTTGGCAGAGGGCTTGCTGGCCAGAACTTGCTGTTGCGGAGTGGAAGGGATTGGCACACCGGCATTCTGCGGAGCTTGCGAAGGTGTAACAGCGGGAGGGCGTGCGACACCCGGACTGGGTACTGAGGCATTCGGCGGTTTTGGCGACGGAGCAGGTGGCGCGGCCACTGGTGCGTGGTTCACAGGGGCATTCTTGGGCACAATAGTTGGTTGTGTTGGTGTCGGGAACGCCTTTCCATTCGGGACCGGTGGCTGCTGAGGCGGCCGACCAGTCGCTATCTGAGGGCTGGGCTGAGGACGAGGTGACGGTTGCGGTGGCTGTTGAGGCTGTTGCTGGGGCAGTGGCTGAGGCTGAGGCTGTTGCTGGAGCTTTGTCTTATCTGCCGGTGGCAATTCGACGGGCCGTACAGACTGCGCGGGCAGAGGCTGGGGTTCCTGCGGTAGGCGCGCGACAGGCTTCGCGGGTTGCTTGCTTGTATCCAGCTCCTTCCGCTGCGGTTCCAGGAGAGGCTGCTTAACATCAGCAGCTACCAACGGTGTCGCAACATGCATAGCTTCATCGCGGGGCCGTTGAATTGGCTTCTGTTCCTTCACATCCACATCCATCGGTTCTGGCGCGGGCTCCTGCTTCGCTGGCGCAATCGGCTGCGCCGCTGTCGGTCTTGCGGAGGTCTCCGAGAGCGCATCGCGGTCCTCCTTCTGTAGCTGGTCAATCTCTTTTCTGATATCCCTATATCTCTGCTCTTCATCCTCAATCTCCCGCGTTACCAACTCCTTGTATCTGGCATACAAATGCGACACTAGCCCCGGCACTTTGCTGGCATGGTTATGAACTTTGTCCGCCAAGCCATCAGGTCGAGGACTGGATATCTTGCGCTTTTTTGGGTTATTGGGGGCCGCACTCTCGGCATGGTGGCCGTTGGGTCCAGCATTGGTCGAGTCCCAGCCATCTCGCATCAGCGTCGTGTAGAGATCCTCCAAGGCTTCTGGGCTGAGTCTGCCCGCATCGTAGGCGGCATTCTCTCGAATGAAGGGATTGTTGCGGAGCACATCGGAGATGGAGGTAAAATTCGCGGGGGGAGATTCTAGGCCGGCGAGAGACTGGAAGAAGAGGAGAGATTCAAAAGGCGTGTAGACCGATAGAGGAGGCATCCCCCATTGCCCGTCGAATCGGCCTCTGGGGGGACAATATTTAGGGATTGGGGCCACGGTGGTAGAAGTGATCGCACGATTGTCGGCCCGACGAGCTCAGTCCAAAAGGCGACAAGTCCCTCGTCGTATCACTGTAGAGAGTCGTGGGTAGCACCAGGCAGGACAAGAGACGGATACCTGAGATTCCAGGCCGACAAGACGCGAACGTGAGTGAAGGTCGGGGTGGCGGTTCAGACCATCCGCGCAGAAAAATGAAGGGAGACCGCAAGGGAAAAATCGGAGGGAAGGTCAAAAAGGATGGAGAACGCGATGGAGTCGCGAAGGGGAGGCCGTGGGAAGGTAAGAAGAAGCTAAATTTGAATTACGTACAGCGGTAATGGGTTCGTGAATAAAGAGTGATGGAAAGGATAGGCGAGATGACGGGACTGGGGATGGATGGCTGAAGGGGACGGGGGGAGGGATAGGATGGGATGGGGATGGGATGGCATCACCGTTGCGGGCAATTCACCGGGAGGAAAGACTTGTTCCTTCCAGAATGGAAGTCCCTCCCTTTCGTTTTCCCCCCCAAAACGGGAACTGGCTGCTGTCCGGTCACGTGTGGGGCTGGAATGCCCTTCTGGGCCTGCCGGACTTATTTTCCTGCCTGGGAGTCACTGGCGGCAGCTTTTCCGAGAGCACCCAGTAGTCCCAGCCTTCATGCCTCCTCACCTCCTCTTCCTCCCATCCAAGCTCAATCAACACCTTTTCCAGATTCTGGACTTGCTTCCTATTCTCATGGACCGTGTATCTTTTGCGCTTCCATGTATATGTTGGGATTGCGCCATTTCTCAAAAGCAGCTGAACCATAGACACAGACCGTTGCCGGACAGCTAGCATCAACGGGGTTTGTCTGCCCACCGCCGTGCTACGGGGATGAAATTCATTAACATCCGCTCCATATTGCAACAAGATCTCGGCAATTTCCTTTTGTCGAGCTGCTACAGCCTTTTGCAATGGTGTCCGATGCCGAGTCGTTCCATTTGGACTAACCCCAAGTTTCAGAAGTAGCTGCACCATCTGTGATACTCGCGGCCAGGCGCAGGGGCCATCCAGGACGCTGAGCAACAATCGTCTACCCTGGTCAGGTGTGAGAGGAGCGTTGAGATGAGCAAACAGCCACCGCACCGCTTCAAAACGTGTGAAGCAAACAGCCAGCTGCAAAGGCTTCAGGAGATCATTCAATACCCGGGGATACCGCTTTACAAAGAACTCCATCAGTTCTACATCGCCCCTGCGCGCCAACTTCTTGAACGCTTGCTTGCATGAAGAAGACGGCTTAGCGGGGTCAACATGGTTCTCTTGATGATGGTGCTCAAGCCATACTCCCAGCGCGTCTTTATTTCGACTTATCGCAGCCATGGTCAAAGCACTCATGGGGATGCTATAGATAATGGTGTACCACATGGAACATCCATGCTCCACCATAGTTTTTGCAATCCCTCTGTTCCCTCTTTGCGCTGCGACATCCATCGGAATGACTCCAAATCGTAGACATATCTGTTCTGGGTCCAGCCCGTCCCGTAGTGCTGTGCTCAGTTCTGCACAATCCCCCCGTAAGATGGCCATGCAGGCCAAGATGATTGGCATCGACTTTGCGATTGGCTCATTGAACCTGTTGTTCACTTTATCAATCCAATATTGACATACTAGGGGATGGAACATCGTCGATGGATCGTTTTTCCCCGCTATTGCAACATCAATCAAACTCTCAGTCAATTTAATCCTCTCCTCCTCTGCAGGAGCATCCCCCAACTGATACTCTATCACCTCCTGCACAAAACACGTAAAAGCACATTGTTTTTGCGGATGCTCCCGTAGCTTTCGATACAGATAAAGCCGCTTCAATCGATCGGGGAAAGTACCCCATGGCGATGAATCTAGATCCGACCTGGTTAGGAATGTAAATAAATCCTCCAGGTCCTCGCCATTCAAGAGAAAATTAATGATTTCTTCATCAAATAAGCCTGCTTTCTTGTTAGTTCTCATGTTTGAAGTGAATGATTGGTTGTCACACACTGTTCACTTTTCTCGCACGCAACAATTCTGGCAAATGCAATTGAGGTAGGAGATGCTGGATGATCAGGCGGAGTATTTCAGTGGGAAAGGTCATTTTTTTTGGTTCTATCTCACTATTATAAAGACTTCTGGGATTTTCTCGTGGATTTCTGGTGTCAGGTGTACGGACTGAGATTCCTGTGCGAGATAAAGAAGTTAGTAGCAGTAACTATATCAGGTATCGGGCTGACATTGGGGCTGAATGGCCAGCAGTAATTGCTACTGCTCAGCCACAACAGCGAAGTAGCTGGGCGGCTCCTAGTTGATGCTGCTTAATTCTGACTCTTTATGAACAGTATCCAGGAATAAAAGCTGGTTAGTTATTGGTTCATTATTGAATGTATCGTGACAGTGGCCATGTTCTGAGTAAGGCTGAACCTCTAGGAGACCATAGATGCAGATCAGCTGATGCTATACAACTACAAACAATCTTTTATCTATCTACGCATCCATAGCAAATATTAAAAAAAAAAGGCACAATACTTTTTTCTAACAGACTTCCCCTATATGCCAATCACAGCCACCCCACCCTCCTAACGACCCAACTCCCACCCCCAACCAACCCCGTCACCCCTGTGAAGACAATCAAGCTCCCATACCCGGTCCCAAACCCAAACCCCAACTCTCCAGCCCATGGCATCCCCTCCAATAACGCCTCACTCAACGGGCCTGAAACAATATTCCCGACGCCCCTACCAGCCGCCAAACAAGCAAACACCATACTCGACTCGGCGGCACCATCCTTCCTGACCACCTCCCTCATGATCCCGGGCCAAGTACTCGTATACGAGCCCGCAAAAAGCCCATACACGATAGCGAACACAAACAGCGGACCCAGCGAGACGCTAAATCCCCAGATGAGAAACACACCTATCGTTGATCCCACAGTCGAGACCAGAATGCAGGTCGTCACGTCCCATCGGTCGATAATGGCGCCCATGACTACGCACCCTACTACAGACGCAACGTTGAATAATATCACTGTGAGGGCTTCCAAGCTTCCTGATGAGACGCCGATGGCTCTTGCGTACGAGGGAAGGTAGATAGACGGGAGGAAGTACCCCACTGCTTCGACCATGTTGAACAGCTCGAAGAGGAGGAATGTTCCTGAAGTCCAGAGGAATCGGATTTCCTTGAGTCGCGGCTTTCGTGCTTGCTGCTGTACTACGCCGTCCACTCCGGTACTCCGCAGTGCAGGCGGCACTCTAGGCTTGACGAACCATACCAACGGGGCCGTAAGCACGAATAACACAACTGCGAACCCTCTCAACGCTATTCGGAACCCGTATCGATCGAGTAGCGTTTCCATGACGATGGGGAGGATCGCGCCGCCTAAACCGGTGCCGGCCCACATGACGCCGAAGGCAAAGCCCCGGCGTTGGTCAAACCAGTCTTCCATTAGGAGGATGCATGGCGAGTAGGCGATGCTTCCGCCGATGGCGTAGAAGATGCCTTGGGAGATGATCAGGTGAGTGGTGGTTGTGGACAGGGAGGAGAGGCCCAGAGAGAGACACATTGTTAGGACACCGAGGGCGCAGCCCAGACGCTGATAATGAGGGTAGGTGCGGTATAGGGTGAAGATTATGGGGAGGTCGAGATACATTATTCCCTGGAGTTTAGAAATTGGTGTTAGTTTTGGGGAGGGGAAGGGGAGGGATGGAAAGGCTTACCATGGCGCATGTTCCGATGATGGCAATGTTATTGGAGTTCTGGAACATGGGCAGTGTGCTGTAATAGTCTTGGAAGACACCGTAGGTGAAGGCGAACCCCCAGACTAGGGCTTCCATGACGAAGCAGGCGGCCAGAAAGAACCAGGCATCTTTACCGTGGTCGATGGGTGGGAGGGGGAGTGAGGGGGAGGTGCCGTTTGGATTATGGGGTTTTTCGTTAGGAATCACCTCCTCGTCTGATAATCTGACCATGGTGGATGGTATGCTAGAGGGAATATGATGTCGAGAATGATGGATGAAGAGCGAAACTCTATATCATAGATCTGTTTAAAAAGCATGTACAAACGCAGCTATGCAGACTCTTTTTTAGTAATAATAATGAACAGATAGGCTCTGTAAAATACTTATCATCCCTCACCCTCAGCAAATGAATGGAATGATCAGCAACAGAAAAGTCCATCTTATATTGATCAACTATGAGAAATCGCGCTTGCACCATGTCCGCAGCGCCCTGTCATTGACATGGTCCCATTCACAGCCCCCATTGGTGGACTTGATGCTAGCGTCTTTCGCCTTTTTGGATCCTTTTGCGTGATGTTAGCCGCGCTATAGCTCATAGCTCAGTACAGATATAGACAGCCGAGCGTAGTACTACAAAGAGATTATTTCAACTTCAAGCTATGCGGCTCGTATAGAGTGCTGGATGTGAAGAATGCCCTAGTTCTTATTCACCTGGAAATTGGAGACTTTGCATGAAATCGATCTTCGAATATCATGGTTGCATGATAATGACGAGTCACATATTCTTGCAGATATAAGTGATTGACATAGTTCATTGAGAGGGTCTAACATTTTGATATATAAGGCCATTACGCCTACAATCCATTGAGGTCATCATATCTCCCATTGCAGGTAGGTTGTTTTAGACAAGGATTAATACACTACAAGTGCTCCTTGAACCATTGAACAGCCTGCAAGAAAGCGTTCTCCTTAGCATACTGCACCGTCCGGTTGGCAGGGTCTCCCCGGACAGCAAAGCCGTGCGCCACACCGCTATAGAGGTTAAGCTGGTAAGGGAGGCCCAAGGCCTTGAGGATCTCTTCAGATTCATGGCGCTTTTCGGCCGGGAAAATTGCATCCGTTTCCGCAGCAGCAATAGCCAGAGGGCCCTTGATGGCTTTCAGTTCCTCCGACTCGACGAAAGAAGGGTGGGCGGTATATCCAGCATCGATCTGGCCGGGGCGCAAATGGCGCACAACGTACTTTCCACCGAAGCAGTAGCCGACGGCACCGATTTTCTGATAGATGTTAGATTTCATTTCTAGTTACCCAACTCATCAGTGGAAGTCATACCTTGCATCCATACTTAGTTCTCATCTCCTTGATGCATGCTTCGATAATGGGGTCGACGACCTCGGGAGTATGGGGCTTCTTGTCCTTGTGGTATGCACCACCCTTCCATGCCATGAGATCGAAACCTTCGGGGCGGTTGAGCGGGATGGCGTCGTTGTCGAAAAGGTCAGGCATCATGACGAAGTAGCCATTGGCGGCAAACTGGTCGGCAATGAGCTGAGCGTTGATGAAGCGGTGGCCGATCACGTCCGTAATACTTCCTGTTGTTAGTTCGATCTGCTTTGGATATAATTGAAGGCAGAACATACACCAAGACACCATTCTCGGTGGACTTGTCAGCAGGAGAGCTGGTGTAAATCTCGAAATCATTGAGCTGCGAGAAGCTACCCTTGGCTTCACCTTCGTGCTTGACGCCTTGGTAACAGCAGCTTCCGGCGGGGAGGGATGCCATGATTGTTTATCAACGATGTGTACTGTAAGCTGATTGAGGCTTGAATGATTGAGATATGAAAGAGGACAGCAAAGCTGACAGAAGGGAAGAGGGGAAGGGGACTAAATAGCGGGGCATGAGCTGCCACCTCCGACACACTCGGAGCTATCCGTTATTTCCGATATGATGTCTTCCATGGTTGAGCTAGCTTCTCTCAGCTTAGATCGATGGTAAGATTTTAATCCAACGTAAACTAACTACATTGACTGCGATTATATCGGCAGGCTGCAAGCGGAGCTGCTCATCGGCATGCCGTCCGCATCGTATATCACCGAGGCTTTGTGCGCAACAACGCATACGACGCAAGTGAGCGAGAAACACACAACTCCGGTTTCGATAGATTGTCACCAAATGATTGTGGCCACACTTAGCGTGCAACTTAAAGCCATGCGGACTTCTACGATGGAACCTAGTGAAGGCAAGCTCAAATATCTTTAAACGTCGCCAAATATACTACTCGGTGCGCAGATGCTGGAGAGAGGATAAATTGGGAATACGATTGCATACTCTGACTTGAGTATCATGTTTTTCGCCTCGCCATTAACAATACATGATCAGTATCTCCGACCCAGTCTTATCCTGATGTTGTATAATGCTTCTTTTTTTGGCATTTCTCTGGGCTTACTGTAGGCTCCGCCCAGCGTGCGGCATACGAATAGGACTTGCCCATCACCTGTTGCAGTGACCATAGCATTGGCCACTGATTCAGCGGGTCTTTCATGAGCGAGGTCACCGGAGCTTGGTCAACTTCCAGACATGTGCTTGATGGTAAATTGGATTAAATGGACGGCTTCGTGCATGTCCTGGGACCAAGTTTCTTTTGCCCTGTGACGACGAGTGGAATACTGGTTCCTGAGTACTCCGTAGTGCGTGCTGGATTATCAGGCTGCTCATAAGTTGGCCGACGATATGGGTGAGACGGGAATGTTGCGCAACCCCAAAATAGTACATGCAGGTACACAGACGTCTTGCAGCACATCTGTGATATGTAAACCGATCTTCAAGCTATAAATACTATGGACCAGGTCTATAGACATATCAATGTAGAACCCCAAAGAGAGCACAGACGCCTGAAACGCCAGAGGCTACCAAACCTTTCCTGGAGTTCATAATAGGAGCTAGCTCATACATACTTACAGTTGAGCTGACTCTGGCTGCGATATAGGCCGACCTCTATTCTATTTCTGGCAAGAAGAACCAAGCTGAGAGGGAAGGATAGGGATCATCGCATTAGTGGCCGCTCTCGTAAGTGACATGCATAATCGCGATGGGCTAAACGGTAAGTTTGCGATCTTCTGAGGCTTGCTTTGCTAGAATTTGACATGTAAATATCAATAGCTGGAGTGGTGTACCAAAATTGGCCTGTTTGGGAGTCTTTATTGGTCACTTTCTATGCGGGTATCTCTAATTGGCACATCAGGGAAAAAGCAACTGGATGTGATTTGAAGGCATCGAAAGACGCGGACGTTGAAACTGACAGATACGGAGATCCGTGTGGGAATATCTCGTGAGGAGATAGTAATTTAATACTCAATACAGTAGGTATGCCCATGGCAGTCCCAATGTTTCAGTAGATAGAATAGAGACGGCGTCGTGCAACGACAAGAAGTATGAATGGATGGATGGATAGATGGATGGGACTCGGATCTGCAATAAGAGAGAGACGAGTGGCCGGGTGGCAATAAAGAGGGGCGGGGGGTGGCAGCAAGGCAACAAAGACCCAAAACAGGGGCTGATCTGCTCTCACGTGACCGTATAATTTCCCATTGGTTGCGGCTCCGTCCTTGAGGATGGGACGGGATTCAGGGGCATCCAGGCAGAGTGGACGATGCAATTCCACTACCGCCCGACTAGTGAGGACGATGGAGCTGCACTATTTACCCTCCAAGGCAATCATGGAGCACCCGAACCACCCATGGATGAGTTTCAACTTACCCAAATTGACTATTCTTTGACACAGACCTGACACCCAGTACCCTCCATCCATCTATCCATCTGCTCCTCTTCCTTCGCCATCGCTTCCATCGCTTTTCTACGGCTGCTTCTATACCTGCGACAAGAAATTAAAGCCGCGGACGGCCCTGCATCCCACTTCGATCCCCCCCCAGCGCTTGCCATCGTCATCCCCGCCGATCGTGCAGCCCCTGTCATTATCCATCCATCCCCATCGGACTCAATAACCCAAAAGTGGTCCCTCCCTACCTGGCCGGTCTCCAGTAGTGCGACGGTGTCTGCAATTTTGCCGATTTTCCCCTCCAGCCATCGCTCGAGTCCTCGCTGCCCCCTTTTATAGTTATTACTTAGATCCCGGCCGGTCCTGGTCTCCGTCATCAAAGCTTCTATACAATCAATCTTTTGAAATCTTCGGTGATTTTTGTTCCTCGCCTTGTCCACTCTTAATTACTCTGAGCGCAAGGACCACCCCATCCGTGCTATCATATCCACTTAATAACCCCCTGTTCCGTTCCTGACGCGCGCGCTTCTAAACTCCCTCCACGTCTTGGACTTCATTTCACATACTCCTTTTCCCCCCTTCCCAACCTTCTCGCATCCAACTTTACCCCCCCTTTCGTTTCGATCCTCCATACCAGTGCCCCATAATCAACGCCCTTGACAACCACCAAACAAAATGTCGGATATCGATCAGGAATGGAAGCCCAAGAACCGCCCACAGTCGTTCGTTCTCCTCTCTTGCGATCCTCTTCTCTCCCGAACGTTGGCGTTGACCAAGACGTGGCAGGACCATGGCACAAGCCTTCTCATCGGCGCTGGATAGCGCCTTTTCGCTTGATTCCGATGTCAATCACCTTTCACAGACCATCGATCAAAAGTAGGTTCCACTTGGGCTGTTGATGATTTGCGGTCTTGTCTCGCTTCTTAGCTTGTGTCGATGCGGCGAAACTGACGAGCCCTTCAACCATAGGAGACACCAAATGATGATCCAGGAGCGAGAATTGGAACAGCTTCAGGCTAGGATTCGAGAAGCTGAGGAACGCCTCAAAGCTCGACAGTCTTTGATCCTCGACGGCAACAACACAAGGTCCCCTTCAGCGCAACGAGGGGAGCGATTCTATCAGTCAACAGGTGAAGATTCCCAGCTAGACAACATTCGCCATGATCGTCAGAGTTGCTAACAGCGCCTGATCTGCAGCATCCACCTCGGCATCGACATCTCCTACGGACTCGGCAGGCCAATACTCCAGCGGCGACGAACAGCAGCGTGGTCAGGGTCGTAACTCATGACTGCCTTTGACGGGCCGGGGTCGGCTAATATCAGCATATAATTTGGGTCAAGGTTCGGGATGGGAGATTACGGATTCAACTTCACTGCTTTCATCTTTTATATATCCTCATATGGCGGGCATGTTTGGAGAAATCGGTTTTATTGGCTTGGACGCTCTGTCATTGCTTCCCTCCACCAAACCAATGCCAATCAAGGCATGGAGGGAAAATAACGCCGGCGCAGCTCATCTGTCGCTCGCTCGCCTGATGTACTGGGTGGTGACCACAGCCGCCTATGTGCGGGCCATGCCACTCTTCGGAAGTTCGGGAGCGACAGTCGAGCCCGTCGTCCAGTCAATTTTGGCGTTAAGTATTGTTTACACAGTCAATATGTTGGCATTTATTTGGTCTTCAACTTTCTGGCATTTGTGTCTCAATATAGCGAAAGCGAAAGGCCGGCATCTATGTCGTCCACGTAATGCGGTTATACTAGGGTCTCATATCTGAAGCTCATTCGTTGCACACCTAGCGGAGGATTTCTTGCCCTATCGCGGGCGATCCGTCAACGGCATTTGCCCCTTCTCTTGGACTATTGAAGGGATTGTTCCTACAGCGCAAACGTTCTCTGCTACCAGCCATGATGCCACATTATGCTTATATAAGTTTCTTCCGCTTGAACGATAACTAGAGATAGTCGATAGAGGCAAACAACATACAACGCACCTCGGGCTGTTATCAAGGGGCGCCCGGCTATACTTTCACACCTACAGATTATCATCTACAGCACGTTTCTCTCCCTTGAACAGTATAGTTGGTAGGTCGTCCCCGCTGCTCGGACCTCCAATATGACGCGTATATCTCCAGAAGAAGAGCGCCTTGATTTAGTGTAGACTGCACGTCTTTGGCTCGCAATGGAACAACCTTGGGACGACATTCAACGACAGCTGGAACTTTCGGCCCGTCAAATTGACGGTTCGGATCGGAGGTCCGCCCGGTTTTCCCACCCAAACTTCAGCCGGGGATGCAAAAATACAACAAGAGCATAGGTACGGTATTTACGACCGGAGCCATTGTATGGACTATCTTCCTTCTTAATACCTGTCCAAGCTTGCCGAGTCGGCCTGAGCACAACTACCGTGGAATATTCAGGATTTCAGTAGCTGGTGTTGTTCCTGTCCTTACAGTTTAGAAAATATTATGGCTGCCTCAAGGGACTCAGACTCAACATGAACAGACATCAATGCAGTCTGACAAGTGAGTAGGTTGGATCAATGTCCTTGTTCTTGTTACCCTAACTGTTGTTTCTTTTTGGCTGTCAGGGTTGGAATCGGTTCGTTTCAAGTATTGTGCGCCTCACTAAACCGGCCACTGATCAACTTGGTTTCGCCGTCGTCGACCAGTGCATGGGATTCGCCACTAGCACCCTCGGGGAACAATACACTTTCTGTCCTGATCGGTGTCTCACCATCACTCACTGCGGGCAAGAACTCACTCAGCCCATGGGGATCTTCAAGTTTGATGACATCAGAACAGCCACAGAGAGCACGAACGGTGGGAGCACAGACTGCCTAGGGCTCTATACTTAAGTGATATAACTACCTGAAGCCATGGTTAGTGGCTTTGTGTTCCTTACCTTTCCGTACCGGTACAACGCTGTGGGAAAGGCACCATTTTGCCATTATAGCCCGATCCACCTGCTTCGGTGCACGATAACGATTCAGGCTATTGGAGCCCCGGCGCTGCGCATTGCCTTGGAAAACGAACCAGGACATTCAGCAAGGTGTGCCAGTTAGCCAAGGGCTGACAGAGGTCAGCTTGGTACTTTCGCACTTTTTGGGCAAACCTTCCACAACCTTGTACATAGTGCATGTGTCATCTGGTCCTGATGATGTCTACTCTGCTCCTCTGCTGTGACCCATAGAGCAGAGTGAGCTGAGTCCTGCTGAGCACAGCTGAGGACGACAGAAACTCACTTTCTTGCTCTGGCGTATGCTAGCCAATGTTCTTCAAGGATCGCCCATCCTCGTGGGAGGGTTCCAGCCAGCCACATTGCACGGTGTAAGATATGGACCGATGAATGGTGAAAGAGCTTGTGCTGGATTGATTTGTTGCCCCTGATGGCTCTCGTTCTTGGGGTTGGAGTGTCCACCATCAGCATTCGATCTAAGGTTTCACATGCTGTGTCCGCCAGCAGATCCGAAAGACCATCCTCGCTTGGGTCAGCACTATCCGAATGTTGCTCAACATGGTGAGGCTAACCTAGTGGGCTCTGCGGAAGAGCCGAACATTTCAATCCTTCCGTCCAGTGTGGTGGGGATCTATGCTTCAACGCCTCGGCGTCCTGCTGTCTGTCGGGCACTCTCTTTGCAGCTGACATAGGATTTACTCAAAATGCTTCCATGCATTGGCACTAGAAGGCCAAGTTCAGCCGATCATCGCAGTGCGTCGGCGTCGTGAGAATCAAGTTATCGACCACGACATATCACAACTGACGGCTGATTTCTTTTCTCGAGGACTAGCCTCTTAAGCTCTAACCACATCGAAGCCTGCCCACCAAACCCTCCCTTCCCTGCCCCAAACTGCCGTATCTGTGCTATCTGTGTAAAGATACGCGATACGGTATGATACTCCATCCTGGTAATTCCTGCCTATCAGCGTCGGGAAATCCATTCTAACTCGTTACGCCATACCGAGGCAATATCACCATGGCACCCTCTGATAAGTATAAGAAAAAGGAATTAAAACGCAGAGAGAAAAGAAATACAAGAAGCAAAATCATTTTCTTGTCTCTGATTCTTCCTCCGCCGGAAATCACCCGGCCAAAAGTACCTACATGCAGTCATGATCAACCCATACCTATCTAGGTAAGTAAGCAGATAGCCGGATAGTAAGTAGTAGTCCAGATGCCCTCCTCCTTTCCCCCTCTCTCTCTCGCATTCGAATATCATCCGCCCCAAGATTTAGTCTAGTTAGCATCACGTAAGGGCTGAAACAAAGCACTGCATGCACGACCGCGATCATTACAATATTACTACGGTTTTTCAAGACTAATCAGGCGGGCTACTATGTATATATGTATGTATGGCCGTATGTATGTATCTACCTCGTTACGGCATCAATACATACACCGGATATGGAACAAGGCAACCACCAGCGGCATACATCCATACATCCATACATCCATACTTGCATACATACATACATAGATTAAATAAAATACGTTACTAGATACTCTTTACTAACCTACAGAACGTGCTTTTGATTTATTGCTGGCTTAATTCTTAGGTAAGGTAGTAGGATTAGCTACGGCTATACGGTGTGAGTTTTGTCCCTTGTTCACTGGGCTATAACTAAACTAACGTTAGTACTATGTGAGGAGAAATAAGTACTACTAGACTATCAGAGCAAAACAGGGCTAATGGGGTTAAGTATATAGTAAGTAGGTGATAAGTACTGGGGGGTTTTGGGCAAAAGTACATATGAAAAAGAGGAACTGACCCTTGGGGATATTCATATTACAGATTATTATACATGGTGAGTGATAAACTACTTACTACTTACGGAGGGAGAATACGCCTAGTAATTTGGTTTGTGAATTTATGACCGACAGAAAGTCGGGGGGGGGTTAAGTTGATAGTGATGATGGTTGACGGATAGTAACTTGGATTTATTTCAAAATCTCCTAATTAGTTATGTATGTATGTGTGTATGTGTGTATGTATCTAGTATCAATTCGACCAGGGATTTGAAAAGACGAAAGGAGAAGGAAAGAAAAAAAACTGAGCGAAAGACGCTAATGTCGCGCCGTGAATAGTGCTTCCGTTTCCCGTGCGTGTCGCGCCCGCCAGTCCGTCAGTTAGACCATGCGCTAATGGACATCAGTGTAAGAAGGAAGAGGAAAAATGAGGAGGGGAAAGGGAATGGGATGGATGGATGGAGACGATGGTGCACTACCACCACCACCTCCTCCTTCTTCTCCTCTTCTCCTCTCCTCGTGTGGATTAGCATGGGATGTAGGGGTTATCTAGCGTGGTTTTTTTAGGGGTGTGGCCACCCCGGGGGCGGGCCGAAACATTCCCAGCAGTAGGTTATGATTTCTTTTGCGACAGTTGTAGGATCATCCCTGGGCTATCTGTATGACATTGGAAGGAGGGGGGGGGGAAAACGAAACAGGAGCGAGAGGGAAGAGGGTGAGAAAGCGAGATTGAGAAAGTGGGTAAAGACCCGGCGCCATGGATCCGCACAATGTCCGAATGATGGTGGCTGCATCTCTAGGCTGCTTTTTCCCTTTGTTTCCTTTGTTTTCGCACCCGCGACGCGGCGTCAACTTTCGTCCATTTGGCCCTTTCGTTCGGATTTGCAGGGAACCTGGGGGTTTGGCGCGCCCGACACGCCGGACCTGCGAAATTGAGATGAAGGCGCTGCAGTCCAATCAGGATGCGAGCGCAGGAGATGGCGAGTCTGCGGGTGTCTGTGATTGAAAGAAGCAATGGGGGGTGAGACAGGCAGGAAAGCAGGCAGACAAGTCCAGGCAAGGCAGTCATGTCCGTTGGAAGGGAAGCCATGGCTGGCTCCATGTGGCCCACTGTCTATCTTGCCTCCAAGGATAATCGTACGCAGGAGTCATTCATGAAGCCAATCCTGCATCTCGCTTACAGGATTGAGTGTCTGGTCGTGTCAGATTCCGGAGAACCCACCCACACTCTCGCTTCTCTCACACACTGCTCCCGACAACTAGAGGACGATCTCCCGTCTCTACCACATTTTGCTCAAAGGCATTTGTCAAGGCAGGCTGAACCTTCAGCCAATACCAGAAGGAGACTCAAGTGACACCTTCCCTGCCTGTCTATCCCTGTCAGGGCCGGTCCACTGGATCCCAGCCGGCTTGTCGAGGTGATCATCGTTCTCTTCCGACACCGCCAGGCTTCGGACGCAAAAACTGGCTACGGGAGAAGACAAAAGAGGCAATACGTAAATAGCAACTACTGTGCGGTATCGTTGATCATATGCTGCTAAGTTTCACTGGGAAAAAGGTTGCTGCTGGTGGTCATGCTACAACCGCGTGATGCAAGGAAGAGAAAGCATGGTGGGTTGAAAACATGCTGAAGTGCCATGCTGCCACCTCACACTGCTCATGACCAGGTATTTGCTTTCATCCATCCAAGTTTCATCAGGTCCATCCGGTGAGAGCTATGATGAGCAAAGTACGTTACCCAACATCGGGTTGTAAGCTGCAGGGTCGATGGGAATCAGTCCCATTAATAATTGCAAAGGTAGTGAAGCAGGGCAGGGGGTTGCAGTTTTGTTTAATCCCGCACTGTCGGTCTATACCATATGACGGCTTCATTTGGTCGTAGGGTTAGTCGTAGGCATCCCAGCTTGTTCGCCAGCTGCAACTGCTGCTGCTGCGACGGCAGCAGAATTACTGGATCCCGCGCTAGCAACGTTGCTCGCATGCGCCAGCAGGAACTTACAACAGGTCAGGGTGTATTTGCACGCACGGGTCCAGGTTTCGTCGTTCTGGTTGAAGCCAAGCTTGATGCTGGCGTCGCCAATCTTGTCGCGCTTAATTTCGTATGGAAGCTTCAATCCGGGCACTGCGGTGTTGGCCTGACCCCGGCGATTTGAGGGCACAGGCACCGGCGTCTTCTCCACAAATTCACCTAGTTGACGTAAACATTCCAGAAACGCCACCATGCCTGCATCAAACCGGCGGTGAAGCCAAGGAAGATTTAGAGGCAGCTCGCCCGACGAGAACAGGTCGAGGACGGTGATCTTGGGCGGTGCGGATGACATCGCATTTGCTCCACTCAGCGCCGACTGAGCCGGGGATGGTCGAGACTGTTCGATCTTCTCTATTCTGGACATAGATCCCATTGGCTTGATTTGATACCCTTGAAACTGGAAACCTAACTTGTCGGCGATGGTTGCCAGAAGGAGCGCTGTCTGGCCCCAAGCAGCATTGATCTCGGGCCAATCTACCGATGGGTTAGCCAATCGACCAAGCCGCAACCCATTGATCGTTCCAAAGTAGCCATCGTGACCGATGCAGAAGGCGTCATTGTACACATTGGTCCTTTGTAGTCTTTCAAGCTGGCGAGAGTCATGGTCGTATTTCATGTTTAGCGCATCGCGTTCGTTCTGGAAATCGGAGAGAGTCAAAGCAAAGGAATTGCGATCACGCCAGAACTTTTCTTCTTCAAGATCCAATTGACGAGCTTCCTCCTCCAAGCCGGCGATTTCTTCATCCAAGGCTTGTTTCTCTATTTCCAACGCAAGGAGTTCTTCAAAGGCGAGCTTTTCCGCGTCCAAGGTCTCCTGTAGCGACTTCTGGGCCGCCTCGAGCTCTTCAGCTGTGGGGACAGAGGAATTCAGGTTTCGCAAGAATGAGATGTATGCATCCCGCTCCTTTGTGGCATCTACTAGTCGTTGCTGTAAACCGTCCACGAGCATCTCGGTGCATTCCGTGCAGATAGGATGGTCAATGTCGGATCGCGCGGAGATTATATCAAACAGCCGGCTTGTTCGTTCGACTTGATCTGCGAAGGATGCGTCGTCCGGCCCGCGATCATTGGACTGTGTGCTGACCGGCGGCTTACTGTTCGAGGGACTATCGCTGCTGATACCAGACAGTCCATGTGGCGGCCCAACTTGAGACTCCGTGAGCATCACAAACGACATGTTACCACTGTCACCTCGGCCTAGCCTGGGAGGGTTGGTCTGATTACTGCCTGCCTGGCGGGGAGCTGGTACCGATCTTCGATACACCGGTGATGTAGCATGCTTAGAGGCCCGGTCGTAAAGCTCTCGTCGCTCTTGCGGGTAGGAAGGTCGGGATGACGAATGGGTACCATGATCTGGCAGGGATCTACCAGTTGAGCCTGGATAGTTTGCGACGAGAGATATGGTTAATTTCCGGCTCGATTCCGTGCAACTAAAGAGAGAGAGGAGAGGCCAAAGCTGAGATTACCTACCGATCAGCAGGTCGAAGGCGGCGGGGTTGAGGGACTCTAGAGAGCCATCCAACTTCAAGGGAGTCCGGCACTTCTGGCAATACATGGCGAAATGATGGGAATAGCCGCCCTGGCATTATGGTTGTGAAGTGGAAATGGTGGTTTGTCTGACGGGAGCCAGGGAGAAACCGAGAAGTACGAGAGGGATGTTGGGATGGTCGGCAGGGGATCGCAGTTCGCGAGACGTCATGCGGCAATCCGTGCGCGGCGCGTGTTTTGGCGTCTTTCTTTCCCCGACCGGGAGTTTCAATGGTTCTGTTCACTCAATGCAGCTTCAGACAGTCGGAGTGCAAAGTCGGTTGGTTTGAGACTCTAAAAGGTATGCATAGTCCGTGTTAAACGCTTCGAGCTGAGCCTGTCTCAAAGCTCTTCGAATGTGTTTTTGTTGTTCAACAGACATTGAAATGTCCCTCTTCTGTGTACTCGGGAGTTACTATGTCAATAACTGCTCCGTTCTTACTCTGTTCTACTTACTCTGTTCTACCTTGTTTGGTTCTGTGTCTGTCTCTATGGATCGGTAGTTCTGCTGCTTTACTTCTTGCGCTACCTCTTACTAACTACAAGTGTAAAGAGCTTTCAGCAGGCGATGCCACAACCTTGAATCAAACGACCTTTTGCTCGGTGTTCTGTTCCGCAGAAGCAGCGCTGGAATCCTTCTTCGTCGCTACTCTCCCCCTCAAGCGCACTCAAGATAATACAACTATAGCTCAACGAGACAATGGAACGGCCTGCGAAAAGACCACGCTTCTCCATGGGGCCGGAACCCGAGGAAGAGCTGGACGATATGGACATTCACGAAGCACGTGCGCAGAATGATCTCCGTTTGAAGTCGATCTTCGAAGGCATTTTTGAAAAATACGGCAAGGACTTTACCGACGTTGGCGACGAAATTGATTTGCAAACCGGAAATATAATTGTGAACAATGGCCACATCCAGGCCATGGAGGGTGAAGATGATACCGGGGAACAGAATGGTTGGCTGTTCGAGACGGACTTTACTGCACCTTCAAATCCCGAAGCGATTTATGTTGCGTTGGGCAGTTCTGCTCATTCTCCTGATGCAGAAGAAATCGGAGGTGATGCTGCAGGAGATGACGGCGGCACGCAATCGCAGCATCCACCGGCGTCGATGCCATCGCAAACAGGGCTGGTCCGGGACCAGCCATGGGACGCCATTATGGGCGAAGCAGCCAATGACGACCCGGACACCAACGACGAGGGGTCTAGTTCGGACTCGCTGCTGGATACTGCATTATGCGTCCAGAATAACCCGGGTGGCTCTCGGGGCCGAAAGGTGACGGCAGATGCCACAGGGAAACCGGCCATCGAAAAAGCAAACTCTGCGGCTGAAGCATCCGCCCAATCCAAGGAAGTCAAGTTCAGTGAGGCGGTGGAGGCGATATGGCGCGTTCCTGAAATTAGCGGGGACTTTGCTACGCCTACATGGAACAAGTCACGTCCTGCGCCTTCTTTCAATACTGTGCGGTCTCAGTCTCCACCGGGATCAAGATCTATCTGGGCACTTCCTTGGTCCTCTCGACGGGGCTCTGGACAGAAACGCGCAACGAAGCCTCAGAGGTCACCGCAGGGGAGGAAGCATCATTCCAGCCCCGTCGTGTGCGACTGGTCCTTTGCAGAGACGCCAGACGGAGACGAATCCGACGATCCGTTGCAGGAAGACTATGAGCCCTCGCCGACGCCCAAACGGGGCATGGAGATCCGAGGAAAGCGCTCGGAATCACACACCCCAAGCCGTGCGAAGAACCGATGCGCGTCTTGCCAGCAATACTTTGTTCGTTCCGATTACATTTCCCATCTGAAGGACATTCTATCCCAGACTCCCGATGGCCAACATGATCAGGCAGCCATGCGGAAGCATCTGGCCGCCGTAACCGACTCTCATGATTCAGAGAAGCGGGCAGCAGCGACCAACACTTCCGCCCAAAAGAGTGGGGCTTCTTCTGAAAGTATAACGAATGTATCGGCGGAGAACCCTCCAGGCGATCCTGATACGACGACGCCTACGAAGAAACGTGTTCGGACGTACATTAGTCCAGATGAAGCAAGGTTAATTATTGAGATGAGGCAAGTACAGGGGAGAAAATGGAACGAGATTGTCGACCAACTTCCACACAAAAACCTGCCCCAACTCCTTAATTGGAATAAAACGCACTGGAGTGAACGCCGAGCGAACCCGCCTCCATTGTCCAGACCGTGGACCAAACAGGAGCGGGAAGAGCTGACCAGAATCAAAGACCAACACAACCTCTCGTGGGCCACCGTCCGTGCAAGACTTTCTGGACGCCCACTTGCGGAGATCGAATTTGAACTATTGCAGCTCTGGAGTGGCGGAGCCGTTTAGTTCCCACGAAGAATAATCATTGGGCGCCCGCGTCGACTGACAAGGACGGGATAAAGCCGATTCGCGGCGACTGAGTCAGAGTTCGATTCGAATCAAGACGTGCAACCAGTCAGTGGGGACGATCGCCCCGAGCACGACCTTTTGCCAGATTCATGCCACGACCCACTAGAGCAAGTCTGGATGACAGGACGCCGTAGACAATCGCGCGGTTCTATCTAGCGCGAATGGGAGCCACCGCCACGGTTCGTCCGGGTAAGGCCGAGGGGATCCCAGGTGGTCGGTTTCAGCGCCAACGAGCATGGTTCTGGCCGCCACCATGTCCGACACTAGCATCAGCATCATGCATAGCGGGAATAGCATGTTTGGGCTTTGTCGCCCCTGGCCGGGGATCTTCCCGGAGGCCCATTAATGATACCTTTTCTCTTGCCTTGTCTTTCTTTGCCTGTGACGAACCCCATGCTGTCCGCACTGAATCGTAGCTTCTAATATTCCTCTTCCTTCGCGTTCAAAACATCCTCCAGCTTTGTATCCACGGCGCCACCAACATCTCCGGCTTTGGCCCAGAACCTAGAAAGATGCCTCGAACCCGAATCAGACAGCACTGTCACAATCCTGTGACCGGGTCCCAACTTCATTGCCGTCTTCACTGCCGCGAAGCCTGTGTGATGGGAGATTTAGCATGATTGACACGCCAAAGGAATCCTTGGGAGCACTTACAGTTCACGGCACTGCTACTGCCGATGAATATGCCGTCCTTCTCCACAAGCCACCTAGCCATAGCCAAAGCTTGAGCGTCCGTCACTCTGACTGCGTCATTAACCAGCTCCTTCCCAGCCTCAAAGTTCGCCGTCACACGATTGATCCCAATTCCTTCAACAATAGTATCGACCTGTCTCCGTCGTCTAGTGCCTTCCTTCTCCTTGTAGTCGAACATGACGCCAAAACGAACCCTATTGTACAGGCCACTTCCCTGAGGGTCGGCCAGTACCACATGCAAGTTCGGTATCTTTGGCTTCAGGAAGAGTGCCACACCAGAGATGGTACCCCCAGTCCCAGCGCCCGCCACGAAAGCATCCAGTTTCCCCTCGCATTGCGCATAGATTTCAGGGCCCGTGCCACTGAAATGTGCCCGCCAGTTGGACTCGTTCTCGAATTGGTCGGCAAAGAAACCTCTTCCGTCTGTGTTCGATGCGGTTTGCGCTTGCGCAAGAGCTCGCGCGCGGTTCACAAAGTTGTCCTTCTCCACTATGGGTGCGGGTGGTACGCGGTCGACGATGGCGCCTAATTTGAGGAGGAGGTTGGATTTCTCTATCGCTTGGTCTGATGGCATACAACTGGGGAGTACCGTTAATATGAGAGCTTGTAGCAGAGTTGTAGGAAAGGAAGTAGGCTATGGGATACGAACATGTGCGCGAGATAGCCTTTCGCACGGGCCAAGGTAGCCAAGGAGATCCCTGTAGAGCCGGAAGTGCCCTCATAAATCGTGTCTCCTGAATGAGGTCTCAGGATACCGTGTTCTTCGGCCTGCGGGGAATGTAAGAGACAGTCCAGAGGGGTGGGCGGGATTGCGTTACTATTTGGATCATACTCAGCGCCACGCGGTCCTTGGAGCTTTGTCCAGCTCCATTGAGGAACTATAGCCTTGTTAGATATACCCCGTTTATTGTTGTTACAAGATCAATGTAGATATGGACGAAGTAGAAGTGGAATGACGTACTTCGGCTTTGCCCAAAATCTCGCACCCCGTCGCATCGGACAATGATTTGATTCGGAACAAAGGTGTGTTTCCAATGCAGCCCTCAATGCCTTCAACGATCGCTGGAGGACCCGGTCTCGCGCTCAAGGCATCTTCAGAGGTTGCTGCTGTCTTCTCTTGCGAGCTTGCCTGGTAGTAGTAGTAGTCTTTGACGCGGCGCTCTAATTCCGGGTAGACAAGATCTTTAAACCCCAGCGTGAGAAGGACACCAGCGACGAAGGCAGTGCCGATATACAGATGCGAGCGGTCATCCATGCTTATAGGGGATCAAGTACGAGTGACTGCAGAGAAGAGAAAAATATAAATCATATCAATTTCATCTACGTCAGAAGCTGGTCGGAGAAGAGGCCGGAGAAAAAGCTCGGGCCAACCAGAGCAACTCCGCCAATGGATTTCGTGATTCGTCGCCTGACCTCCTCACTCTCTCGCTCTACTCTTCGTCTTTCACGGTTCCTCCTCGGCCTGCGCTTTGCTGCTGCTCGCCGCCAATCCCTACTCATGGACTCGCCAGTCCTGAATCAGCTGTTTCGGCAGCTGTTTCAACATCCTGCCTGTCGACAATCCTGGAGATCCTCATCTGCCCTGTCGGGGCGCCGACCGGGTTGCGTGCGCCTGTCGTCCACCCCATCCCGCCAACAGTCTCGCAACCTTAGTTTCCAAAGTTTCAAGCAACGCATCTTTGGACATTCAAAACTAGATCCTGGAACACTATGGACTCCGCGAGAACATGTCATGCAAAACGTCGACAACTTCGAGGAGCAATTGCAGGCCTATCCATTGGTGACGGCCAAAGAGCTCCGCCATCATCGTGAGCGGCCGCGACAAGTGAAGATGCTGACGAGAGAATTCATCGATGGTTGGGAGGCCTATCCACTTTGTGTTTGATGGTCGCTGGTGCTAATGATGTTGTCTCATCTCTTTTTTTAGACAGTTTATACAATCACAATTATGGCTACTTCTCGAAACATGCCACCATTTTCCGCCCCGGAGAGCCATTCTATTTCAACGAGATCGAGGACGGTCCAGCATTTTATCGCATGCTTGGGGAACGTTACCACGAATTTGAAGACCAGCTGGATGAAACCAATCCAGATGTTGCTCGCCAGTTGTGGCACACGCCAACGGAGCTTTTCCGACCTTATTACGGAGAGACGATTGCACGGTACTTGGTGTCGAACTACAAGTTGACGTTGTACCCCTACCACGACTTGATTATATACGAAATGGGTGCCGGAAATGGAACAATGATGATGAACATATTGGATTATATCCGCGACACCGACTACGAGGTCTACCAGCGGACCAAGTACAAGATCATTGAGATTTCGCCGTCGCTGGCATCGCTTCAGATGCAAAACTTGACCGACTCGCTCGATGCGGCCGGCCATTCGGACCGGGTGGAGATTATCAACCGCTCGATTTTCGACTGGGATACATATGTGCATTCGCCGTGCTTCTTCCTGGCGCTGGAGGTGTTCGATAACTTTTCCCATGATCAGATTCGCTACGACCTCAAGACGGAGCTGCCTCAGCAGGGTGGAGTACTGATCGACGCCAACGGCGAGTTTCTCGAGTACTACAATACGCAGCTGGATCCGATTGCTTCTCGCTTTTTGCGAGTGCGCCAGGCTGCAGCGCGGCGGAAGTTCCGCACTCCCTTGACCTCCAAGTACATGAAATTGATGCGCAGTCAGCTGCCGTGGCAGCAGGGCCATCGCTACACCCTGCCGGAGTACATCCCCACCCGACTCATGCAGTTCTTCGATATTCTGAACACCTATTTCCCGGGCCACCGCCTGATTGCGAGTGACTTTGACACTCTCCCGGATGCCGTGCCGGGTGTGAATGCGCCCGTTGTGCAAACGCGGTACAAGAGACGGACAGTTCCAGTATCGACGCCCTTCGTATGTTCCCTCCCTCACCTTCTTCCATGTGCTAGATTGGCCGTATTCTGACTATGAGTTAGGTCCACCAAGGATACTTCGATATTTTCTTCCCTACCGATTTCAACACTACTGAAGACATCTACCGTGCTGTCACGGGCAAGCTGACGCAAGTGATGAGCCACGAAGACTTCATGCGCCGATGGGCGTATATTGAGGACACGGAGACGAAGAACGGGGAAAATCCGCTCCTAACCTGGTATAAGAATGCCAGCATGTTGATCACAGTGTAGGGGGCGTCTATATGTACCATAGTATCAAATATCCAAGCAAGCATATCTCTGTATCTGCTCGTGTTTTGTCTCTGCCGTAAGTCTGGTGCCTCGGCGCCTGACCGAGCTTCATGGTTGGCGGGCCCTTTATCCGACCCTCCCATCCTCTTTCGCCTCTTCCATTCCTTCTCCCTTCTCCTCTTTTCCTTCCCATCATTCCATCCCTCCAAAAGCAAGCTTTCTATTCGTGAGGGGAAATCGGCACCAAATCCGGTCAGCTTCCCCTCCCATCCCCGCAGCATCATCCGGGTAGAAAGCTAATCCATCCTCCCCCGAGATAGGCAGGATAAGGCGATCAGGAGCCCATGATTGGCAGCACCACCGATATCATCCGGCCGTGCAACTTATCTCCTCCCTTGGTTCATTGCCATGATAGCCAACCGTGTTGGAATGTCTTGTAGGACACCTGATACCCGTCTGGCTTTAAGTCCGGCGTTGTGACCTCCCACCACCGTATGACTCTGGAACCATCAGTAGTCTCAATCCTCCATACCCTTTCTTCCCCATTTACCAAAGACATTCAATATTCGCAAAGCTATATAGAAACAAAAGCCATGACTATCCCAACCTGGAAATCAACCGTGCACAAGAAGCGCGCAGCTCAGCTGGCCGCCATTCCACCTGATTGGCGTCTCCCGGAGTCCATCACTGCCGATCCGCCACTCAATGCTCTTGAGGCAATCCGCTCTTGTGATATTCTCACGGAGAAAGAGCTGGAATGGACGGAGATTAATGATAGTACTGTGCTGCTTTCCATGCTGGCGAACCGTGAGATTAGCTCCGTTCAGCTTACAACGGCGTTCTGTAAGCGCGCGGCCGTCGCCCAGCAGCTTACCAAGTGCTTGACGGAGATTTTCTTCGATAGGGCGCTAGCGCGGGCTAAGGAGCTCGATGATATTTTGGAAAAGACAGGAAAGGTGACGGGGCCGTTGCATGGGCTGCCGGTTTCGATTAAGGATCGGTTTGATGTCGAGGGATATGATACAACCGTTGGTTCGTACCCATGTTCGAGCATCACTGGTGCTGGGAGAGGAGCGTTGGCTAATTAATGGTATGTAGGCTGGGTTGGGCTAGTTGGCAAACCCGCGCAAAGCTCCAGCAGTATTGCCTTGTCGTTGGAGTCAATGGGCGCGGTATTGTATGTCAAGACGAATGTGCCGCAGTCTTTGATGGTATGCAATCACCCTTTTACATTGCGTATGATGGGAGATGCTGATTAAGTCAGATGTCTGATTCCTACAACCATGTGTTCGGACAATCCATCAATGCCTTCAACAAACAACTGATTTCCGGTGGGAGTTCCGGCGGCGAAGGCGCCCTCATTGGCACGGGTGGCAGTGTCATTGGTATCGGGACAGATATCGGAGGCTCGATTCGTATCCCGGCCAATTTGCAGGGTTTATACTCGATCTGTCCTACTACAGGTCGAGTGCCATGGAACTGCTCGTTGTACGGGTCCATCTCTATCTACTGATTCTAGATCATAGCTGACCATACCCAGCATGCACCAGCACTACCTTGTTCCTCCAGTCGCAGGACCCATGGCCCGCAGTCTTTCCAGCATTGAACATTTCATGCAATCCCTTCTCGACTCCAATCCTTGGAACATTGATCCGGGCTGCATTCCAATTCCCTGGAGAAAGGAACTTGCAGTGAAACCCACTGGTAAACTACGACTCGGAATTGTCTACGACGACGGCGTGGTAAAACCGCAGCCCCCAATCGCCAGGGCAATGCGCGAAGTTGCAAAGAAACTCAAAGAAGCTGGTCATGAAGGTGTGTACACAATTTGCAATCTCCCTCTTACCTCATCAATCAGCTTCCACTGACTTGACAAGTCTTCGAATGGGATACCTCCCTCCACACCACAGGCCAAAACCTCTGGACAAAAGCCATCCTTGCCGACGGAGGCCAACACTGTCGCTATCTATGCGACATTGTCGGAGAGCCACTGATAGAAGGGATGGTTGTAGGGACAGAGAAAGATGAGCTGACCATCTCAGAACGCGAAGAGGTCGGTCCCATACCCTAAATTTCTACCTCTCTAATGCTTATATTAATACAAACATATAGCTCGAAGAGACCAAATGGGCCTACCAAAGCAGCTTCCTCCAGCAATGGACATCGAGCAACATCGACGCCCTCCTCATGCCCGTCACGCCCTGGGTCGGCTACCGGCCGAAATCCTGGGTCGTCAGCTCCCAGTGGCTCGGCTACACGGCTCTCTGGAACTTGCTTAACTACGCGGCTGTTACTGTTCCGGTGGCTAAGGTGGATGGGGCACTTGATCAGCCGGATCAGGAGTGGTTGGAGCATGTGCCTAGGAATGACTCGGATCGGTTTAATTGGGAACAGTGTATGCGTACTCTCCTTTTCCATACATACGGTTATCGGGAATAATTGCTAACCCTATGACTATGATCTAGATGACCCCGACCTGGTCAAAGACATGCCCATCACTGTGCAAATCGTCGGAGGCCGATTTGGCGAAGAAAAGGCCGTTTCTGTAGCCAAGGTAGTAGATGAGGTTCTGCAGGAGCCCTAGATACTACATACTAGGTATTGCTATACATTGAGCGTATATAGCGATGTATATTCCATGAAATGTACAGACAGCATGAAGTGCATTCTAGTATAGTTCCGCACATCACCTACAACTTCACCTCCCTTTCACCAGTAGAAGAATCCCCCTTGCCCTTGCCCTGCCACGCAAACCCAATCTCCTTCCCAATCCCGGGCTCCACAATAACATTGACAACCGTAACGCACTCACTCTCGAACCCTTCCTTCGTCGCCCTCTCCAACTCCTCCTCCGTCCTAACGAAGAATCCCTTGCCGCCACACATCGTCGCCAACATCTCATATCTAGTTTCATAGAGGAGACTCGTCGAGCGCAGCCCCTTCGTCCCTCCACCACTTCCCTTCTCAGACCCAGACTCGGATTTCGTATCATTCCCCACCGTCTGACCCTGCAACACCCTCCAATCATACTCACTCACCGAATCCCCATGATATATGCCCGAGTTATTGACTACGTAGATAAGCGCGGGGATGCGGTACCGCGCTAGGGTTTCGATTTCCATGGCGCTGAAGCCGAAGGCGCTGTCGCCTTCGAAGGCTACTATTTTCTTTTGTTTGGTGGATGAGGGTGAAGGGATAGCGTTGTATGCTTCATGCGCTGCGACGATGTAGCCCATTCCCACGCCCATCGTGGCGTAGGTGCCTGCGTCGAGGCGTTGGCGGGGATGGTTGAGTGGGAAGATGGAGCGGGAGATGTCCATTGTGTTGGCGCCTTCGGAGACATAGATGATGTTGCCTTGTTCAAAGGGAGATAGGGTGTTCAGGGTGGATTTGATGATGTGGTAGGCGCGCTGGTAGGTGAGGGGAGTGTTTGGCGGGGTGGGGCGGAGGGCGGCGGTTTGGGCTTTGAGTTCGTTGCGGTTGGCGGAGGTGGTTAGAATGGATGTGAAGGTGTCTTTGTTGTTTTTGTTGGATGATGGATTAGGGGAGTATGTCCAGTTAGAGAGGGAGGAGAGCAGTTGGTCTACGACCAGTCCGATGTCTCCAAGGATTCCGAGCTCCGCTGTCCCGGCGTTGCGGCCGATTTCTTCAGCGCAGATGTCCACCTGGATGATCTTGGCCGTTGGATTCCATTTGGGTGCTTCGCCATAGTGGAGGATCCAGTTGAGACGTGCGCCTAGGATCAGGACGACATCGGCGTGCTTTAGGGCTGCGCTGCGCGCGCTGGATGCGTTCAAGGGGTGCGAGTCCGGCACGACGCCCTTGCCCATGGGTGTGGGTAGGAATGGGATCTGGGTCTGATCCACGAGCTGGTTAATCCCGAGCTCTGCGCGCGCGTATGCGGCGCCTTTGCCTATCACTAGGAGTGGGGAGCGAGCGGTGCGGAGCAACTGCGCTGCCTTGAGGATCAGGGCTGGGTCTCCGCCCGCCTTTGGGGGCGAGGGGACGAGCAGAGTCTCGGGCTGGGGGAGACGATATCCAGGGGAGGATTTGCCTTGGATGATGTCGGCGGGGAGGTCGACGAAAGTCGGGCCTGGGCGGCCGTACCAGCATGTGCGGTAGGCATTCTTGACGGCGCCGGGGATGAAGTCGAGGGAGGAGGCGCGGACAGCGAGCTTGGTGTGAGGGGCGAGAAGGGAGATGGCGTCCAATTCCTGAAAGGCGCCTTTAGTGACGCCGGTGGTCTCAGCAGAGCCGGCGAGGACTAGCAATGGGAAGTTGTTTGCGGAGGAGTTGCCGATCTGCTCTCAGTCGATAGTATGGAGTTAGCACGATGGCCAAGAGCTGGCTAGCGGGGGAGAGAAAGCTGGAGTAAGCTTACCCCGGCCAGCGCGTGGAGAACACCCGGCCCTCCGACAACTAGACAGACGCCCGGTCGGCCGGTCATGTATCCATAGACACTGGCAGCATAGCTGCAGGCCTGTTCGTTGCGAAAGGCCACGAATCGAATGCCCAGGTTGATGGCCTCTTCGGCGATCTCGACCACAGGGATTCCAACAATGCCGAAGATGACGGTCACGCCTAGATCGCGCAGCGATCGGGCGATCAGTTGAGCACCGGTGACCACAGCCATTGTGTATCGGTGGGGTCTTCTCCTTTTAAGGAGAATGGTGAGAGAAGTGCTTGCTTCGGCGAGAGAGTCGTGCGGAGTTCGAGTTGAAGGAGGAAGTAGAAGAAGAGCCGAGGCAAACAAATGCGGATGACGCAAAGGGGTAAGTGGCCCCAGGCAGCCACATGAATATACAACAAAGGGATGGAAATCCGTAGATAGATAAATACACCACTCAATTAGGGCACTTGAATATCTACAGAAAGTTCGAGGTCTCATTTACACTGCATATCTCAATGATCTTTGTTCATTACGGCATCCCTCCGTAGACGCCAGTCCGCAGAGAATCAAGCATATATGGTATCCATATCCAAAAACATCCCCTTCCATCCAGCCAGACAACATCTCTCAGCAATCCAGGCTGAGCACGACCATCATATCCCCCTTTACTATGCTTAAAACTCAAACTCCCGTCGGAACACATTGACATCCATCCCCGCCACCACCTGATCAGCCAGATCGCGTCGTCCCATCTGGCTAAAGACTCGCCGCAACGTGTCATACAGGTTGGTGCTCTGGTTCTGGCTGACATGAATCATGCGATCCAGCTGCTCGTCGTCGATGCCACCCTCGCCACCAACAATCTCACGTGCCCGCTCTCGACCTTCCTGCTCAACCACCCGGTGCATCGATAGCGCTCCCAGCAGGTGTTGCGCGGCTTCTGGGTAGCAGCCGATGTTGATGCACGACACACCCAGGTTGTACCGTGCCCGGACGAAGTTGGGATTGATGTTCAGCGCCTGCTCGTAGGCCTCGATCGCCTCCTCGGAGCGACCCGAGTTGGCAAGCGTAGCACCCAGACGGTTCCACAGCAGGTGGAGCTGCTCCTGTTGGTTCGACGTTCCGGATTCCGTGGACGCCAACGCAGCAGAGAAGCAATCGACCGCCTTGTCATACTCCTCTGCGCAGTAGAAGAGAACGCCCAGACCGACCTGGACGTCCGGGTCCATTTGCTCGCCTGATGGCGACAGCTGAGCAGCCTGGATGAAGAGATCGGTGACACGGTCGTGCAGGAGCTGGCGGTCCGTAAAGCCCAAGTCGGCTTCCGATGAAACATCATTAGGGTTGATAATCTGGGGGTACTTGACTGACAGCCAACGCTCCAAAGTGCGATACGATGTTGAGTCATAGCCCTCGTTGGTGTAAGAAACAGCCAGTCCCATCAGCGCATCCAGATTGTTAGCATCAATCTTAAGTGCTTGCTCCAGCGCTCTGATGGCGGGAAGCTCCTTCTCGTTCTGCGCCTGAGCCGATCCCAGCATGGTCCAGGCCTGGACATGTTGAGGATCTTTCTGGACTGCCGCCTCGAAAGCCAAGGCAGCCAGGGAGAGGTTTCCACCCTCGCGCATGATCTTCACACCCTCTTCGAAAGGATTGCTCACGCTCCGGAACACGTTATCTTCTTCGAACATATAATCGCCTAGTTGAGGGTTCCGGAAGCGCGTGTTAAGCGTATCGAATCCGTCCCATTCACCCATCTCACCCATATGCAGGTTGTCGTCAATGTTAAAGTCGGTCTCGCCCTCGGCCAGTTTCCTGTTTGTTGCGGTCTCAGCTTGGACCCGTTGCCACACGCTTTCAAAGGCACTATCGCCCGAATCTTGGGGGACTGACCTGTCCAGATCATTCAGCTCTGCCTCCACAGCCGCGTTGGCCTCATCGTCCAATTTCTGAGTATCCGCCGTCTCCATCTCCGCAAACTGTGCCTCCCAGTTCTCGTCGTCCAGCTCCACCATCCGTCCCTTGCCCTTGTCCTGCGTAGTCGCCTCTGCCGGCTGCTGCTGCATCGCCATCGGGTTAAATGTCTGCGGCATCATCCCCATTCCACCCATGCCCATATACCCTCCCATACCCATGGGCCGCTGGTACCCAGCCATCATCGGCGACGGGGCAGACGCCACATGGTTAGCCGTCTGAGGCATGCCAGCCCGACTCTGCTGCTGGAACCGGGCAAATTCCGCGGGCGTAAATCCCGACGCATTATTCATCATGGGGCCCTGGGGCCCGGCAAACGCAGCCTCCATCCGGGCATGCTCGCCCGCATCGAACTCGGCAGCCCAGCCGGGGGAGCCCGTCCTCGGAGGTGTGGTTTGAAACTGATCTAGCTCGCGTCGCAGCTGTTCCATAGCGAACGGTTGCGGGGGAGCACCGGGGATCTGACCGGGTTGTTGGGCGAATTCGTCCATCATCTGGATAGGATCACCAATCGGGCATTAGTACTGGATGAGGATGTATGGTTTCTGATAGATAAGGGTTCACTTCGTACCTGATCTTGTCCTCCCATCATACCCCGGGACCGCATGCCTTCTTGCATGCCTCCTGGGCCTCGCCCCACGAGGCGATCTCTCTGTAGGGACTTATCATCTTGGACGTGCTTGGTGAACTGAGTCAACGGATTGCCCGCCGTCGAGCACTCGGCGCCACCAAGGAAGGACATTGTGTGTGTGTAGTAACGATCGTAGCAGTCAGGGTCTCAGTTATATCATGAATAATGCAGGGGTGGAAGCGAAGAAGTCGAGTATCTGGAAGAGTTGATTATAAAGCAGATGTAAATGCGAGTTGTCCGAGGAAGAACAGCTCGAGCGCCGAACGTGGGGTTTCGGAGAGGCGCTGCTGCCGATCGGAAAGATACCGAGGCTCCCCGACAGTCACGTGGACTGTCATTCATGTCACGGAGTATACCAGTCTATCTATACAGAATCATCGGATGATTTCAGTCAGTCGAATGCAATTTCGTTAATATACAGGCCTACACTATGTAGGATATATCGTTCAATTAAAGTACATGAGACCTCTCCTCCTCTGACCAGTTTACACAGAAATAACCTGATGCCAACCACTCAAACTATTATGACTGCTCCGCGGGAGCAGACTGGTCCGTGCCAACCACGGTCCTGCTCGTGGCCTTGCTGTAA